ATATAAAAAGCGTCCTCCCTTTTGCGATGACTTTCTCTCCATAACTTTAATAAAGGATTAATAGAGACTCATTTCTTATTACTTCTTTTTTTATTCTGCTTTATCTATTTTTTAATATCTCAAACATCACAGATCATTTATTCATTATCTTTGTAATGAATAAATTACGATCCCAAATATAAAATGTCTTATCGATATTTGTATATTTGGTTGTAGAAGATAAATATCCATTAATTCATACACTATTTCTTTATACTCTTTATCAGCAGTATAATTATATCAATATATAAGCAAATGAACCATTTATATTAATAGCTGTTCTATTCTCTCTCTGGGTAGCTAATCCATTGAGAGAACTATTAATATTAAGTGTCGTATTTGACGCCTAATTCCACGAATATAATTACTCCTATCTTGTCACTCAATTATAATACATATAACCTATGTATTATAAGTACCATATTGCGAATACATTCCTATTGGTACGACACAGTACCAGCTCCCTCATATGTCAAACTGAGATCAGATTTCATAATCGTTCCTGGATTGGTCGAGTAGCTGCCGAATCTTCTAGTTTCTCATAAATTTATTTTAGTAATCCAATCAAGGACCCTGTCATTGAATGGATAAACTATAATGCTCTAGAAGTGCCGGATGTGGGTCAACTAGCTCCTTGTATATAACAATAAGCTATGTTTCATATGTAACTGATTTCTAAATCTAATTCTACCATTTCCCAGTTTGCGGGTAAACAGTCAATTCGATCTACGCAGTGTTACACCACCTTTTTCTTCTTCTGTTGGTCCTTTAGACTTCAGATCCCTATATTTTTTTGACTGCTTTTTGGTCCTTTTCTTATAAAAGGACCATAAAATTATTTAATAAAATCTTTAGTTTGTTCTTTACTATAATCTGATTTAGTCTTATTCACATAAGCCTGGTTTCATTATAAATATATATAACTACTATAATTGTACGAAAGCCCTTCTTATAAATCAGCACTGAATAGTCTTAACAGTTGTATTTTACTATACTCCTTCGAAGACACAGATAACTGATTCGTCGTAGCATTTCCCTTTTATATCTTTATATTTTATTTTATCTTAGTTGACAACTTATAGTCTGGTGCTCACTTTTTAAGAACTTTTATCTTAATCTCTATTCTTTTTCTTTATTTCACGTTACCGCTTTTACACTTAAACAAGCCAGTAACAGCAGGAAAAATCTTGAAGTAATAATTGAATATAAAAAGGACCTCTATTTTTATCATGACAAACTCTCCAACTTATAATAAAGGATTATAGAGTCTCATTTCTTTACTTGCTTTATTTTCCCAATTACTTTTCCCTTTTTATTTCCCAATTATCACATTAAGTTTCTCTTTCTTATAATTCTTGATTGATCAGAGAAGTTTCTCTTCTTGATCGGTGATATCGTAACTCAGTGGTATAGCATTCTGTATCCAACTGTCATTCGTATATCGTATTTAGGCCAATCATGCAATCTTTTATATAGAAGTATGTACTCGAAGTAGGAGAAGTTGTATAGCAGTATACAAGCGTATGCTGATATGCAACATCAAAGGTTGTTTTAATTTCATAGTTTATTTATTTAAACGATTTGCTTAATTATTCTTAAGTGAATCGTACCTAAATACGACATATACCACTGAGTTACGATATCACCGATCGGGAATAGAAGCTTCTTTGATCAATTCAAGAATTATAAGAAAGAGAAACTTACTATTAATAGTTCTCTCAATGGGTTAGCTACCCATAGAGAAAATAGAACAGCTATTACTATAAATGGTTCATTTACTTATATATTGATAAACACAACTTATACGACTGTAAGTGTATAAGAAAAGTAGCGCATGTAAGATTTGGATGCCTATTTTCTACAACTAAATATGCAAACATCGATAAGATGTTTTATAGTTAGGATCATATATTTAACCATGTCTTGGATATAAATAATCAACAGAATGGATAAATGATCGCTATCAGATATAACTACATGTTCTACCGCAGCCAATTAAATATAAAATCTCATGCTTCTTTTAACAAGTTATTGTAACACGATATCTTACTGGTATTCCGTATTTTAAACAGAACAATCAGAGTGTCCCAGATCGGTTGATCCAGGGCGATGGTACTTGAAATCAATTCTAACGAGTAGAATTCATTTAATGTGAGGCGGGAAGCTGAGTATAGATTTATCGGGTCTATTAGGGACAGCCAAGGTGCGCGTATTCGTAATGTTGGGATTAGGATACTTTAATAGACATCAAGAGGTCAATATAACTTAACAACTTAAAATATATACACATTTATCACAACCAACATAGTTTAAACCGGTATATGTACTTTAAAGCTAACTTTCAGCTTCTCGTTTGGACTTTACCTTAAGATTTCTGCGTAAGATTAAGATCAAACGAGCTCAAAGGGGAAAGAGTAATGATAGAATTGTCAAAATAAGTATAAATCGTTTAATATACATTTATTCGTAATTTTTACATTGTTTTTGATTGTATATTCTTGCTCCCAGGTCTACAGAACATCCAAATCACAAATCTTACGTTGCGACTACTTGCACTTTCGCTGTCCCTAAGGAAGAATTGGCTGTCTGTCCCTAAGAAAAGCGTAGATTTATTACAAGACCCGAAAGGTTGACTTAACACAACTATCAGGGGAAGTTGTTGAGTATAAAAAGGATCAATTATTTCATCGCAGCAGAGTTCTTTTAGTCTATTTCTATCTGGAATAAAGATATACTTTTATCTCATTACTTTTCAATTATATCAACTGTGTCAATTACCATACCTTTTGTGGCAATTCAACAGTAGGCTCCAAAATTGCAAATAAAAAAGTAACTGGGTTAAAGGAAAACCAGCCGAGGATTTCATAATATCTCTTGGGAGACCCGTCAAATATGCATCATTAATAGAACTGTTGTTCCATGGACCTTGTCTTCTAATTTGTTCCTGACCAACACCAGCCAAATCAGCCATTTTTGCACCTGACCCTCTTCCAATGTGCGTTACTTTGGTGGTCTTGATGACAGCAACGGTGTTACACCACCTTTTTCTTCTTCTGTTAGTCTTTTAGACTTCAGATCCCTATATTTGTCTGACTGCTTTTCCGACCTTTTCTTATAAAAGGACCCCAAAAGTTCATAATAGAATAATTAGTTTGTTCTTTACTTTAATCTGAATAAGTCTTAATACTTTAAGTCTTTGTGATTTTGTATTTATTATAATTGCTTGTAATTTCCTTCTGTAAAATCAGCATTGTAGCTATTCCATTACGTATTTAACTATACTCCTTCGAATACCACTCTTATCTGATTTCGTCGTATAAATTGCCCTCTTATATAAATATAATTTATCTTTTTCAGTTGACAACTATATAGTCTGGTGCTCACTTTTTAAGAACTTTTATCTTAAACCTCTATTTTTATTTTCTTCTATTACTTTTACTGAAACTTGCCAGTAACAACGGCCACAATTGCCTTCTGTATTTCATTGTAATAAGAGCTGTATTTCTATTCGGTGGCGGGGTTGCTGTCTGTCTGGACATTAGCACCAAACCATTCACCTAACTTTGCGAAGGACAAAAGTGGCTCACCTTTGTTATGTAATCTTTGGAACATGTAGATGCTAAGCATCATAATTAGATAAAGCTCTACAAACTTATTGCGTATGCAACCTGAGAGCTCAGTTTTGCCATTCTTGTTTGTTTTTCCGTTGTGCATTACCATAATAAGAGCAGAGTGTTTCGCAGGACCTTCATTTTGGAGATGAACCATCTGTATTTATCAGCAACTTCGGCAGCGCTAGCATTTTTACCACGAAGCAAGTAATGCGATAAGAAAAGCGCCAGACAATTACGCAAATCCTCAGATGGTCTCAACTCAAAATAGTAATCCAAGAACTTGACTAGTTCTTCTATGGTACTAAACCCGTCGCTATGTGTATTGGAAGCCCGGTCGACGTTCTGCTCTCTTTTCTTTTTGTTCTCCATACATTTATGAGCTTGCAAAAAATCGGTTAAGAAGGGACGGGGTTTTTAATGGAGTTTGCACTAAGCTTTACTTGCTCTCGGTACAGTGAAATAATAGCTGATAGGTATTTCTCAATGGTCGTATATTTTAAACTTTCTGGTTCTTTACCCTTACGTCTGGTCTTGGTTTTGCGTGAAACAGCTTGTGGTATAATAAAATTTATGAGTTTTTTTCTTTCCTTTTTTTTTTACAGATTAGTTCTATCAATCTTAACGCTTACATTTTTCACCATATCTAGTGAAGAATTGGATAATGACACTGCATAAATAAATCATCGTTCTTGCAATTATAAATTATTTTGAGTTATTAAGCCTTTATTAAAAAAGTTTTGTTTATTCATTGTACTTTGTATTTGATCCTCTGTTCAAACATTTTAATTGTGCTTCATAATAAGCTTGATGATAATCTTTTTAATTATTATTAACATTTGGTACTCTGTCTATTATAAACCTCTCTTATTTCTGTTATTTACTATCATTTCTGCAACAAAGCATTTATAATCGAGGCAGGACTTTGTTAAGAGTTCCTTGAGTTACATGAAGCCACATAATCCGAGTTTTGATATTTAAAATCAACGACATTCAAACTTCAGCTTGTATTGGTTCACTTTTAAATGACGCAAAATTGTTAGCCATTGTAGTTTGAGACGCAGTAGAGAAAATCATATTAAACATACGTTTGTCTACTATTCCCTTTACCACAGAAACTCCTATGACATATCATTACTTTCATTCAATTTTATCAGTAAGAGTTGTAGCATGAGCCAGATGAATAAAATATTTTGTTATGATGTTTTTAGAATTTTCAAAGCCATAAAGACCACGCAAGAGAAGATGTTTAAAATATGACAATAATTCTCTCTATGCAGTTCCGCGACCCAATTGATGGTAAACTCCATTTTAAATAAAGTGCTTTAAACTTCTAAAGCAACCAGAATTTTTATTTTTTAATCTATTTGTATCGGTGCGATTCTATGGATGTTTATTTTTTACTCGACGTGTGTCTTGACAGATGTGTATTTATAGTAGTTGTAGCCTATGATACCAATGATCGATACCACCAAACTACATAAAGGGTCAAAAAACAGCTCTTTTTCATGGTAACCCCCACGCTCTTTCCGTTTTTTTCCCTTTCTATTTGCTTACCCCATATACGTTTTAAGTGTAAGTTCATCTCCATATATTAAAACCGATAGGCTGATCACGACGATTTCTTTACTGATACCAGCAACACTCAGGGTGACGGTACTTGTCCCTTTAATTAAATACAGCTCAGCAATGGTCATGATGAAGGCTATAAGCGGTAAGTGACACAAGAAAGGAGGTACATATATACACACATATTTTACCTAGAACACCACCAAAGGACATGATCAACACGGACATGAGCGATTTTTGTAATGAATCAAAGTAATAAATGGAGGAGGGCTGTTGATGGAATGGTTTTTCAATGATCAAACTTAACATTAGCATGGTGATGAACATGATGGGACTCAGGTGATACATGGTAGCGAGAGGACTATTCTCCTTGATGTTGCCCTTACTCGATTTCATTAAATATTGAGTCATGTTCCATCTTAAACCAGACGCAACAGCCGCGGTCAAGACGAGGATAAAGCCCTTAGTATCGAATTTGGGTTCACCGTCAATGGTTAACCAGACACCAAATACGATACATGAAATGACCGCGATCAGGTTTATCCGTGGTTTTTCGAAACCAAACATGAAGGAAAAGATTAAAACCCAAACAGGTGTACTGGATTTGATCATGGTATAAAATGAAAGTGTTATCAAAACAAGCGAGGCATTTGCACAGCATATTTCTACAGCCGCTGCAATCCCGCAAGGCACCTATTTAATTAAAAGGTGAGATGGTTTTATGTGATATCAAACAGGAGGTACATACCAACTTGACAAAATATTCCATATTTGAATATCGTTGTACCTTTTGGTTACTGTATTTTATGAATACTCTTGTAATAAGAGTATGAATGCCTGAATGAACTGCACTCATGAGCAAAGGTAGGTTAAAATTGTAATGGTCTTTTCCCATTAGAGTCTTGTTATACACTGATAAGGCAGTTGAGAAGAAATACCAGGTTAATATATACAAGGCGTTATATCTCCATTCTGACTTGAATACGGATTTCATGTGAAGATAAGGAAAGAAAAAGAGAATAGTTGGTATTCATGTTTATCGTTCGACTTTTTGGAGTTTCTTTTTTTTTTTTTTTTTTTTTTTTTTTTTTTTGACAGTCTAGATTTTGAATGCTTACATTGGGGGGAGGTCACCAGAACACATTAAGTGCACCTAACCTTTTGATTGGATCATTGCCGTGGACTTGCTTAAATCACTTTTTTTATTTATTTATTTTTGTTAAGCCTCCTTCTTTCACTCCATATACTTTTTTCCTTTTTGAACTATGGGAACTTTTTGGTGGGGACAGAGTGCACTGGACGAATTAATTGGTAAACAGAAAATAAAAAAAAAACCGACCTTGGGCTAACAAAGGGCGAGTATAGAAAAGGCTACTTCGGAGTTACTGCCAGCTGGGCAAGTTGATCTAGCGCTTCATCTCGAGATTAGTGATCAAATAAGAAGTAAAAAGGTGAATGCTAAAGATGCCATCAAGTCACTTAAGCAACGCCTTGGACATAAGAATCCAAATGTTATCCTGGCTACGCTGTCTGTAAGTTTTCTTTTTTTTTTTGTCGTGGAAACACAAATGCCAAGAATTTTTACTAATCTTAAAAAAAAAAGCTGGTGGATACCTGCATGAAAAATAGCGGAAGTAGTTTTGTAAAAGAAGTCGCGACCAGGGAGTTTATGGAAGAAATCACGCATTTGATTAAAGTACCCGTAAGTGATTGACGTGGTATATTTCTCCATGTATACTACTAACATGGTTGATAGACTGGATGCAATCAAGATGTGAAGCAAAAAGTACTTTATCTCATCCAAGTGTGGGGAATAGCATCTAAAGGGAATACTTCATTGAGTTATATATCAGGAACATATAGCTTACTGCGTGCTGAAGGATATACATTTCCACCTATCACAGAGCGAATTGATTCTATTTTATTAGAGACTGCTATCGTAAGTGATGATATTAACTGCCGAACAATCAAAAGCCAAATTTTTTAATTCTTTTTAATAAAAAATTAGGCCCCTGAATGGACTGATTCAGATAATTGTGAGCGTTGCCGAATTCCCTTTACAATAACCAATAGAAAGGTATGAATATCATGTATCGTCATTTATCCCTCTCCGTATTTACCTCCCTCTTTTTCTAGCATCATTGCAGACAATGTGGTGCCACATTTTGTCAACAATGCTCATCTAAAAATATCCCTTTGCCACATTTGGGAATCAATGATATTGTACGTGTATGCGACGGATGCTACATTAAAGTGAAACTATCCAAAGTTGCTGATAAGGATGCAATCCCAAATTTGCTGGGTACAACAGCCTCCATCTCCTCTTCATTGACGCCGACATATACTCCTTCGATTAAAAACCGAACTGCTGTTGCTGCTGAAACCATCACGACAACAACTGCGAATCAGGTAACCGATGATCAGTTCGAAGACGACTTAAAAAAGGCTATCGAAATGTCTCTTAAGGAATCCGAAAAGCCGTTGTATTATAAGAAGGAAGAGGTTGTCGTGAAAAAGACGGCGGAAGAAGAAGAGGAAGAAGAGAATTTGGCAAAAGCTATTGCTGCTTCTTTGCAAGATTTACAAGTCTCACACAAATCTTTGGAATACAATAGCGATGCATTGTCTTCGCTTGATATGGAGAATATTCAATTATTTTCAATGCTCATGCAACGTATTCATTTGAATGGGGGCGATGTTTCTGGAGATAGAGATATCAACAAGCTTTACGTTCAGATTGGTTCACTTCAACCAAAATTGGTAAAGACTCTGGACGAGACTAGTCAAAAACATGGTATAAACACGAATTTGATTATCGACAAATATAAAAACACAAAACTTACCTTGTTGTAAAAATAGACGTTTTCGTGGCTTTGCACAACAAATTGAATAACGCCGTTAAAGCATACGATAGGTTGTTAGAAGAACGATTGTCCAAGTCTGCACAACGCCCTTATTACTCCAACCCTCCTCCTCAACACCATTCTGATCCTCAGAACTATAACCATCACTCTCCTGTAAACCCTTCATCTACAAATACACCATATCAGCAACCATACGGACAGCATACGTACAATGTTGCACTTGCTACGCCGACTCAACAACAGCAATATCCACAACAACAACAACAACAGCAACCACAGCAAGTGTATATGGCTACTCCACCTGCACCATATGCTGCTGTATCAGCTGGACCAAGTATTCAGCAAAGATCGTATACCGCGCCACCATCACAACCCTACGTTGCTACACCACCGTTATCTCAGCAACCTGCTTACACTGCCCAGCATCAACAACAACCTTATGTGCCACCAACTGGCCAAGTTTACCCTTCGACATCACAAGAGTATCTAGGTACTTTACCTCCTTCACAAGCAGAATACCAGCAATATAATTATCCAACAGTTCCAACAACAACACCCCAATCTAGTTATTACGGTAGTCAATCTTATTACACTCCACCACAGGGCCAGACCACGCAGAAGCAGCCCGTGGAGGAAGCACCTCTTATTGAACTTTAATAAAGTTGGTTATTAAAAGTTTTTTTTTATGTCGGCAATGAAGACGGCTTGGTATATAAGTAAGGGTAGGTGGGTGGGGGTGAGGCTTTATATTTGACGGCATTATATCTCGTCTGAATACGTTTTGGTTGATATTGCAATGAAAATAATCGATTTTTTTAAGAACGAAACGTTGTAAAATGGCATGATTAGAAAAAGGGACGTAGAATCGTTCTCTTTTTTTTTTTACACTTGTTCCCCTTTTTCTTTTTCTTTTACGTATAAAATGAATAGTGATACTCGTAAAAGTTCATCGATTACGTTGCATGGAAACCATTCACAATGCAAGTATATAATTTGACAGATTGGGATGTAAAAGCTAACCAGTATTTTTTCTGGTATAGACGACAAGGAAGAAAATATCAATGATGCGTATGCAGAAACTTTACATGATGAGACGGGCAGCTTACAGCCTTGGTTTGTGGTACTTGCCACATTTCTTGTACTGGTAGTTGGATTAGGAGCAGGCACAGGGTGGTAAGAAAAAATAAGTAATCTTTTGTTGACTTGGAAAAAAATTAAAATGTTTTTTTTGTTAATTTTAGGGGTAACCAATGAAGCAGATATGTAGTATTAAGGTCCATTTATTCAAAATTATTACATAGGTGTACTTCAAAATTACTTTGAACAACATGACGAGTTTAAAGGCACTTCAAATCTATCTTTTCAATTGACATTTGTAGCAACAATTTGCAATATCTTGATCAATTTACTAGCTCCCTTGGGCCAATTATTGTTGGCTTTGATGGAAGCAAGAACCGTCTTGTTTTTGTCCATTTCTTTTTGTTCTGCGGGTCTTTTACTTGCGAGCTTCAGCACACAGGTAACAAATAGAACATTGCATCATATGTTTTGGAACTGATATAAAAGAGATTATAGGTTTGGCATCTATACTTGACACATGGTGTGATTTATGGTATAGGCTCTTCCATTATGTTTTATGCAAGTAACAGTCCCATTCTTTTGTTGAATTGTATTTCCTAAAATTGTTTACAGATTGCACTTAGTGTTGTTCCCTTGTGGTTTGTCAAGCACCGAGGTATTGCATTGGGTATTATATCAAGTGGTATAAGTATTGGGGGGCTTGTGATGCCATTGATTATGGAGCCGCTGAATACCAGGCTAGGAGCAGGATGGTATTTTACCCTTTCAATTTCCCAAAAAAAAAAAAAGAAAAAAGGCTTACAAATTTTGATCAGGTGTTATAGAATATTAAGTTTGATCTGTTTTGCCGTGGGATTACTAGCATGTTGTATATTTAAGAACAAGGAGGTCGAAGAAAAGCAAGAGAAACCTAATGTTCGTGATATGTTTGACTTTAGCATTGCGAAAGATGGCAAGTTTTTGCTATGGTGTGCAGCTGATATTTTATTAGAGGCAGCTTATAATGTTCCCTATTATTTCCTACCATGTAAATGACTGGTTCTCGTTTTTTTATAAAAAAAAAAACCAATGATTGTATGACTGATTACTCAATTGTAGCATATGCCACTCATCTCGGATTAAGCTCTTCACAGGGTGCGGTTATTTTGTCTGCTGGATCAGGCATGAATGCATTCGGAAGAATCGTATCAGGGTAAATAATCAGAATTGGGAAAAAAAAGTTTAATTTGCTCATGCTTTTTTTTTTTAGATTTCTCGCTGATTATGTAGGTCATGTCAATATTATCATCATCTACTCGATTATTTCTGGGTTGGCTAACCTAGTGATCTGGAGTTATGCAAACACGTTTGGAACCTTGATGGCATTTTCTATTATCTTTGGGTTTTTTGGAGGAGCGTTCATCACACTAAGTAAATAAGGGATTCACATATGTATAGATCTAGCATTTCAACTAATTTTTTTTGTTAGCCCCAACCATCACGTTATTGACAACAGGATTAGAAAAGTTTGAGTCTGGTCTTTCGGTATTTCTTGTGCTGACGGTAATTTCCATGTTTGGGCCCAACTTGGCAGGAGCGATTGAAGGAGTTTCGGGAGAATCACATCCGTTTGATAGCTACAAATATTTCACAGGAGCTTGTTATTTAGCTGGTGCAGTGCTGCTACTTATATTTAAGTTTACTTTAAATAGAAACCCATTTATAAAAATTTAACTCTCAAATGCGGCCAACTTTTTTTTTTTTTTTTTTGGGGGGCGAAGATGTAAATGCATGTGATAGGTAAAAATGTTACCCCGAGCGCGTTTAAACTTTAAACTTGTCCCTCCTTACATTTTTTTCAACATTTTAATGTCTGGCACAAGTAATTATTCAGCTTTCGAGGCCTTTGATCAGTACGATTTCGATAAAGATGTACAATTTCAAGTAAAGTGTAACATTTTGTTGTTTTGTTTTACAATGTATTTACTGTAACTAGTCTGGCATTGCTTCACTTTTAAACAATAAACAAGCCAATGAGGCCGAATTACTCGAGAAGGCAAAATTGTTTTATTATACAAAGTAAATAACAAAAAAAAAAAAGACGTATTGCAGAATAGTGAACATGTTTGAAAATAGGTGTGTTCAAGGTTTTGACGTAGAAGCATACACAAGCTGGAAATCAGAGAAACAGGAACCAGTCGTTGAGCAAGCTACTAAAGAAGGTAATATATTTATATTTGCTAGGGAGATTAAGGTATTGATTGTTCATGTACATAAAGAAACGGACAAACCCCCCAGATTTACGTTTCAAGAGCTTGTGGATATGATCGAAAAGGGGATTGAGATCCCAGGTAAAGAAAATAGATGTGCAAAAAATATATGATATTGACTTTATTAAGCAGGTATTAAACAAATTCCCAATGTTTTGAATGAAGGTACGCCAAGCGAGGCAAAGATGACAGCCCGTCCAAAGCCATGGGAAAGAAAATAAAAAAAGGTTATATTCCCATTTGATGATGATAAGATTCTGGGTCAGGAGTGCCGGGAACAGAAACAGAGTACTTTGATTTGACTTGAGCTTTATATGGTAATTTTGAGAGAGATAGTGAAGAAGGAGCTAATTTTCTTCGCTTCAATAAGACGTCATTGGTTTGTGGTTGTTTGTTACGATGGCAAAGAAAAATGCGGATGCGAGACATAAAGGTGGATAGTAACCAGTTGGTGGATTCAAGTGTGAGTCCGGATACCATCTCAATGGTTAATAGTGTAAGTCGGAGAAAAATAAATGAGGATGTCAGTGTGCTGGTGATCACTGCTAATATTGCCAAAAAGAGCACTACTGTTAATATGATTGGTGTTAATAACAGGCAGCAGACTGTTGATAAAATTAATGGTATCATTTGAGTAATTAAAAGAAGAAAAAAGGAGAAAAAAAAAAAGAGAGAAAGAGAGAGAGAGAGAGATTTAACTCTATTTATACACTGTACAGTAGTATCACATGAAAAAAACCTATCAAAATCTAATTCCCCGCCTCACGGGTTCTTCACAGTTTGTCCCTTTCATACGTCATGGCTTTTCATATGATCATCCTAGACAAATGTTTACTTTGTATATTTTCACTAGTGATTGGTTAGCTTCTCTAATGTCTTTTCCTATGCCCTGAAAATCTCAAAATAATGATCGACAATTCAGACTGTTTTTTTTTCTATCCCCAACAGTTGCTCCATAACAAAAAAATAATGGCGGAACAATATTATTTAAGCTGAAATTGAGTATTATTTCTATTTTGACCAACCCAACATATAAATTTAAATGACCAGAGCCTTGTTTTTCATTTTGATAGAGACTCTTTTTATTCTTAATCCAAAATATTCGATCCAAGCAATTAAAAAAAAATACCTTGGTCTATTTATTATTGCCTAGATTGCTATGGAGCAGCATTTAGAGATGTATCTAAGCAGAACCTATTGTCGTAATGTCCAACCTGTGATACATATACATATATTTGTGTGCGCATTTAAAAGTCCTCAAAAGGATATTTGAACATAAATAACAATGTCACCTAATTATAAATAGCTGGGGAATTACAGTCTTGCTGTACATCCTACTAAATCATGCTGTTTACATGCAAATAAAGATGTATAATCTTGGCTTTTTATTTATAGTTTCATGGTTATACCTTACTGAGAAACATTGACAGTTCTTGTTCATTTACTTGAAGATACATGTAAAAAAAAAAAGATTACCTAAATGCATATACAGACATCGTCTATTTTTCGGTTTTTTTTAATTGTACTAAAATCATAGCACCAAAACTATATATGGCAGAGTTCAGTCGAAAAGAAAATCAAAATATATCAAAACGCTTTGGATATGTTCATCTTTACTATAATTGACAAAATAATCTAGGTACGTTTTATAGATATGCTTCATCAATCAAAAAAAGAAAAGAAAAAAAGAGAGAATGAAAAATTGTAATCGATAATAGAGATGGTGTAGTGATGAACTATTCTGGCGTAAGCATTGTTACCGACACAAAACGTTCAATGACATGGGTTTGCACCTATGAAAGCCCAAAGTCAGGTCGCTGTTCTCTCTAAGCAGCCCATTTGTTACCTCTTATAAGTCTGCAAGCACGTTGTTTTAGAATTTAATAATTTGTAACACCCACATATAAGTTCGTTATAAGTAAGTGAGGAACCAAGTTTTACTAATAAAGAAAGCCCTATTTTTTCAATTACCTCCTGATCTTGACGGGTACCTGATTCACATAAATACCGTATAGATCATGGTCATGTAAAGGACCAGTGACACTATGAGCAAGAAAGGATGAAGAGTACCATTGTCAACTTTAGGAGGAGGATGATTAGTGTGGTACAAGAGGCATAAATCAAACAAATGACTTGTCTACGTCAACAATGTTTCACTGACGGGCAAAAAGAAAGGCCAAATTTAGACAAAACGTCAGGGAGTTACTACAAGAAGCCGAGAATGATTCTAGTTGTTGGTTATTTCTGTGATAGACTACATGAAATTTAAATCTTGTTCATGTATAAAATCAACCCTTTTTTATATCAGCAGTATAATTCTGTAATTAATATTACGATGAAAAAGAAGGGGAGAAGTAGTAGTAGTATATGGTTACGGAGCCAATAACAGAAGATGCATCATGTTGCTTTAATGTATGTTTCCTCGCTTGTGATGTCGATAATGTATACCTGGGGTTGATCACGCCTCCTTAATTTTACAGGTAAATTATGCGTATTTACGCATATAAAAAGAGTCACTGGCGCAACCAAAACAAAAAACAAAGTTTGCTCCATCTCCCCTTCTCTTTTATTCTGTCTCCTTTGGCGCGTGGGGAATGTGTTCAATTCTCCGTTGTAAAAATGAGAAACGTTCAGTTTAGTTTGTTGTAAAAGAACAAGATGGATTAAATAAAAAAGAGAGAGAGAGATGCAATGCACATAACCCTACTTGCATATACAAAAAGTATTTATAAAATAAAATGATCAAAAACGAAATAAAATCACCAAATATGGGTTTGTCAAAATTGGACATATCAAGTAATAATAAAGGGGTTAAAGAGAGGGCGCCCTTCTTGAAATTTTGGCGGCATACATAACACTACTATAAAAAGGATTTATATCCCCCCCCCCCTTTTTACATGTGCGTATAATATCTTCTGCTTATTATTCTCCCCTCGTATACAGCTGCATCTCTCCCTGCCCTTTTCTCCTTCTTTTTCCGTTGCTGATTGGAGACGCTAGTGATGAAAAAAACACAAATTGAGGAAAACTATCGAGCACAAGAGAAATCAACATTCAATCAAAATGTGTGAGAGAAGACTACCATTACAAAAGAAAAATAATAATAATAATGCACACTGTATTAGCAAACCCCCTTAAAAACATGAAATTCCTTTAAATAGACCCTAAATTTTATCACAAATGCTTTTTTTTTTTATCAAAATCAAAATATTGATGACAACTCCTTTTCGCTGTTGATTATCATTTAATAACGTGTATTTTCTCTAATTGTATTTTTCTCTTTATAATAATCTATTTGGTAAATATTATTCTTGTAAAAGCCACAAATATACACATAATTAATTGTTTTCAAAAAAAAAAAAAAAAAAAAAAAAATATAGCCATGGATCTTAAATATCTTTTATGCGAGCCTATCTCAAAATTTGCAGTCAAAGCAGAACAAAGAAATGTAGATTGGCATGCCAATAACAATGCAACCACGATCTATCCAACTACCAAAGGACAGGATTGGATCATGAACAGTCCCAAAAGTATGTGTAGCAGTGTTAGTACCTGTAGCAGTACTAGTACTAATAGTGGAGATGAATACAGCAATCATCCGACAAAATCATCCGTAACCAGAAGAAGGACCGAAAGTGATGTCAGCCTTACCAGACACCATATGTTTATCTATAGTCATCCAAACCGTAGACCACGCTCTGAATCTGCAGGAAATAATAATAATGTGCAGACGAGAACGCCCTGGACGCCCTTCGAAGATCATTTGCTTCAACAAGGTTACGATCAAGGTCTTTCTTGGGCCATGATCTCCTCAACCTATCTTCCTCACCGATCAAGAGGCTGTTGCTGGGGTCGCTTTAAGACGTTACAGAATAAGAATATGGTCGATCCAACTCACTCTCATATGCGTCATTTCAGAAGACCTTGGAAGGCCATTGATTTCAATAACAAGAAACTTTCTCTCTAACAACAACACTTCATACTCCGACACATCAACCTACAAAACCAACAAAAAAAAGCAAGAAAACCAAAAAAAAAAAAAAAAAATAAGCAAGGGACAAGACCCCCTTCACATAAACCAACAATTCAAGTACTTTCCTTTCTCGCGTTAACACCTATTTTTATGATATGAACCTATGAATCCCTATGTCCAATACTTGTAGCTATAATTTTTATGCCCTACTTTCTTTTTCTTTACTTATTATTATTTTTCAGCCAGGTAGCTGATTCCCCCTTTCATTTCTATTTATTCTTCATTATTATCCCCCACCCCTCTCAACCCAAAAAAAGACAAATTGTCAAGGCCTTTAATAAACTTTTTTATTTCTTTTTTTATACAATTCTTACATCCAATTATACTTGAGCTTTGTCATGCAGATACAGATTTAATAACACACTGCCATTACGGCTCCCCCAATTGGCACATTTAATAATTCCCAATTGACACATTTAATTCAATTTTCAATGAGCGCATACGCCTTTCAGTGACTTGACTGTTAAAATTGAGGACGTTCCCTAATACTGACGGCGTTAAAAAACGCGAACACTGCTAGATGGACTCCCTTTATTTGTAGCTAATTTTAGAAAAAGCAGAGTCAACCCCCACCCACCCAAAACTGTATGTAATTAAAGCTACAGTGGTCCGAATCATTTGAAAAGCCCTAGCCACAAAGAGTTTCAAATTTATGCACAAGTTGTATTTGGTTTAAAATGCGACTTTTTTACAAATCTGACTTAGTCTATACACATGGACCTGTTAAAAAAAAGAGCCTAAGACTAGATTAATGTCACTTGTTTTACTTTTATGTATAATGCAACTTGTATCTTTTGACAGGAAATGAAACACAAGTGCGGAATACAATAAAACTGTCTAAAAGGCAAATTTCTGAGAGGCCACTAACAAAGCACTATAATAAGCCAATATCTTCTGTCTTTCTTTTTTTGAATCATTCTTGCTTTTTAAAGTCATATTCACATACAATATATAGGCATGTCGAGTCGAAATTAGGAAACACCTATAATAAATAGACGAGGTCCTTCTGGTGAACCCTCTCGTTTTCAATCACGAAAAATTGTAACACTAATTATGCTGACTCTTAATTATTCGCATAAGTAAATATATAAAATAATGGGCAATGTTTCAGTACAATCAGTAAAGTCATTAAGATGAAGGCATGCTTATTAAGGAACCACAGAGCTTGAACTCAGGCGGGCGTACATTTAAATTATACCGTACAGCAGCATGATAAACAGACTCGACTCTAACAGCTCATGAATGCAGGCTCTATCGAGTACATGCTTCAATTCATCAGTACTCGGAAAAGTTTTACATGATTTGAAGCACAATTGTTATTTACTATGATGGAATTATTCCTCGTATTTTTAGTATTATATATCATTGAGTTTCACATTAAAAATATGATTCGCTTTGCTTTTGATCATCTTTTATTTTAAATTGCGCATAATGTTGTAGTTGTAAGCTTGTATCACCAAACTATCTCTGCTGACAATTTTAAAATCGTCTAATTATTGAATAGTTGCAATAACTAATTAAGCTAAGATTTCACCAAGAGGGCGCTATTCCATATGTTCTTTCGTTACAGAACAGTAATAAATGTCCCTTGTCAAAATAAATTTGCCTTAGATTCTTCACCGTGATCATAATGGCTTTCTAATTTGATCGGATGGAAGAGATAATTAGAAATAAACAGACAAATTTAGTTACACATACATCACTCTCCAGTGTTCATGGTTCCGACGAATTTTTTTCTGCGATTTAGCAATGTATACCAATAATGTGGTCATTCTGACGCGAAAAAAAAAGAAGCCACGCATGTGCATAATATAAATCGGCAATATTATCACTGGTGCTGCTACTGTAGTCGTTGATTATTAATCACAGCTGAAGCCGCTATTACTCCTATAATTAGTGCTATGAAATCGGCAGAGGAATTTATTTAAACCGATGATTTTTCTGCGCCATTTTCTCGCGGTTAATCTCCCTTTATGTTTGAGGGTATATATCAACTTCTTATCATAAAGATGTCCTTGTATTATTATTTTACAACGCTGTCATTCAAAACCTGCATGCTAGAGCCTATTTGTAACGGCGATCTTGTGGCTTCCAGTGCTTATTGACTTGAATTTTCTATTTATCTTAATTGGAAGGCCAAGCAGTCTCTTATAACTTGTCAAATTAGATATATTCTTCAAATTGTAATAATCATCTCATCAAGTAATATATAAACTTCATGGCGTCATCTGTGGTGGTAAGTACTTGACCATGCATTATGAACAACTGAAGTTTATTGCTTCTGTCAAAGTAAAAAAATAAACGCGGAAAATGTAATGCACCGATTGGATGCGCTCATTAAATTGTGTTGATGCGCCAATTGGAACTAACAAATAAGACAATTGGTAAGCACTGCATTGGCTTGACCGAAAAGTAAATTTCAAGTTACGTGTATCATTTGATGCCCGAACAGAACACAAAAGAAAACTTTTTTTTCCGGGTATAAAAGAGACTTGAACAATGCATCTAATTTTTTCTTTTTTTTAATTACAACTCAAACAAAAAAAAAATGACTACTTTATACGATTTCACTGTCAAAGATATTAACAACAAGGAATGGGATCTTTCTGAACTCAAGGGAAAGGTATAGAAGGGTTTATTGTTGGAATATGAGGATCTGTTTGTATTAAAATTATATTTCGCAGGTTGTTTTGTTTGTTAACGTTGCCTCCAAGTGTGGTTTCACCAAGCAATACGCTGGTTTAGAAGAGCTTTACAAGAAATATCTTGATAAGGGTCTCGTCATTATCGGTGCCCCTTGTAACCAATTTGGAAGCCAAGGTAAAACCATTTATTTCTTTGCCAGAAAGTCAGACTGACATTTTTTTTTCTGAAAAAAAAAATAGAACCTGGTAATGAGGAAGAAATTCAAAACTTCTGTACTTTGACCTGGAGTGTTACTTTCCCTTTGACTGCCAAGCTGTAAGTGGACTATGCTTATAACAAATAGATACAAGCTTATTTATACGCGTATATAGTGATGTCAATGGCGATAACGAAGCACCAGTTTATAAGTGGTTAAAGGAATCTCAACCTGGTATTCTCGGGTAAATAACAATATTAAGTGCATCCGGGATATGATATTCACAAAGATCTTTTTTTCTTTTTAATATATCTAGTTTAAAGCGTGTTAAGTGGAACTTCGAGGTAAAACATCACATGAATCTACTATGGCGTCATGACTAATCTTCTCTTTAAAAATAGAAATTCTTGATCGATCGTGAAGGAAAGGTCAACAAGCGATATGCCTCTACCACCGAGCCTAAGTCTATTGCTGCTGACATTGAAAAGCTTTTATAATCGAATAAAATTTGTAATACCAATGCTCGCAATTTGCGTGTTTTAAAATATTGCTTGTCTTTTTGTAAGAAAAAGGAATCAACATCGAACCCTTGCTTACTTCACTACCCACATTTACTCTCACAACATTTTTTACCCTTAAGGAGCTTCATCTTATATAAAAGTTTAAGCGGCCATATCATTGTAACTTTTTTTCATACTTCACAGGATGATCGATTTAATTTTCCATACGGGTTTATAAGGACACCTAATTCCTCTTAGGGACTAATAGGGTGTGCGTAGTCGTTCTATACGGGTATATCAATGGTCTCAATATCAACTTGCGGGAGATTTTAAACCTCTTGGAACCCAAACAGCGTGCAAACAATGACTTTATTTTACTTGACCCAAAGGAAAAAATTGCGCCAGTGCTTTGGTCTCCTCTGATTCACTGTCCTCTTGCTGCCCTTCCTTGTAGTGTGTTGGATAGACAGTTTAAATTTGCTTCACTCATATGTTTACCGCAGAACATATTTCGTCTCCTACGATCCCGTTAACACAAGTAATGGTATAATTAATGGCGCTGGCTGAGCTTGGCTTAATAATATATCGGACACCCCCGCTTTTTTTCAAAGATCATATCAACGAAAGCAGACGCACTAACTAGGTTATACTCGCTGCATCCGACGAGCAATTCTTTTTTTACAGAATTACCAACTCAGTTCGTTTTGCGACCAAAGTTGGTAACAATAACAAAAAAATCCTTTAGACATAGCGACAATGATTTCACAGTTGTAACTTGGTTGTGCATTTACTACTAGGTAGTATACCTGCCTTTTATAAATGCATTGAATTTTAATATGCAGAATACACTACTATATATAGACATTCCAGCAGACATCTGTATTGTAGCATGTCAAATGAGAGGGGGAAGGGGTGTATGGGATGAGGTCTGACATAGATTATGCAGCGGATGCTAAACCAAAACCGCCTATCTTGATTGAATTTCAAAATGTAGTCAACCATGAAATTAACAATTAGAGTTATAAGCTATTCGAGCATTGAAGTTGATAAGGAGGACAATATACCAAGAGTTGTTGTAAAAAAAAAAAAAAAAAAAAAAAAAAAACGAAGGCCATATCGATAAAAGTTTTGCGCTAACAAGAGAACAAAGCAAACTTCTAATCGAACGTACGAAGGCATCTGTATCAAGCCAAGCTAACATTAACGAGAATGCATTCTTTTTATTGCACAATGTATAGCTGAAATACGAGAACCCAGCGATTCAGTGGCAAAACCTGAAAAAAAAGGGCTATTTAAATCATACCCATCTTCACACAGCCGTAAGACATCTTACCATCTACAAAAACGAAAGAAACAATTGAGTAAAATTTTTTTTAACTCTTTTTTATCAATCTCAGTTTCTCATGTTAGAAAATTATTATGTGAATCAGTCTTACACAAGGAAATTAGTTTGTTGGGATTTGAAATAAATCGACATGGTTGATTAAGACAGATATGAACCTGTCATTAGAAAGTTTTAATAAGAAAACTGTTATATTAAAGTAGTACAAAGCAATGGTAGTGGGAGCACGTGTGACATACATGCACTATATTTAACGAGATGCTTTGCCGCCGAGAACATTCCCTTCTCCACCCGTTCTGTCTGTTGTTTCTTTCAAACCCATTTCTGCCACTTTGTCGAATTTAGATTGATGTGACGCTTGCTGAGGATGAGGATCCAAAACACCCGATTTATTTCCTTCCAACATTAGTGTCTCCCGGGCTCGACGGAACGCCACATCAAAATTAGTAGGTAAATGGTCCATAATGATGGATTTTTTTACAACAAGTTCGCTACACACTCTTTCTGCTGTTGTCTTTTCTACCACAATACGTGATTCATTCGCTGGAGTTGGATCCTACGTTTCAGTTTGTAAGTGACATAAAGATATATTCTTGTTATGCAACTCTTACCAGCCAAAATTGGTATACTTTCCCAGCTACATACAACTGCATTCACAATGTCAACATGCATTTTTACATATTCCAACTATACATACTTACTCTAGGATTCTCATCCATAGTGTCTAAACACCGTTTCCGAACTTCTGCAATCTGTTTGAATGCTGTCTGCCATTTCTCCCCTTCCAAATCACCAGACCATATAATTTCCCCTAGGCCCATATCCTGCACTGCTTCTGTACTTGCAATGATCATTTCTTTGACGCCCATCATCGATCCATAACTAAGTTTACTTACCACATCATCAGCAAACACAAACGATTGAATTATATCCTGGTTTGAGATTTTGAGATTTTTCTTCCCTTAATTATTCATACTATTTACTTACGCTGTATTTCTCTGCTAAATCAAGGCTAAGGCCACAAGCAGGCGCATAACCAAAGCACTGTAATTTAAAACCCTTGTCCTTTTGCCTGAATTCCTCAATATAATCGGTCAAGATGATCGTTAAAATAGCGGCGGTGGATGCGCCCATACTATGACCGACAATGGTAAGTGCTGTAGCTGAATGTTCATTGGAATAAGCAATCAATTGTGGAACGACGTTCCGGAAAAACCACATTGCAGAGTTCTTCATGCCGCTATGTACAAATCCACCTTTCCAAGGTTCGTATTCACAAACCAAATCTGTCAATGTATCCATGATACTCTGTTAATGGTTACTAATTGTCTTTGTTTTCGTCCCACATGTTTTACCATGGTTCCTCGAATCGACAAGACAATAGAATTCGTAAACCGGTCTCTTGCAATAAAGTAACTTGGCCTAAATGCTTCTGCTGATCGAAATTCGTAGGCCAGTAAATCTTCTTTTGGTATGATCAAGTATTCAATGATGGATTTTGCGTCAGAGTGTTCACGCATGGCATCAGAAAAGATGCCATTGCCTTGACCAATAAAATTCAGCCCTTTCCAACCGTAAGAAGCAATTGAAAACTTCCAGTATCTGGCTGCCATATCAATCTCTGATAATTGACCTACCAAGTCCCATGTTCTTTCTCTTGGCAAATCAGTATAAAACTTTTCCAGTACAGAGAAGCCTGTCAAAACCTGTACATTGGTTAATTCAAATCCTTGATTAAATGTGGCAAGTAGCTTGGAAATGGTCTTAATCACTTGACTCGTATCAGAGGCACCGGACCAAGAAGAGGTAGGTTCTGATATTTTTTTACTTTCTAGAATTTGTGGTGATAGTGGTGCTGCCACCATCTCGCCAAATTCATCTTCGTCGTCGGAACTGACGTGACCGTAATTGACTAGATCCGCTCTACGTCGACTAATCGTGATTAAGGAACCGGTCAGGTCTTCCTCTTCTCCGCTATCGTCCGGATAATCCAAACCCTGATTCTCCTCATATTTTTTGAACCTTTTCTCTGATTTTTTGCGTTCGCGTTGAAACTGCAAATGTCTCTTAAATTCAGCATCCAATTGCTCTTGGGACAGTAAGTCTGTCGCGCCTTGCGGGATAGTGGTCGTACGAGTCCGAGCAATTTTTCCGAGATCCTGCTGAGGATCGTTTGAAGAGGAGGTCTTGTACCGGTAGGATATTCTAGCCTGTAAGGCGCCCATGTTATTGACGGCGGCTCTTTCTCTTCCGATGCTAGAACTGGCACCTGTGGATAATTTTTTGTCCCAGATTTCGTAATAACTATCAAAAGTCTCTGGCATCAGTTCCAGGGTCCTTAAACGAATTTCTGCTCTTCCTACATGTTTATCAGGATAGATAGTATAACTGTCGTACAAGTCTAATTGGATCGTGCCGAATAATTGGGCGTGGAAAGTCACGGTAAATTCAAAACTTTCATTCCATTGTCGAGATTCTGATATAGAAGTTTGATGACGCTGTTCTGTAACAATAAACATTTAGCATTAAAAAAAAACCTCCCTGGAAGTTTTTTTTTTTTTTTTACCTCCTAGTGTAATGATGACATAGGGTCTTTGAACCTTGACATTTAAAAAGCAAGACATGACTTGAATCTACACCAAACATTAGATGTCTTTTATCTCACGACTTTTTTTTTTCGGTTCTTTCTTACGATTAGTTTGCCATCGTCTAGAGGTTTTGTCAGGTCAACTGATTCAGAAGAATTGCTAGTCATTTATTAGAAGAAAAACCAGTATAAACAATGGAATTCTTGTGTCATGCGTTTTTTGTGGAGAGGAATTCCAGTCACAAGTATGAAAAAACATTGAAGCGGGGTTTAGGGTTGCAAGATGATGTCGCTTAAGAAATGCATGAAAGATAAATGTTTACTCGAAATTATGACTTTTTCATATCATGATGGCTGGAGTGTAAAAATAAATTAAATGTTTGCTTTAAATCTTATTTAACAGTGTTGTTAAATTTTAGGAGCAAGCCCGAGCGGGCAAGTCTTTTGAAAGAAGAGAGTTTGAAATGAGGTCAGATGCGTATGCGATATATTATGTATAAATGGCACTCATCCTTACCCATTCAAATGAATTGAAATATTCTAAAAATAAATTTAACGCTTGTTTTAATGGTGGAAATACTTAATAGTGATACATTCTTCTTTGTTTGTGGGCCATGCATAGAAATTTAATTTTTGTATTGAACAGAATTTATTCTAGGTGTGCATCAACAATTTGTACATCAAATATTAATTAAATCTCGAAATCAAAAAAAAAAAAAAAACTTGTGAAAGTCAGAGAGCAAATGTTATTTCTTTGACTGTTCGCTTGTTTAGTGTATTTTAATAATCTGACGGGTACCTACATTTCAGGAACTTTGAACGTAAAATGTAAAAGCATTGTCAGAGTTTCTTTGTTTTTTAAAGCTCATATCTGGAATAAAGCAGCTAGATTCTTTCATAATAAAACAAGAATACTGGCAGGTCATCACGGAAACTGTTATAGAATTGAAAATGCGTCGATTATAAAAACGCTTGAAAAGATAGAATCTATCAATCTAAGAGACCAGATTGTACTACAGTAATAGGATTTAAAGTTGGTAACTACTGTCTTATACCTGCATGCAAAGAAAATACGGGTACTTTGTGCGGGTTCTTGATGCGGTGTATGTTTCAAACTGATAGAGAAACATTTAGTGTTTGATAAAGATCTAGTCTTTGGTAGCCGCAGCCAAAGCAACATTTAATATTTGCATTCGGCATCTTTTTAACTTTATTATTGAGGAGTAGTAATGAATCTAAAATTGTATATATAGAACTACAATTACTACTGTGTGTTTAAAACTGTGAAATCTAAATCTATGTGAGTGTAACTGCAATTGCGTGTCTCAGACTACAATCATGTGTCTAAAACTATGGCCACGACCACAAAAACTGGATCTTCTACAAATCATTGAACACTGTCCGCTATCGATTTTACGCATATAACAAATTAAAAAAATTAATAATCAATGGCTAAGTAGTGTTTTAAGATAAGCAAGATAAGCGAAACCAAAGCAAACTTCGAAGGTAACAAAGCGACGACTTTTTTTTCTCGCTGTGGTTAAACGGAGTTTGTGAGTGGAAATTTAAAATATTTGCAAATGTGGCCTCCAACAGTTTTTCGCTCTAACACTTACCAATAATATAGTGTTGGAATAAGGGACGTTTTATGGCGAGTGAAGTTTTAAATACAAGTAGCTTGTTCTATAGGCTGTCAATAAGATTATTAAGGTTTTATTTTTTAAATTGAGGAGAACTTTACAATCCATTTTTTTTTTCCTGTTTTTAGAAATGGACATTGGATCAGGAGATCGAGCTCCAGCGTACGTAAAGCAATACAGAACAAGCGTTGTAAATTAAGGGCATTGGATTTAGGGAACCTCAAATGCAACCACACAAAGTATATACTAACAGCGGTATTTTTATTTTGTCCTGTCGAAAATGTTTGTTTTTCAATCCCCCTTCTCCCCCGTTTTTCTTGCATATGTATACTGTGATGATTAAAATCATATAGCCATAAAAAGGTCAATAGTTGGTTTTTTTTGTCAAGGTAAGGGTATGAATCTTATAATCAGGGTAGCTTTCAAATGTGAAACATGATTGATTTTATGCATGTTCTCATCATGCGAGCACATTTGACGTTGAAAGTAACTGTAAATAACATTTTTATTTATGAAAAGCCGTATCATTGTATTATGTTTCCATGGAGACGAAGATAAATGATATCAGAAGAGGACGAGGGTTTGTTTTCTGGAAAAAATTGGTGAGCTGACTGATGCATATATGGCATTTAAGTGAACATCGAATCAAAACTGTCAACTACACTGCTGATTTGAAAAGAAGTTTCTCTCCGTCTCCATATCGGTGGAAACAACTCTTTCCTCCTTTTGTGCTTTAAAACAGGAAACATTTTAGTTTGTCCGGGTAAAGAAAACTATACCTGAACTCATACCCTGAATTTCTTGATGTATGCCACCATCTAAAAGACAAGACATACATTTGGCCCCCCCTGGCACAATCCGCTACGAGATTGAGTACCAATTTGAATGTACTCCTAGACCCTGCTCTGAATGCGTTAAATGTCTTTTTTAACGTTCAGTCCCCTAACCAATATTGGCAGATCGGCAAAAATCATGCAGGTTTTACAAATCCACACTAAAACTAGGCTGGTCAACTAGTGAGCTAAATCACCGTTTGAGTTTTGTTTGCGCAACTCATGTGTCAAACACACTAACTTAGTCTGATAGAAATCAGCTGCAACAGCGTGTGCAAAGACTTTTTTGTTAAATTAAAAACCGACATTTAAGTCGCGCAACAGCAGTAGTAGTAGCAGTAGTAGCAGTAGTAGCAGTAGTAGCAGTAGTAGCAGTAGTAGCAGTAGTAGCAGTAGTAGCAGTAGTAGCAGTAGTAGCAGTAGTAGCAGTAGCAGCAGTAGCAGCAGTAGGCAAAAATGTGCTCCTTCTAGAACCCGGCCTGAGCTATTTGTAGATTATATTTTGCCAAGCGAAATCCCCGACCTCGGGTCGAGGCAAATGTTCCAAGGAAAAGAGCTTCTCCCAGAACATTTAGCAAGAAAGATTTTTTTTTGTTGGGTTTAAAAAAAACTGGAGTTGTACATGACGTGCGAAAATAGAATATCGGCTTTTAACGACAAAGTATAATTGTTAAAAATAACAGAAATAAAAGAGCCCGCTCTATGTGGCGTGTGTAATGGGGCTTTGACTCCTGTGGGAGAGAATGACAAAAGAGGGGGAGATCTTCCATATGCAAAAAGTCACCCGCCAAATTGAACAAAAGAGACCTTCCCCTCCGTTTGAAGGAGAGGATGATGGAAAAACATAAAAAGAAAATGTGAAAAGGATCGTCGGGTCTTGTTCAAGAAAAAAAAATATACTTTTATTTATAGCTCAGTATTCATTATTTGTTTTGTTGGGGGAAAATGTCGCTTGAGATAATATAGAAAGTATTTTATGAATGCAAAACTCCTTAATTGTTAATTCTAATACTGTTCTTTAGCAAAAAGAATACGGTTATTAGTGTCAACCCATAAAGGTTTTTTTTTTCTGCTAGGATTGACAAGAGTGACGAAATGGGGTCCAGGCACCGAAAAAATCTGAGATTTAAACGGTTTCAATAGGACTAAAATATTAAGTGTGTGTGTGTGTGTATGTGTGTGACACACACACCATCCGTATAACTCAGCCTTATTGTCTCGAATCTCTCTATAAATAATTAATCTTTTTTTTTTTCTTTTTTCCTCTTTTCTTTTTTTCTTCTTAATACTATTACATGATCTGTCAAAATCCTCAAAACGAGAATATTCATAAGAGCCGATTCTCTTTAAGTGTAATAATCCAGAAAAGGATGAATTCGTGATGAAAAATTAACAATTTTTTGTGTATAGTTGGACTCTAATTCTCCTAACGACATTGCAAAAAGACAATCATATCAACAAGATAAATTATTTCCAATGGATACCACAACAATAAAAAGCCGGTAATTTAATTTTTCTCCTTAATATATTTTATAAATTAATGACTGATGAGGTTGCCAATTTGCCATATTTAGTGCAGAATCGGGTATCCTCTACAACGAACAACAATCTAATAAAAAAGAAAGTCATTGGGACAAGATTGAATCGTACTATGTAGCACGATTAGACGCACTGGCTAAAGATATTGAATCTTCCACTTTGCACAATCACAAGCTTTCGGCTGCTCGCGATGAATTATTAGCCGACATTTTAAAACTGCACCAAAAATCTATGGAATTGAATCAAAAGAACGAATGCTTAATCAGATCCATTGCTGAGAAAGAAAATCATATCAGCGCCTTCATGTATAACGAGCCATCTTCAGTAGCCGCAGTAACACCTGTTGGCGTCACTTTATTTGACCAGCCATATACATTACCTCCTCCTCCTGCCGCCGCCCCTTCTTCTTCTACTACTGCTTCTCCTATCTCTCCTATCGCTGATTCTACTTGTGCACCTATGGAACAGTCCACACCACCAGTAACACGAATTCATGTGCCCAAGAAAGAGCCTGGCATCTTTAGACAAATCAGCCTAAGATTATCAAACCGAAAGCGAAGACAGCATGATGATACAGCTACTTCTTTAAACATTTCTGACCCCATCAGTTCAGTGAGACAGAACGATTCGATGATTACACCAGTTGCATCATCATCTGAACCACTGTTGCATCCTGCTGCAGTGGTCACATCGGCAGTGGATAACAAGAAAAAAAGTGAGTGTTATTGTTGGGGGGAGGGGAGCCTTGTTATATAAAAATTACACGTGTTTACAATTTTATAACAGAATTAATATTTGGAAATGATCTTATTGAACAAGCGAAATCCGAAAATTCCGTGATTCCATCCGTGGTGTTAAAATGTGTACGAGAAGTTGAATCGCGAGGCATATCTGCGGAAGGTATCTATCGAAAATCAGGCACGTTTGGACAAGTGCGAGAACTGCAAGAGGCATTTAATGAGAATAAGAACCCAAAGTTATCACAGTACCAAGACATTCATGTTATCGCGACCTTATTAAAACTCTATTTCAGAGAATTAGCGTCACCTCTCATTAGCAATGACTTCATTTGTAAGTTGGTGTGGTACTGAATATTTAAGGTTTTTTTCGATGATATTAAAAATTATTATTATAATATAGTACCACCATCATTAAGCTCGCAAGAAAGGTTAAACAAGACGTACGCATTACTTCATAATATGCCAATTGAACCTTATTGTACCATCAAGTTTTTGGTGCAACATTTAAAAAAGTAAGTATAAAGTACTCCCCGTAGGCTTCTTTCTCTCTAATTAAATATCCCCGATTATAAATAATAGGATTCATCAAAACCATGCGATCAATAAGATGACATCCAAGAATATCGCGGTGGTTTTCGGTCCCACTCTCATGAAATTCGTTGCAGGCAATGAAGAACAACAAATGCGAGATATGATTAATACGGTGGATTTTATTATTCTTCAAAGCCATATCTTGTTTGCCGATTACTCATAAATCTCTTTATTTTTTGTACATTTATTCATATATATACCCCTTTCCTACTTCCTACATCGGTTTAAATAAAATACAATTAACTTTCATTTTCGCCAGCGCGTGCTCTGTCTGACTACAAATGAGAGTCGGGCCATAGTCGATTTGTAAGGAAACATGGACCCCCAAAAAGTCTTTAATCCCTGTGTGACACGAATTTAATTAAACATTTCTGCATTATGGTGTGACAATGCGATTTACACATAAACTCAATCATGCGTCTCACCACGGAATGCAGTAAAAGTTTAAGTGCATAATGAAGTATTAAATGATTTAAATGATTTATTTACAAGGTTCCCTATTTTAATCTAACTGCTCAAAGATGTTCATGAGAGTCGTCTTATCCATAGGTATAAAAAGAACTCGGTTCCGTCCAAACCCTTTTTGGTAGAGATGAGTTTATGATCTTTGAATTCGGTCAGTTCGGTTTTGAAAGCCAAATCACTTGAAACAAAGAAGCCTTCACGGCACTTTTGATAGTATTGATTATAACTAAGACCAACCGATTCATTTCCTTTTCCTTCCATATTCGCTAATTCCATCTCTGGGAGTTGATGCTCTGCTAAAATCTTGAACACACCACGTGCGTTCGTCGTTAAGGAATCCAAGACAAATTTAGCGCCTCGGGTACCATTGTATTCACCCGTTCGTACCAACAAAGAGTTTTCGAAACTAGTTTCAACAAGGTAGTCATCAAAGGTAGTTGCATCATGCCAAATCCAGTTAAACCGACTGGCTTTTACATTATCCCACAGCAAACCTGCATTAATATGATCGACAGAGGCCACCAAGTGAATGTTATCTGCATTAGCTAGCATCGACAGTGCAGTTTGGGTGCGTTCGTTACGAAGATTAGGGCCATCTAAATTGTGAATGACAATGTAAAGACTTTCGTATTCCCGGTCTGGATCAGCGAAATAATCACAGATGAATTTGACGTGATCGCTAATTTGACCGGTGGGTCCTGTTGTACCCAATGCTCCCGCAGATATCTTTAGCAAGATGTCTTTAATGGAAATAGAAGGAAAGAAACCATTGACCACAATCAAGGGGCCATCTGTTAAAGAAGATTGAGCGAATTCGTTTAATAAATTACGCTTAGATCCATATCCATAAAACACCAGATTAAAACCGGAATGGAGTTCAAAAAACCACTGGGGAAAATGTTGTTTATGCATTTCTGACAGGATAGCGATTTCATGTTCATGCTTCCTGGGTGCGTCAGCTAAAATCTGATGAAATTCTTGCGGTTCAAGTACTTGCAGTTTTGATAATGTGTTGTTTGAAGTTTTGGAACTGGTATGAAGATCTTGAAAATATCTTTCATAGCCTTCTGTATCATGAAACATGGACTTCTTCTTCTTTTCTTCTTCTTCATCATCATCATCATCTTCAAGTTCTTCCTTTTCTTCTTCACTAGATGTATCTTGTTCTTCTTCAGAACTATTTCGATTGTCTTTTAATAGTTCCATTTGTCTTTCTACACGACGTCTCTTAGTATGATCCGGCGCTACTTTTGTAAGTTGATGTTTGGTGGTTTTTTTCACTCTACTCGATGTTTTCACAGGCTCTTCTCCTTCCAACACCAAGGCTTTTTTCATCATGCCGTTGGGAGTTTTTTTAACTGCGTGTTGGAAATTAAAGATGGATCTGCCGCTCAAGTCTGCATTTTCCTTGTCGTCATGATGTGAAGGTTTGTAATGGGTTAGGGATTGCACAGATTCATCTTCATTCATTGGGCTTGCTGAACGTTCTTTCAGGCTTTGATTTTTATTGACGGTTAAGCCTACATCAAGGTAGTCTGAGGCTTTTAATAACGTCTTTTTAGATCTTGCCTTGTGTGACTTTGCTAATTTTTCTTCTAGCAGCAGTGTTTTAGCATCGACGGTGCTGACAATATGAATTGGAATTTCTTCGTCTGTTTGTGAATGAATTTTGAAGGACATGTTTGTGTCTTTGTTGTATGAGAGAGAGAGAAAAAAATAAAAATAAAAAAAAAGAACGCCTCGTTCAAAAAAAAAAAGTCGTCGTCACGCGTCACATTAAAAAAATCATTTCTTTTTGACACACACGAATACACTAATGTCAACCATTGACAAGCAAGAGTAAAGTTACCCCCCCCCTCTCACGTCGCTTTTCCGCTTGTGTTTCTGGAAAAAGTATTAACCATCTCTAGACAGTGTTGTTAAATTGGTTTTGCAATTTTTACGCGAAAACAACTTAATTCAATCTCTTTCAGCGCTTGAAAAAGAATCGAATCTATACTTGAATACAGTCGAGAATAAGCAAAAGTTTCTACAGGATATATTAGATGGACGTTGGGATATTATTTTAAAGCAAGCACAACATCTCGGTCTGGATAAATTAGACTTATTTGATCTGTATGAACAGGTAGCATCCGTTGTGTATACACATATTCAACACTTTCTCATCATACTTTTTTTTCATCAAGGTGACATTAGAATTAATCGAGGCTAATGAACACAGCGCAGCAAAAACACTATTACGAAAATCAAATATCCTAAGAGAATTATGCGAAGTAGATCCCGAACGATACCAACGCATGGAAGAATATTTGGAGCAACCCAAACAACAATTGTACACCAACGAAGCACGTAGAACCCACATTGCCCAACGTAAGCAATGACTCACCCTCGATAAAACGAGTGACTAATGCATACCTGTTAGAATTGGAAAAGAAAGTATCAGTGGCACCCAATAGCAGATTGTTAACCTTATTAGGCCAAAGTCTAAAATGGCAACAGCAACAAGGCATTTTATTACCAGACTCATCATACGATCTCTTTCGAGGCACCGTGGCTTTACAAAAGGCAGAAGAAGATGTGTTTGCATCAAAGCCTTACGTCTCAATTAAATTTCCTGGTAAAAAAACTCATGCCGAATGCGCCTCCTTCTCCAAGAACGGGCAGTACCTGGCCACCGGTTCAGTGGATGGATTTATCGAAATTTGGAATTACATGACGGGTAAATTGAGAAAAGATTTAACGTACCAAGCCAAGGATAGATTGATGGCAATGGATCAATCCGTACTCTGTGTACAGTTCAGTCACGATAACGAGTTGTTAGTCTCGGGTTCGGCAGATGGTAAGTTGGCGATCTGGAAGGTCAAGTCGGGCCAGTGCCAGAAACGTATACCCGCTGCTCATATAGAAGGCATCACGTCAGTCGCATTCAGTAAAGATAGCTCGCAGATAATTAGTGCTAGTTATGATCAGACGATTCGAATCCATGGCTTGAAATCCGGAAAGATGTTGAAAGAGTTTAGAGGCCATGCGTCTTTTATTAACTCGGTCATGTACTCTGCTGATAACTCACGTATCTTGAGTGCAAGTAGTGACGGTACTGTCAAGGTAAAATTAGACAATGTGTCATACAACCTCCGCAATGACTAAACGTCATTTCTCCCTCTATCTAGATTTGGGACTCAAAAACAACATCCTGTTTGTACACAGTCAACCCTCAACCTGTGATTGAGAAGGGGCAATTGAATCCGATGGGAGGATTAGGCACAGCTTCAGTGCAGAGTATTCTGCCGTTTCCCAAGAACGTGGACAATTATTTGGTGTGTAATAAGACAAATACGCTATTCATCATGTCCTCACGCGGACAAATCATGAAGACCTTCAGTCATCAAAAGAAGGCGGGAAGTGACTTTATTGCGGCAGCGGTTTCGCCGCAGGGGGAGTATGTGTATGGTATAACGGAGGATTCGTACATGTATGGGTTTCAAGTGAGTACAGGGAATCAAGTTGGGAAAGTCAAAGTCTGTGAGAATGAGATTATTGGGGTCGCAAGCCATCCTTTATCCAATATCATTGTATGTTATGATGATGCCGGTTACGTCTTTTTCTTTAAGGCACCCTAAAATAAAAAATAAAGAAAAAACAAATGTTATTATTTTCATGTAAATATCACATGAAAAGATTTACAAGAACACAACTTCAAAAAATTCATTATGATTTTTTAGACTGTAAATGAGGGAACAATTAGAAGGATTTGAGGTCAGAGGCCGGCGAGAAGAGGGGGGGGGGGGCGCACGCGCACACTAAAAGTGCACGGATATCATTTTTCATTGTGTGTTAAAAAAAACAAAGTTTTTGTTTGTTTAGAATGCTTACACCAATCATCTTTTGTTTTAATCGTCTTAAATAAGCGATCTGCATAGATTTACTTTGTATTCAAATGTTTTTGGAAAGAGGATATATGTAGTAAAATCTAAATGTTATTTATTTATTTATTTTTAGTTTTGGGTAGCAAAGAAAAGTGTTTATATTGAAAATCTATCAGGTCTATCAAAGAAGAAAGGGTGAGGGGGGAGAGTTTAGTTTGTCATCAAATTATGAAAATACGTAGTGTCAAGAGCCGATGACGACCATGAGACAGATGGGGCCAAGCTTAGAATATTATTGATCCAGTTCGGGTCCTCCATCATATTAAAAGTGTTAAGGTCAGGAATAAACATATTCATAGTATTGTTCATAGGAGGGTGGGTTAAACTTGTGTTGCTAGTGATGGGAGGATGAGATAAGGTCGCATTGCTAGCAACGGAAGGATAAGATAAGCATGTGCTGCTAGCAACGGGAGGAGGAGACAAATTCGCGCTGCTAGAAACGGAGGGTGCACTGGTAGAATCTGGAGGTGTATTATTGTTCATGTACACACTATTGTTTAAAGACGCGTTGGTATTATACAGCGCGCCGTTGCTATTCATAGGCAAGGTGTCCGCCGTGGGTAGGTAAGGAATCATAGGTGCGGTTTTTATTATGGCGTTGCTATAATACAGCATATTGTCGGCGAGGCTATACTCGATAGTACTGGGATATTCATAATTCACCTCTAGTAAGGGAGTGAAGTCCGAAAGCACGGCAGCTAATGTATTGGAATTGAATTGTTGCATACGTCTTGAAGGTTGAGTAAATGAGGCAGTATCCATTGAAGAAAAAGATGAGAATGTGGAAGAAGGCGAAGGTACGAGCATAGGTTGTGGAGGTGAAGAAGAGATTGATTTACAGCGTTTTACGTAGTACCGTGTACCTGGCATGCGTAAATGATTTTGAGCCACGCCAAAATAAACTTTGGCTTTTCCGGGTTTGGGTAAATTAGCGTCGGTAATGGTTATATGGTGGCTGCTATGCTTCTTTTTACGCTGGTGATAAGCGGCTTCAATAATGGGATGATTACGACGTTCAAATTCAGTAAAGTGAGAATTTTCAAACATGAATCCCCACACAATTTGGCTTGTTGCATCGGATGCGGTAGCTGATGTTGAATTTGACATTTTTTTGGTAAAAAATAGATGAAGAAGACATAAGAAAAAAGGGTCCTATTTGTTTTTCGCCTTAAGTAAGTGAAATAAAGGTCATCGTTGATAGGTTAGACGATCCTCAGGGTTCCTTGTGTGTATGTGTGTATGTGTGTATGAATATATGTAATTTTGTTTATTTTAATTTAAAATACGCGCATACGAAATGAACTCCTGAAAAAATTACCCCCAATTACCCAAGAAGAATATTTCTATTGTCATCAAATGACTTTAAAGGGAAAAATTTAAAGTTTTTTTTTAACCGCACTACTCCTGCTTATTTGAGATGAATATTATGATTTGCAAAAAATTGCCCTTTGTCAAACCTTCTACCAAACAAACAGTTATCTAGATATGGTGAAAAATCTTTCGGTTTTTCGTAGATTGTAACAATGGGCCCAGAATAAAGTTAAAATAGACTTTTTTATTTTCTTCCATGCAGGTCCTTGCACCACTCGGCTCATCCGAAATATTGCCATCACTTGACATTAATGGGGTAAGTATTTCTCTTTTTTTTTCTTCGTTGGGATAACATTGCCGTGATCTCGTTTAGTCGTAGTACATCATCTGATCTCACCTCTCATCAACTTAATCTGCACTTTTTTTATATTTGTACACATTCCGTACTCTGTTTATAATGTTGATGGCATTGTTTTTTGCTTTTTTTATGAAGGAAAATATGAATCGTTGTACTAGAATTATCGCATGCATGACTTTTTCATGCAAGTTTTGAGCTTCAAAAAAAAAAGCCACGTTGTTGAGTGTTTGTTCCAAGTTTTAATAGGATTAAAAAAAAAAAAGTCATTCACGAGATCAATCAGAAAATAACGATATTCTCTATTAAGGTACATAATGTATAATATAGGGGGAACAAGATTAGAACAAGTTTTGTAGAGTGTGTCAGACATTTGTGTCCTCAGGATCGAATCGGATTGACCAATAGAGGCATACAACAAAATATAAAAGGATAAAACATATACGTAATGTTTCCTCATACGATTTTCAATATAGTCTAGTGGAAGGATAGTAACTTAGGTTACTGCTCTCCTCTCTTTTTTTTTAAAAAAAAATATTATGCTATCAGATGACATCTATTTTGAGATTAAACATGGTAGAAAGACACCAATCGATTTGGATGTTTAACTATTAATAAAGGTGCGCAGTTCCCTCTCAAAAGTATCAAAAACAAACATTGCAAAAGGAATTGATGTATCGCCACGTGGGAATTATTTGGCAGTAAACCCAATCATGAGTTTAAAAAATATATATATACATTAAGAATTGTGCGTTTATGATTTGTCAACTAGACTCTTTTTTTTTAAAAAAATAAAAAAGATCGACTCCAAAAATAATAATAAAAAAAACACGAGCTGAGGATTGGAGATCTCTCCTTTTCTTTTGGATGGTGATTCGTTTTACTTTCACAAACAAGAATGAGCTCATTGGCTTGACGCTCAATCTCCCATATTCAATTGCATAAGTCCTTTTACTAAGTTATTTTGGTTTCTAACGGCTACTTTATATTATAAGTAACTAGGTGAGTATAATAGTATAAATTAACGGCTAATCTGGTTTGAGGGCGATTAAGGAAAGTTCTTGTCAAAAGGTTCTATAAGTCCTTATTTCATTACAGGTAACTTTTTTTCTTCTTTCTTTTTGCATGTGTGGGTGTGGGTGTGTGCAGAAAATCTATTCGAACAAAATGAAGTTTCGGATGACTACATAGATTTTTTATGATTATGTGAGATTTCCTTTATGCATGTCTCCCCGTATAGGTATCGTGCTCATATTTGTAACACCTGCAAAAATATTGACAAGATGTCCTTTTTGTTTTGTTTCCACTAGTGCCTCTATTAAAATCGATAATTATCATCCCAGTCAACCATTGTAAGAACATATATAATACATATTAGCTTGATGTCCTAAAAAAAAGTAGTAGATTGAAGAATTATGAGAGTTTAATTATGTTAAGAATGTGTCTATTCATAATGAACAACTTTATCGTGAAAATTATCACCTAAATTACCATGTTGATAGTCATCATTGTTCAAAATAAGTTTCACTTGTTTATCTGTGAAAACCATATTGTAAATTGCGGTTTTAAATCCTTGAAATAACTCATATACCTTAATGTAAACCATTTTCAATTGCTAATATTCTTGCAGACTCGTGGTTTTATGTCTGGTTAAACTAGCTTATCTTCAACTTCCACACACTTTATGCATATACCGCAAACGTTCACGGCTGGTGCACAGCATATAATTCCCTTAAATAGGGTTTTTTGTCGTAACAGAAACATACGGCGTGCATTTCAGTAAGCTGCGATAAATTAAATGCATATGTAATAAATTAAGAGCGAATAATATTGATAAATAACATCTAGACCTTTGCAAAAAGACACTTCCAGCACTTATTGAGATAACTTTTTTATTTTATTTTTGAAAAAAAAACGAATTCGTAAAAAAAATCGCAATGACTTTGAATACACACCACGATTAATTATTACTCTTCAACAAGTTCGCAGTTGTGGTTTCTCAATCTAATATTTAAAGAAATTGGTGAATTATTCAAGGAATTTTCATGTTAATCTCACTGCAAGAAACTCACAAACAATATACTATCATGAATTTATAATAATATCATTTCTCTTATGGTGGTAGCAAAATATCTGGACTGTGGATAACGTTCTTTTTTAACTTTTTAGCAAATTTAAAACTCTTTTAAGAAATCAATCGGCTATGTATCTAGTAAAGCTATTTCACTTATATATGTAAGTGCAAATATGATTCAACAAAGCATTAATTAATTATTTCTTAATGCCTGTACTCGGGTTTGATTCTCTATCCGAGTATGCGTATTGTAGAGCGTCTCAGAAAAAAAGATTGACTACTATATCATACTTAAGAATTTGTCTGATTTTATTTATAGTGTGTTTCTGAGGAGTTTTGGGAACTCATGAATGGCTATATAAAGTCTTACTCATGAAGTACTTTTAACCGTTCATAAATTTGAGGATCCTGAAAGGTTTCTAGATGTTAATGGAAACGATATGGTACGGTTCATATTCCTTTTACACCTTTGAATTTCCTGCTTGAGTTATATGATTTATATAGTAGAGAGTAATATTATCGAATCTTTTATTGCTTACATATGTAAGCTGAGGTATCCGCATTAAAAAAAAATATCTGGGGTTATATACTATACAAAAAAGAAAAATGGTACTTTTATTTACTTGCCTACTCAGAATCTGAGTCAAACAAGGTAATTAGAATCGGATTTGACGGTCCCGGTGGCCATCCCTCAATGTCACTATATCCGAATACACGTCTTATTTTATATAAGACGGGATAATGCCATTCATAGAAAATATATTACGTGATATAGATAAAATAAAAAAGGAAAGGTGTGAACGTCTCTGAAATGGTAAAAAGTGCCATGGAAAGTCATGAACACTCAAAACGCTGTGAACGATTACTTACACACTTTTTTTTGGCTTTTGAAAAGTGTAAAAGCAGACCAATTTTCGGACCATTTATTTTCTTCGTCCTGTATCTGAGGCTACACGTTACTCTCATTTTTGAAATTATATCTTGGAGCATCCGGGCAGGCTGCCAGTGGGCATCTGCTCCCTGTTTTTAATATTAATGAAAAGAAAACTAATCATCGTAATTTCTGATAAAGTTCCTTCGTGACAAAATGTTATTGGTGCCATGTTCTTTTATATGTATTAATTAAAAATTCATGACCATTAATTATTTAATAACTATCATGCTTTTATCTGACAGCATTGCAATGAAGGATACTGTAGCAATTGGTAAAGTGGCTATGGTCAATAGACTTGCACTTCAACTGTACATGCCTTTAAATTTTTTGAGCACAGTTTACCGTCAATCCTTATGGAAGTAACAAAAGCTGTCAATACTAAATCACCCATTTGAGTCTCCAATAATTATTACGAGTTTCAAATCAATTTTTATTGAGTTTTTAAAAATAAAATATATCTTCTGCCCGTAAGTCAAGTAAATCTGAAGTAATGCTAATATAGTCGAGTGGAAGACCGTTGTCAAACTCGGCAAGTACTCCATAGTGAGATGAACCTACAATAATCTTAGTGTCTTTCCTGCATTTAACAGTAATAATATTTCCAGGTCGGATTCCGTCATCCTCTTTCCATTTTTGTAAAAAATCCAGGGGCACAGGTATTCCCGATTGATGAAATCGGTCATCCAGAATAAAACACGCTTCGTCACCATCACTAAATAAAAAGTGAATAATCATTACATGTTCTTCAGGCTCGTAAACCAAATCCAAAGAAAAACCAAACGTGTTTAAATTTTTGAAGTCTGTGATATCAATTTCGGTCGTTAATGGAGGATCGAGAACGCCATATTTAGAGTCAAGTAACAGAACCTCTATATTTTTAAAAAGCGCAGAGAAATAACCTAGACATGTCTCATCCGGAACACGATCTACAATTCGGACGACCTTCATACCTTCTGTTGGAGATTCTTGTAGAAGGCACTTATTCTTCTTTTTTTTATCCGGATGGGCCACAGTACAAACGCTAAAGCTTTCAAAGGGCTGTTCTAGGTACGAAAACCTGAAGCGCGACAGATTTGGACAATATTTAATGGCGTACTGTAAGAAACTGTATGGTATCGTTGGACTACTGCGGTCGATATCCACCCTCATGTCGTTAATAATCTCTAGACCAATATTTGAAATGCAAACATCTGGTAAAATGGCTTTAAAAGTTCTGTGGTCAACGTTCATCTCGTCTGAAAGGAAGTATTCATTCATCTCCAGTGTATAATTCAAATTTAGTTCTCCCTTTGTATTATCAATTAGGAATTCTGGTGTCGGATCGTAAGAATTCTCATCAACGCTTCTAAATACCAGATGGCCGTACATCTCCCGGTTCCCCTTGAAAGCATCTATCAACCTGAAAAAGTTCGTTATTTTGGAGTTATAGCGAGCTTCCCTTTTTGCAGAATCTCCAAATGTGTTCAAGCTGAAGGTGGCTCTTTTTCCTGAGCCCAATCGGCTAAGGAGCTTTAAAGCATCTTTCATCCCAATATTCTGGATCCATTCGTGTAAATACTCCTCCAGACAGATAGCAACATATTCAACCTTTGGAGAGAGACAATTTGTCAGATACCTTACGTAATTTGATGGCAATGTTGGTATGGTGATACAGAAAGTTTTTAAATTACGACCCAAGTTGCTGCAGTCAAAATTATCCAAGAGTTTCTTTACAGCTGCATCAGGAATAGGCATAGTACTTTCATACACTAGCTTAGTGAGATTTGGACAGGATTTTAAAATACCGAGCGTTGTCAAATCTTCATCCGAAGTATTTACCAATGTCAAGCGGGTCAAGTTGGTTAAACGGCTTAAAGTAGCAAGACTTGATTTATCGTCGTCTCCGCATGAAAAGAGATATTGGTCATACAATACGGTTTCGGTTATTGTTGCGCGATACTTGTATGCAATTTCAAAGTATCGTTCAAGTGCTGAAAATGTATGTTCAACAGACCGCGGTGATGGCTTTAGAACTTGCAAGTGATTTAGGCATTTTTTTGATTCTGTGTAGAGTATGTATATTTGGTATTGAGGAATTTGGAGAGAGTGACCCAGATCCAATTCTTCAAGATTTGGTAGGCACTCCAAAAGTGATATGAAATCCTCTTCATTCATCGTCATATCCACGCCGATCAAGTTATATGGTAGACGTTGCGTAGATCCAGAAGAATTATCACTGAATTTGAGTTTTTTGACAAAAGGGCCGTATTTGAAATAGCCATCGCGTTCTTTAGGATCAAGTTTTAATTGTTGCATGGTGTGATGAAGGTGACAAGGATGTAATGTCACTTCCCTGTACAATAATTGAAGGGCCGTCGCATTCCAGCGTTTGCAGACAAGAGAACATTGTAAAAGGTTACTTGAGTAATGAAATAACTCACGAATGATTTCTTGGCTAAGATCGAGAATAGACATGTCGAGATAGTAAATAAAAAGCACAAAAAAAAAGACAACTGTCGTAATGTTTGTAGAAGCCAAAGTGACGGCTTCAATAAATTTAGCTAACCTTTAGAGGCAAGTAAATATACTTGACTGTGTTATCATTGACAATATATTATATATTCTGGCTACAATAATAACCCTCTTCTTAGACCCTTTAGAGTATGATTGACATATTGGCTAAGAATACTCCAAATTGATACGAGTGGTTTTTTTGTGCAACTTGTAAAACGCTTTAAAAACCCGTTAAAACTAATTTTGTGGTTTATTTTTTACAAAGCAAAATGTCCCTCACGGGTTCATATGATGGAAATTGTACGGAAAAAGTTAGAATTTATACGGATATAATCAAGCATTCGCCCGTCATTAATTTCTCCAATTGTACCATGCTCATCGGAGTATACAACAATTTGAATGTGTTTTTCGCAAAAGATGGTTATACAGCGTGTATCAAGTGCTTCATTATTACAGCAATTTTGAAAGTTTTCAAGATCTACCACGTTCAAAGCAAGAGGATTTGCACATTCTTGACAAAAGTAGGCTTCATCGCCATCGCTATATTTAAAATGAATAAATGCCATATTCGCATCACCTTTAGATATAACTTCCATTAAAAAATAGATTGTCTTTAATTTTTTGAAGCATGTCAAATCTATTTCAGTCATGTCCGGCGTTGTCGAATCTAGATTGTGATCACCTAAAGCAAATATTTCAATATCGGGAACAAATCCAACAACAAAGTTAAGCCATTCGTCAGAGGGAACGAAATCTGCGGTCTTGACTACCTTCATGTTTTCTTGTGGATTGGTCGAAGTCACTTGATGATTTATTTTAAGTTTACGTGGATTGATTACTGTTGTAATGCAAAACTCTTCGGCCGGTTCTTCCAAGAAACCAAAGTGAAAATACTCGAGATTTGGACAATGTGTAAATGCGTATTCGATAAACTTAAAAGGCAGATCTGGATGCCTGTCAGACATAGTGACATGCATATAATTGACAACTTCCAATCCAATTACTGATATTTTTCTATCCGGTGAGGTAATTTTGATGCCATAATTGGCTTGGATATCATCATCGGAAGAACCATTATCGCTGCTTTGATTGTCATCTACGCTATCATGTTTTTCGCCTACATGGCGATCATTATCATTATCAATTCGATCGTCTGCGTAGGGGGAGAGAGCCTGTGCACCTTCAATAGCTCCTTGATAAGGAAATCGATAATCTTTATAATCCAACTTGCACCGAAGATTAAGCCCATCATGCGCATTGTACTCCACAAAATCCTCTGCCGAAAAGCCATTAACATCACAGAATTCAATACGGCAATAGGGGGTTTTGTCGCCTCTGAAACCGTCGAGTAATTCGAAATAGCCGGTTATGTTTGTCTTATCGCTAAATGTTCTTCTGAGATGCATTTCATTAGCCATACAGCTAAAACTAAACTCTTCCATCTTTCCTATCTGTTTAGCAAACTTTAAAGCGCTATCCATACCAACATGTATTAGCCAGTCGTATAAATTAATATCAAACATTTCCACTTCAAAAGTATCAAGTTGTATGCACATATAATCTGTCAGATAGCTGATATATGCCTTTGACATAGTAGGTAAAGCAAGCCTGAACGTTTTTAGGCTGTTATTAGAATCAAAGTTGGCAGGATTATCCAAAATTTGCAATGCTCTTTCATCAGACAAATCAAAGTCAGCATTAAATTCGAACGATATTAAACTGGGACAAGCCTTTTGGACGTCGAAAGTTGTAACATTATTCGGTGGATTGATCAGTGTCAGATCTGTCATCTTTGGAAAGTGGCTGAGTAGAGTAAGCATCCCACCCCACCGAGAATCTACATTTACTATATCTCGTTGATCATTGACTTTTAAAGTTGTTATGGTTGCGCGATACTTGTAATAAAGGGAGAATTGAATGTCTGATCGATCACTGGTAATACTCTGGATATTATTCAAACACGTCTTAGAGTCAGTCTCGAGTATGTATTGAAGGTAGTTTTCGTCCTGGACATTGAGAGATATATGCAAGCATTCAAGATTTGGCAAACATTCCAACAGTGTTATGAATTCATGTCGATCGAACTCTAGATCTGAATGCTGTGTCCGTTTTATAAATTTTTTAGGGGGGAACTTGGCGGGAGAACGATCGTTGTTTTCGCCAATGGTTAATTTTTTGACCAAATTAGCATACTTAAAGAAGCCATCACGGTCTTTGGCAATCATTTTCAACTCCTGCTTCGTCCGGTATATACCAAAAGCACCCAAGGTCAGATCGTTGTAAAATACTTGGAGTGCATGCTCAGTCCAACTTTTGCAGACAAGCGCGCATTGGTAAGGGTTCTCTGAAAGAAAAAATATTTCACGACAAATCTCTGTGGGGACTTCTTGAATTCGCATTTTGAAAAGAAGTTGTAAGCCTAAATATCGAAAGTGATATGTGGTGTTAAAACACCGAGTAAGATGACATACCGAGTTGTTTCAGTTATGATTACGTAATTGAGAGAAAAGTGTGCTTATGCAACTGAAGGATGAAGGTTGCACACGCACACGTCAGGATGAAATATATTAAAGTACCGACTTATGACCCCATATCACAAATGAATGATGCCCTTTTTACAGAGGTATGCAGCAGTGAAAAAGGGTTTTTTTAATCTTAGTCAAAACATTGCGTATTTTTCTTTTACCATTTAAATTATGGCCCTCCCATTTATTTGGTTGCTCTTGGACCGACCCCAAGCTAGAAATTAAAGAAATTATAAAATTTAGGAGCTAATCATTAGCTTACATCCAATTGGCGCTAACAAGAGAAATTACTCTTTTAACAGTGCGGTGGTTGCAGATGCTTACATTGGTCACGCTCTGAATTTTATGGTAGAAGTCTAATACGAAGTAACGTTCATAAATATAGTCGAACAAAATGTTAAGAATAACAATGATTTGCAAGAATTTCTCCTCATGGTCTTGATTTTCTCAAAATTAGAAGCAGTGCTTTATAAAGAAGTTACATAAGGCTTAAAATACAATTTACACGAGTACGTTGGCTACTAATAACAATTATATTTTTTATCTGAAGAAAAACGAAATATGTATAAAACACTGACACTATTATTTTGGTAATAATATTTTTGTACTCCTCTTTACTGCATGTATTTCCAATAAACTTGAGTCAATGTTGATCTAATTAGAAATATTTCCGTCTATAAAGCAATTGCACACACAGAATGATTGCCAGTGCGACTGAACTATTTTTGTAACAGCTAATCGTAGCAATTACAACTCTAAGATTTTCATTATCTTGGTCCCCTTCAATAATAAAGCTGCACCATAGGATAGGCAATTACTCATAGTCCAAAAACAAACTTATCGTTCGGTTGCCCCGACTGAGAGTGAAGAGTTTCGAATTATGAAAGTTTTTCTCAAATATGAACAAATATTCTGAAACGCATTCATATTAGAGCATTTTTGATATATTGGGAATAGATGCTGTAACTGTGAACAGAAAATTTACAGGATTTACTATATTTGATAATATTCTAAACAGGTTCTATACAATTGTAGTTGGAGCCGTCTACAAAACTTGGCTCATTACTGAGACAATTTTAGTAGGATTTCAACATCGCTACGGCAATAAATGGTCGTAATGTAGATGTCAGGTTTATGATTATTTACGCAGTCTTCAAAAAACCTCGAGGTACAGGGATTTATAGTTGCAGGAGTTTTCTTGTCCAGATGATGATATACTTTGTCTCCGTTAGTGTGTATACATTGAACAAATGCATAGTATTGCCCTTTTTGTGATGACTGTATAAAGTAAGTCAAAGATTTTAAATGTTTAAACGAGGTAACATCAATTTCTATTTCATTTAATTTTACGCAATCTGTAAAGCTATTATTACAAAGAATCTTGACAATACAAGGGAAATATTGGGAAATTTGGCCGAGTTCAATATCATCGAGAATGGCGGTTTCTATACTCAGAGAATTCATTCTTTTTTGTATGATGGATGTTGCAGTATCATCATCCGGTTTGCTTAAATCATATTCTTCCATAATGCATTGTATTTCTACAGACCTGTGAACATCAACGTATTCGAAGGATGACACATTCAAACATTCAGCGATTACAAATTCCATAAACTTAAATGCCAAGCTTCGGTCAAGACCACCTAAAATGCTAACCCTAAAAGTATCGATCATATTAAATACACAGCGTACAGTAGTGTTATCCAGTGAGTGCATACAGAAGACACCAGTATCAGGGTCCGAATTCTTCGTACTCTAAGGAGTATTGACAATCAAAGATGTTCTTCGAACCAAAAAATTTAAAGGTCTCACCCGGACAAGCTGCAGCATCCTGGAAAGTAAAACTACACCATTTTTTTTAAGTCCTCTGAATGCTAAAACTAAGATGAAAAAAGATTCCAGCCTTGATAAGCCATTTTCTGAATCGTATTCCCGTGATTGTTGATCGTGTTTACGGTCCAATGCAAAGTTAATGTTGAAATCTTCTATGGCGCCTACCGCGAGCGCAAACTCGAAAGCGTTTGTTAAACCTATTTCGTTTATCCAATCAAAAATGTAAGCTTTAGATATAACCATTTCTAAATTAGCCACTTGTTTGGAGAGCAAGTTCGTAAGATATCGAGTGTAATGGAGCGGTATACTAGGCACAGTAATTTTAAGTATTCCAATTTAGTGTATGTGATGGTGTCGCTAAGGTCTTCCAACTGTTCTTTTATCATTTTGTCAGGAATTAAAACATGACTGTCATAGTTGATGCCTTTCAAGTTTGGGCAAAGTCTCTGTAGATCCAGTGTTGCCAAGTTGAAATCACAGCTGCTGTAAAGTGTCAAATACGTCAGATTTTTAAGTTCGCCTAGAAAATTTAAGGATTTATCGAGTCGAGGTCCTAATTCCATCATAATACTACAATATTTAAACTCGGTGCTGGTGATAGTTGCCTTGTACTTGTACGCGATAAGAAAGCCTTTGGTTTGTGAGAGCCCTTCGAGTTCCTTATATAGCCCCAGTGGTTTCATGGCTTGTAACTGATCTAAACAATTATTTGACGTGATTTCGACTATGTACTGAAAATATTTATCTGGAAAAAAGAACGAACTAAAGTCTAATTCTTTTACATTTGGTAGGCATTCCAAAAGTGATATAAATTCGTCCATGTCCAACCTACAAATCATACAATTAATCTTGCAGTCTCTGGTGCTAAGCCTGTTTGTATTTATAGTATCTTTGCAACAAAAACGTGTGAATTGTATTTTTTTTTGTAACATGGCCATATTTGAAAAATCCAGAGCGTTTGTCAGGATCTAGCTGCAACTTCAGCCTTGTTTCGTGAAAACTACCGCAATTTAACATAACGTTTCTATATCGCACACGAAGTGAAGGTGAAATCTACTGCTTGCAAACAAGAGCACATTGAAGAAAGTTGCCTGAATAACAAAAGATCTCCTGGAGAATCTCTTGACTTAGATCGAGAAAGTACATGTAGAAGAAAAGGAGACAATAAAAAACTTCGGGTCAAAGTGATTGCTTCACAAAGATCGACCAATCCTTCAACGAAATAAAACATCAGCAGAACAGACTTTCCGTCAACCCTGTAACGTTTTGTCGAATCCTACTGAAGTCCTGTATTCTTTCGTTGTAATATATCAATCTGATTACACCATTTTCTCCGGATTCCAATCATCCTTGACCTACTCTCAGTGTTATTTCGCTGCACGTTGTTTAGCACAGTCTTAAGTGTCTGCTTATTTTGGACTATTAATTGGTTTGATCAGGTTATCTAGAAACTTTTGCTAGTACATGCATTTTGTTTATATTATAACAGAGAAAAAGGGCTGAAGTGTGAACACTGTAAAGGAACCAATATTTTTAACCATAGTTGCTGGGTTTGAAGGGTGTCACGTGGAGACTTTTTTTTTTTTTGCTAATCAGATGTGTTCCTTTCTGAACCATACGCACATACTCTTCTTATTATTTGAAATAAATGGACGACAAAAGCGATCCTTCGAACGACGATTTACCAGTAAAAGAATTTCTCTCACGCCATGTTCCTGATCAGGTCACTAATTCAAGAAAATTGTGTTATCGACATCGACCAGATCTAATCAAGAGACGACAACCTGATTCCCTTGATATAGAGAATGCACAAAGAGTAAGACAGATCAAAGTCGACCGAACTTACATTAAAATGTGCCTATAATTCCGTTTTTTCTTTTTTTTCTTGTAGCAAATGGAAGTACTTCCAACTGAAGATAAGGCAGCTATTTCACATATTTGGTCGCTATTTTCAGCAGCACCAGCAGATCAACGTATATTAATATTAAGAGGCCTTTTATCAACATGCTGCATGCCTCAATTGTCTTTTCTTCATGATGCCATAAAACCATTGTTACGCATTGACTTTTTGTCTATTTTACCCCGTGAAATATCCTTGAAGATATTCTTTTACCTTGATGCCAAGTCACTTTGTAACGCTGCACAAGTGTCTCACAACTGGAAAGCTATGGCAGACGATGATGCTCTTTGGCACCGTATGTGTGAACAGCATATTGATAAGAAATGTACAAAATGTGGATGGGGATTACCTTTACTAAACAAGAAGAGAAAGGCAACCGCAGTGCCCAAGAGACCATTAATTGAACCAAGCGAAGAACCTCTTCGGACTGCATGTGGTCCGATCAAAACCACTTCAAATGCTTCAAGCAGCACATTAAAAGAGAACAAAAAATTAAAGATCAGGAACAACGATGACGAAGCATGTACAACTGCTTTTAACACTATTTTTAATGCCCAAGGAAACTCAGCTGGTGACACATCAGTCATTCCTGCACCTGCTCGTAGACCTTGGAAAGATGTTTACTCGGAAAGATTGATGGTGGAAAGAAATTGGCGAAATAACAAATATAATTTACGTATCTTGAGTGGTCATACTGATGGAGTCATGTGTGTCCAATTTTGTGATGGAAGTAATATAATGATGACTGGATCTTACGATAAGACGGTTTGTATATGGAATCTGGAAACAGGCGAACTTATCCGTACCCTCACTGGTCACACACGTTGTGTTCGTGCGCTCCAATTTGACGAGGCTAAGTTAGTGACAGCTTCTATGGATCAAACCCTAAAAATTTGGAACTGGCAAACTGGAAAATGTATCCGTACTCTTGAAGGTCACACTGGCGGTGTATTGAGTTTACATTTTAACTCTAGGTTAATGGCAAGTGGTTCAACCGATCATACTATCCGTGTGTGGAACTTTTTAGCAGGTGAATGTTGCACATTAACTGGCCATACTGAATGGGTGAATTCAGTTCGATTTTGTCAAGATGATACCATGTTAATATCCTGTAGCGATGATTCTACTATTCGTTTATGGGATTTACAGAAACGCGCATGTGTTCGTGTTTTCAACGGCCATGTAGGTCAAGTTCAGATAGCCGTACCAAGTCCAAAGGGGTTTACACATCGCTTATTAAATTATGGGGACGAGCATGCAAATCCTTCTTCTTCGACAAACTCGCGTGCCACTGGTGGAAATAGAATGGCTGATTTTCAACCTGGGTGTGCTACAGACAATCGAAGCAGTAACGGATTGAGTTTGGAGCAAATAAAGAAATTTTCGTCACCAGCAACTGTCGCAGCAGAACTGTCTGAAAATCCCATCATCATATCAGGCTCTTTAGATAATACGATCAAGTTATGGGATATGACCACCGGTAACTGTATACGAACACTGTTTGGTCATGTAGAAGGTGTTTGGAGCTTAGCTTATGATACGCTCAGGATCGTTTCGGGATCTCATGATAAAACAGTTCGTGTATGGGATATTGGAAGTGGTAGGTGCATGCATGCTTTGGAAGGGCATAATGGGCCTGTCACCTCAGTGGCACTAAGTGATACAAAGATCATATCGACATCAGACGATGGAGACATAAGGATTTGGGACTATGGCGTGTCACATTAGGATATGTGGTCTTTAATAAGCATCAATAAATTGTATTTTTATGTTTAAAAAAAAAAAAAAGAGATCCCATTAAAACGCCGAAATCTTGTATCTTACCACTAAAAATCATCCTCTTGAGGCGCGGTCGATGGCGTGATTTGAAGCGTCCCGTACTGATTAATTGCGAAACCCACAGGCCTGACGTCTCTTATATATGATCAGTACCAGATGAACCAATGATTGTTGACGATCAAACTTTAATTTTTCTTTTCAGAGCATAAATGGATATAATTAGACGCATCCGGTATAACGTAAAAAAGCATATAAAAAATCCGTAACTATTGTAGATTGTATGTATTGATTGGGTAGAATGTATACCATGGATCTATTATTCAAGCTCAAAGCTTTCTTGTAAAAAATGTAACAATAAATGTAACACTGTACGGACTCTATTTAAACCGTGGTAAATATAATATCAAATGTCATGTTGATTTACTGGGTTAAAAAAAAGAGCTGACTTGGGCCGTTAATTTTTCCTAACACGGATGAATATGATTCCAATTGATAGAAAGAAGAAATAAAAGAAGGAAAAAGGCCCAAAAAAATATATAAATAAAGGTGCGAATATTTTGACTTCCTTTTTCTTTAAACGCATGTATAGTTTTTAATGTAACTATTCAAACGCATTGTAGACCCTAAAATTCTAACGATATCTTTATTTTAATATATCCCGTATGCATCAATAGTTAGCGTTATCTCTTTGCTATACCAATGACTTTCCTTTAAAAGACTAAAACACTGTCATATGCTCTATAAAAGTTACAGGACGAAGCGCAAATGAAGAAACCCAGAACAACCCGGATGCTGAAAATTACCCTGCGGGTTTTGTGCGACATTTGCTTATCTCATTTAATTCTTGCGTGCTCTTGCGTACTTTTTCCTACTTTTTTCCTTCTTTTGCCTTTTTTCACTTTTCTTCCCTCTATTCAACACTAGCTATTTTTTTTCTTTTACTCCTTGAAAAAAAAAAGACTAGCTACTAAAAAAAAAAAAAAGGAAAACTATACGAGCCAGTCTATGATAAATAGCGTTTGTACGTTTCATTTGATCTATTATTACAAACTCCTTTTTAACACCCTTAGCTAGCTTCTTCTGCAAATTCATGGTTGCCACCCTATAATATTGTCGATTCACTCAATCAAGTTATGGATTCTGTATCAGTTCTTTCAGAAGTAGAGCTTCAAAACGAGCTTTCAATCTTTGCCAATGCACAATTCACCTATGATATTGCACCGGGTGCCGCTGCTGACGATAAAAAAAATGAACTCAACAACTCACAACAACGATTCCGAAGAGAGTCTAAGCAACTTAATATGCATTCTCTTTTAAACGTTAAGTTAGCTTCCCTTGCTGAGAACAATTATCACACTACCATGACACCTGGTATGTACTCTATGATTATATATATATATATATATATATTTATTCATTATTTTATTCACACGTTCTATTTATTTTAGACGCCATCGAAAGTTATTATGATCAGTCTCCTGATTGTTCTCCACCAAACGGGTATCATTCACCTAACCCTTCCCCACCTAACGGTTACCACTCACCCAATCCTACTCCACCTAACGGTTATCATGCCAATTCACCAAGTATCTTTAACGGTATCCAAGGCATCGTCAACCCACCCATTACCTACTACGGTGATGATACTACCACTGGATACGATGAAGATCAATTCATGAAGACGATGCGTATTTTGACTACAAGTTACAACGACCCATCTTCTCAGCAACCTTATGATCACATGGACAGCCGTCCATCGACGGTTTTAGAAAACAAAAACAAACCGACCGCGCCCAAAAAGCAGCGCAATAATAGTATCAGTGGTGTTAAAAAATCTTCTCCTACAAAAACCGAACTCTTACCCATCGATAGTGAAGATGATGAAGACGATGAAGATGAAGACGGTCGAAAGAATTCGCCTTCTTTAACAAAAGAAGACAAACGGCGTCGAAACACTGCTGCTAGTGCACGTTTCAGAGTTAAAAAGAAATTACGCGAACAAGCGCTTCAGCAGACGGCCGATGAAATGACCGAAAAGGCCAAAGCCTTTGAAAATCGAGTCCATGAACTTGAACGAGAAGTCAAGTGGCTGAAAGCTTTGGTTGTCGAAAAGAAGGATGGCCCTTTGGAACAGCTACTCATGCAACAACATCAACGACATCGTCAATTACAGCACGAACAGTATGCGCCTGTTGGCCATCCTGCCTCAAGTTCTAGTGGCAATTACATGTCTCATGCAAGACAGCACATTTAATCGCCCTAACTTATGTATTCTTCGTCTGCTACATCTATATATTTATCCTTCCCTTCTCCCTCTCTATCTTTTTTTTTTTTCTCTTTTTCTGTGAAATACGCTCTTCTTTTTCTGATTTTGATAAAATAAGGAATGATTTTATACATTCTTTTTATTATATTATGAATCTCTTTACTATAACTATGTGTCTATTTTCTTCTAACTACTACCTATTGCTTATTTTTATACACCCTCACAATATTCCTTTACATATAACTTATAAACACATTCTGTTTCATTTTTGATTTCCTATATACTTATATGTATATGGTATGATTTTTTATGTGCAGGCAAATGTAACAAAGCGGTTAGGATCGACAAAATAAATAAATAAAAGAATAATTTATTTCTCGCACTTTTTTTTTATGGCGCTCATCTGGTCGATGTACAGTTTATTAGTCTAAAAAAACAGATCATCTAGTTTTTGAAATGGATATTTTAAGCCAAAAAAAAAAAAAATTGGTTTACTGATTTAAAAGTATATATATATATTTAAATATATGTATGCACACGTGCGTACTATCTAATCACAAAAAAAAAAAAAAAAAAAAAAAAAAAAAAAAAAAAAAATATGAGGTAGAAATATAATTGTACGCAATGGTAAAAACGCTTTGAATAAATCTATTGTATATTTAGTTTAATCGTATTTCATGTAAACATACAAACCATGTTTTCATAAATACCATGTGAAAAAAGGTTTACATGGTATAGTATTTTCCTTGTCCAACAACCTAAAATCATAAAAGCACGCAATCTTATCTCGGAATGACCCAAAAAAAAATTAATGCTGAACACACACTATAGGCCTAAATGTCATATTTACGTGGTACATCATAATATCCCCGCTTGCCCTAGCTTTTTAATTATTGTCGAAAGGTAGAATTTAGTTCTTACAAAATGACAATGGTTAAGAAAAAAATATTGATTTTCTATTCGGTAAAAGCGATTACTTGTTTTAGACAATCTGGATTTGTCGATCATATAGAACAATAAAGAAAGAATTTATAAAGCAAGCTATAATGCACCACCATTTTAAGGTTGATTCTCCGTTTTTCATAGCTTAATGCTTAAAGGACTTTACGGAGATGGTTCTCCTCCCATATTCTGCAGATACAAATGTAAACTACGAGATCTTATCGGTCGTTGTATGTGAAACACTCGTGCATTTGGTATTTATTGAACCGTGCCCTCCTATAGAACAGATTATTGTCTATTTTAGATGCCCCAGTATCGAATCCCATCATATACCCTAAAATAACAATCACGTCTTCAAACTCAAAAGACGACCATCAATTTTGCTGACATAGACTGTACCACAACTTGATAATTCAATCGTGTTCATAACCACGTGCGTGTACACCGACTAATCGAATTACACATAGTTTTAAAAGTTACATTTACTCATTTAGACAATGTCAGAATTATTGGATGATGCTGTATCTCGATACTTGGGTGACATACATTGCTGTATTTTTTTTTTTTTTTTTTTTTTTTTTTTGAAAATTGTAGAATCAGTCAATAGTTATTATAGATTTTGCATATCATTGCCTCATCAGTAAAGTTGTGTCAGGACCCCTCAAACCGTGCACTAATAATCCATATATCACATTCTAGGCCGCTAAAAATTTGCGTCCTGAAACCTTTTGTTCGCTGGTCGTGTTTTTCGATTTTTTTTCTGGATGCACTCTTATTTAATACATACAAAAGCACAAATTACACTGCCAATAATAAATACGCAAATGACAAACTGGTTTTTTTTTAACCGTATATAAAATATGGCCCTGGAAAGAATAAACATTACTCAGTTTCTGTGTCACACAAGTGAAATTCAGTCTAACTTGTCAATGGTGAGAAATAAAAATCTGAATATGGCTTCCACAACAATGGCTTTTCCGATAGACCGGAGAAATTTGTTTTATGTAACTAATGCGTATTCCTAATATCCTTCATAGCTTGATAGAAGTAAACCAGTATATGACTGATCTACCCACGGGTATCAATCTCAGTCTGACCTTGATTTGTGTCACACTATATTTTATCTGCAAAAAATTTCATTTATCAACTTCTGTAAAACTTTCTCTTTATAAGTTCCTAATAAGTAGAATCTATTCTTTAATCCGAATCCCAGTTTGCTTAAATACGTTCGAGAGGAGTTGATTACGGCTTTAACGAGGGTAATATTAAAACTTTTTTATTTTTTGAATGAGGGTGTTTCCACCACGCACCATAAGCTCCAGTATAATAAGAAACACCATTCTCTCAGCTAATTGAGAAATTTTCATCTGTCGCTCCACGGTTTAGTACACGTAAGTCTCAACTTGATCTAGACTGATTTTTGTCGCTACTTCAAAAGATGTGATTTATGTTCTGCGAGGTGAGATCCAATGTTCATCAACAGTTACTGCTTCACACATATTTACGCCAAACAATGTTGTATTCCGAAAATAGATTGTACCAAGTTAATATGTTCCATAAATCTTTTGGTTTAATTGTGTTGAAAACGTTTTTTTAGGATGCTCTAAATAGTGATCTTGATAAAGGGTTATTTTCTACCATATATTCATATGACGTGTTTATAAAGTTGCTAAATACCCTTCAAGTCATATAAATGTCAAACAATTAATAACTGTTGTCTATAATGAAGACAAAAAAAGTAAGAAAGAAACGAAAGCACCCCATTAAAATAGCGGCAGCGGAGGTGATAAAAAAATCTGATAACAAGATTAGAATATCTAGTTTTGTGTGACAACTCCTTGACAATTGACCAATCAATAATGATTCCATGAATGTGCATATCAATGCAACAAACTTGTAAAATAACACGGGAAAATTAAAAATTGACAATGGAAACGCCAGCACCTAAAAGCAAAACAGTAAAAACGATGAAAATTAAAAAGAAAATTAGATGCATAGAGAGACAGAAAACGCTATTTCCTTTTCTTTATTTTTTTATGAAGTCATTCCAACTACTTTTTGAGGAAGAACAATTTACAATGTACAGAACGACAAATAAAAACCGCTAATAGATAAGTACAGTCCTATGTCACTTTTCAAATGACGATTTCGAATAAGATTTAAGGGTGATATATACACAACCAGTTGAAAATTTTTAATTTTCAAGCTAGTTGTTTACTTTTCGGACAAAATGTAAAGAAAATGAATTTTCGGACAAACATTGCTTTTTTTTTTTTTGTTACCTGTAATGATCTTAATCCTTACTTAAATGGAAACCGTGTTTGATACGGCGATACGATAATGAGAATATATTAGGCTTATTGTTTAGTTTTTTTGGGTTAAAAAGCCTCTGGTCTTCCTTCGCCTGACCAAATCGCCTTTGAGATTATCATCATATTTCTGGTAGCATTCATGTCCCTTTGCCACACCTTTCACATTTTTGGCAGCAAAGATCTCCACTACCTTTGAAGCTGGGGGTTTTTAATCACCTTCAGGTCATCAAAATAGCATTGAATGCATACTTTGGATGTTTTATATTCGTCAATCGTGATAGCGATCAACTCACCTGCAGCTTCACGTTTTTTTAATGATCTCCACATAACCCCAGTTACACCACTAAGGCCCTTCAGCTTAACCAGGTCTTTTCCAGACATTCCTACCTTAAAGACTACCAGCGGAACCCTCTATGTATCTTTTTCATACGGAAGTAGCTTCCACTTATTCGGCCTTTCCGAACAAAAGGATTAACAAAAGCATACTTTTTTTTAAAAAAAAGATGGTTTACTTACTTCTTATCTGTTGTATTTTTCATATCAACTTTGGCATCTTTCTTCTTAAACTTCTTCTTTATTCGCTTTTTTATTTTCTTACTGTCTCTTTTACGTTAGTTATAATTTGAAGTGCCGTGTACTACAATTTTTACCATCGCTCCAGCAGCTCGCTGTCTTCCTTGATATAGAAACAATTTGTCCTTTGTTGTACCGAATCCATAGAAATTTAAACGACGTTCAGGTGACTATAAATGTGTTGGATATAATTTCTGTTTGCAGTTTTTGTTGTAGACATCCCAGTCTCAATCACCTCAACCTCATTCCCTTGCTTTCCCTGCAACAGTCTTTTTTGGTATAAAGAACTGCCCGTTAAGTGTCAGTACTCCTTATTAGTACACTGAAGTATACTATGATTTTCGTGATCTAACCCCTCCACAGCTGTGAACACGGCCTTTCTACCTGGATCCAGAAAAACTGTTCGGAATACATTTTGCTACTTTTTTTGGATTGTTTTACTTACCATCATTATTATTATTTAGTTACGTAATGTATAGCACCGTTTAAGACCGTTTAAGGCTGTTTAAAAGATAGCCCGTCATTCAGCTTAAGTATTAAGCAAACATTAGCATGTCTTTTGTGTAGTTTGCGCTTAATTATTAAATGCCTTTAGAATCAAATCTGTTTTACCTTTACCGGTGTTCGCCGCCATACGCTCATCAAATTTTGCCAGCACAAGCTTATTATGACCTTGTCATCATTTTAATAAATTTTTTTTTTTTTTTGGTATCTTTGAGCTCTCCATCTTGGTTTATTCGTGTAATTCTTTGTGAGTCGCACAAAAATTGCTAAAACCAAAAAGGAATATTTCTGCTCGTTCCCTTTTTGGAAGATTTGAGAAAAAAAAGCTGAGATTTTCAATTGATAGTGTAGAGAAGGGGGTCGCTTAAAGACATTTTATTTATATTTTGGTTGTATAGGATGGTCGAGTACTAATACAAACAATTTGACAATTTTTAAATCAATTTAGTTATTTGGATATGATGAAACGATGTAGAGAACTAATGTTTCCTTATGTGAAAAACCTTATAATAGGTCGAAATGCCAGAGATCAGGCGTACTCAGAATTGTTTTAGCGTGCGTATTTTATCTTAAAACAATGCAATTAGAGAGAAATCATATGCTTCGATCACTTTCAATGTAGAAAAGACACTTATAATTATTTACAGTGTGATGTGACATATCGACTATTGGTTCGATGAATATAGCTAAATCGAACAAAATATCAAACACCATTCAGGATAATATGTTCTTTGTTGCACAAAAACTGCTCACAGTCATTAAATTTACTGTTTGTATAGCAGCTGATGGCCCAAACATTGTATCCTAGGCTAACTTTGTCAAGCTATCTATTTATCTCACCCTGCCGGATCGGTCACAACGAATATATTGCTCTTATCTTGCGATAATTATAAGAAGAAAACCCCATCAGATAGCCGCACCTGGACATCGAATGACGTACTGCTCAGTTTAACTATCAAAAATGGGATTCGCTTATTTACAGCAAAAAGAACAGTGTATAGCGCTCTCTGAATTCAAAATCATTAAAACAAAGAACAACAATAAGGCTCTGGGTTATCTTCTTTTTATATATATCATCAACTTTATTAGAAGTCTATATTGGTTTGTAACGCTTCGTTCTTCGTTTCTTGACAATGCAACTTGAGCAAAAAAGGTATTCACTGTCCAAGCTTTGAAATTTTTCTCTAAATGTTGCCAAGGAATTTTATCTATTTTCAAATACACGCAACAGAATAGAACACCTTAGTCAGTGATTAAAAATACTGATTAAAATCAACTTTTATTTATGCAATACATGTATGACGTAACAACAGTATATATTACCCTTAATAGAACAAATACACTGATATATATATATATCGATTATAAATCAGCTTTTACACTCTTTTAGAGCTATCTGTCTACCTAAGAAGACCGGCTCCTGTTTATTACAGAACATTAGTTACAGCGGTCTCCAAATAGGATCGACAAAAGGACGAAATTCGGGTTTACCTTATTAAATTCAACAACAAACATTTAAACGGCGTAAGGTTATCATGTGATAGTAATTGACGAAAACAAGTAATAGACGACGGCGGGGTCAATTAGTCAAGTGATATGGTCAATCCCGACTAACTTTAATTTGTTCAGTGCAAGTTAGAACAAACAATTTTTGACTTAAGTTTGTACTACTAGGCTGTTTAGCGAAACCCACTCAACCCGTTATGTGTGCACAGAAATCAAGTTTTTTTGTCATGATTACTTGGTGAGGTCGGGTGCAATTATATGGGCGGGGTAGTTAAGCGGGCAGGAAAGGTGGAATGTGAAAACAAGGTTTGTGTTTTTGTCATTGCCGCAGTGTAGATCATGTTTACAACAAAGGACGGAAAAACCATTTTTATACAGTCGTCGTTCGGACACCGCGCGTTTGGCTTTTCCCGGAGCGCAGCGGCGGAGGGCCAAAAAAACGTCTGGAGCCTCCGTCTACTAATAGCTTTTCAAATTGCAGTTTTTTACAACATACTCTCTTTTTTTCTTCGTAAGAATCAATGTAATCCAAGCAGGTGCATCTTAACAGACTTTAAGAAGATAGATTAATTTCCAGCGGAATTAAGGGCCCATTAAACGGGTTCCCAGTCGAATTATTACAACTCGCCTGGGTTTACATATCAATTTGGTGAATTCACATTGACAGTGTCTCATTTCTTTGATCAAATTTAAAATTTTTGATTTAAGGCCAAACCAGAAAGTGAGCATAAAGCGAAATGAAAATGGTCTACCTTGTCTTAAATGCCAAAAATTCTAAATCACCAGACAAATCTTGAAGATACATTTTATCAAGTCGGCTTGCCAAGAATCTTTTTTGAACTTGTTTGTGTGTCAAAAAAAGATTCTTGGCAGGACGACTTGTTAAAATGCAGACTGATACATTGATATTAATTAATTAATCGATATGAAGTGCACTGAAAACAGAATTAAACGAACGAAGACAAACAGATATAAAATACTAGATAGGTTGAAGTGATACAGCTTTGTTAACAAAGAGAACCTATCAAGTATAATGAAGCTGGCCAGCAATGCAGTACCAGTAACAACCTGAACAATTTTTGTCTTCGATGGTCTTCTTTTTTTTTTTTTTGCATGATACATGCTGCTGTTTGTAAAAGACGATACAACAATTCATTTTTAAGTACGACCTTTTTTTTATTTTTCAAATGTGAGCTTTTTGTTCCTCTGGCAACGAAATTCTAGTTCCTGTGAGAGTGAAATTTAATTTCTGATTGGCCGACACTTTACTTCCATAAGAGCGACATTCTATTTCTGATTGGGCAACAGTTTGTTCGGTCCGAACGACATAAAGATCAACTGTATAAGAATGACGTTTTGGAAGAAATGAGAAAACGATAGGTAGTACAATTTTATGCTGAGCAGTTGTTACCATCTTTGGGAAAGAGAATTTTGTACCTGTTTTCTGAAAAATCTATTTTTTTTTAGCTTGTAAACGAAAATTACCTTATCCGTAATGAAACATCCCTGAGTGTGTTTAATTTCCCTCCCGACCGACATCGTTACCGAACGAACAAAAAAAAAAAAAAAAAAAAAAAAAAATGATCAGATCATGGGTTTGAAGATGATTTCAATTAGGTGGTTTGAAGATAAACAATTCGACTCTTAATAAAATTAGAAGAATTGATTATTGTTTGGAATAATTTAGCACTAATTAGCACCCGTTACTCAGTTGTGCAAAATAAAAAAAAGTCAATGCATACCATGGGACTCCTTTTCCTATTAAGCGTCCCGGTACCGATGACAAGTAAAACGACCACAAAAAAAAAAATTACAGGCGCTGTTTGATGATATGCAGTTTGCTAAAAAAGTAAAAAATGTACCTCGTGCATATATAATTTCTTTTTAGCTCCATGTTGGTAAGAGACTTTCAAGAGTGGAGAGTTACACAACATTTTGCTTTATTTTCTGACTTTGTAAAAAAAAAAAAAGCCCCAAGTGGGAGAAAAAAAAAAGACATTTTTCTTTCTCTTCTTTCTTATCATTCTGACTTTTCTCTTTTTCTTCTTCTTCTTTTTAATTTTAATTAGTATTAGTGGATAAACAAACAAAAAAAAATTTATGAATCCCCTACACGTTATTCCGGGAGAATTCTCGACATTCACCATAGCGATCGCTATTCTTAGTGGTTTTATTGTGTTTTTTGGCTATGTCTCCATGTTTATAAAAGAAAGATGCTTTTTATCTGAAGCATGTAAGCGTTTTAAATTTTTGATTTTTGATCTATTTTCCCTATCAAAGAAAAAAAAAAGATACTCATGTTCTATTATGTCTAGTTGTCGCACTTGTCGTAGGTATTATTGCGGGTCCATTAGTATCTAATGGTTTTGATCCTAATAATTGGACTGATAGTGATGAGATTACCAAAGAATTAACTAGATGTATTCTTGCTATTCAAGTAAATAATGATAATTAATGTGTGTTATATTGTTACTAACTGTCTTCTAGGTGATGGCCGTCGGTATTGATCTTCCCAAGTAAGTGTGACACATTGAACACCCGAAAATCATAAATATTTACCCTTTTTTTTTTTTTTTAAATTTAGACACTACATGAAAAAAGAATGGCTTACCATGCTGATGTTACTACTTCCTGTCATGATCTTCATGTGGCTCGTGAGCGGATTGTTTATTTGGTGGTTAGTTCCACCAATCGACTACGTAAGTTTGTGAATTGTGGGGTTAGGGTTAGAGTTTCTGGTTTCTGACCTTTCTATTTAGCTTCATTCACTTGTGATTGCTGCCTGTGTTTGTCCAACGGATCCCGTAAGTAGAATTTTTTTTTGACACTAAAAATGAGGTCATATCATTCAATTTTTTTTAACCCCGTGTCTATTAGATTTTAGCAAATTCAGTGGTGAAAGGCCGATTCGCCGAAAAGCATGTGCCAGCTCATATCCGTAATGCATTGTCTGCGGAAAGGTATTGTTTATTTTTACTTATACGTACAAAAGGAATTTTTTTTTTTTTGCTTACCTTAAAAAAAACAAATTAGTGGTGCCAATGATGGTATGGGATTCCCATTTCTCTTCCTGGCATTATTCTTGATCAGTGAACCTCAAGTGGGTACTGCCATTGGAAAATGGATTTATATCACCCTTTTATTTCAAATTGTCCTATCTTGTGTCATTGGCCTTGCCGTAGGTTGGGTTGCTCGAAAGATCCTGCAATGGTCTGAAAGAAAGTAAGTTTTCTCCTTGTCGTCATGCAAAAAAGAAGCTTAAATATACTCACACATACTCTCTCTTTCGTTACATAGTCATTTAATTGATAAACCTTCATTTTTGTGTTTCGCAATTGCTTTAGCCGTAAGTTTATATCTTCTGCATGCATCATATGAACAAAAAAAAAGCTTAAAATATTAACATAACCCCCCCCCCCCTTAGTTATTCTTGATGAGTATGACGGGTTTCTCGGGTAGTGATGACTTGTTAGCTTGTTTCGTGGCAGGTAATGCCTTTTCTTGGGATGATTGGTTCCGACAAGAAACAGAAGAAGCGCATTTCCAAGATGTGATTGATATGATGTTGAATTTAGCGGTCTTTGTCTATATTGGCGCCATCATTGTAAGTGTGACATTTAACAAACAAAAACGAAAAAACTAACAACACTACTGTATAGCCGTGGAGTGATTTTGGAAATGCAGAGCTGGGATTGACTCCTTGGCGATTAGTGGTGATAGCGATTTTGATCCTCGTATTTCGACGATTGCCGATTTTGATTATATTGAAACCGGTGATGCCAGCACTCAAAACCTACCGTGAAGCTATTTTTAGTGGCTGGTTTGGTCCTATGGGCGTCGGTGCCGTCTTCTTAGCCATGGTGGCCAAGGAACAAATGGAAGTGATCTATCATGATGTGGAAGAACCGCCCGTCACGATTGAATTGATTAAACCCGTCGTGTTATTTATTGTATTATCATCTACTTTGGTTCATGGTACAACTATTCCATTATTTAAAATTGGTAATCGTATCCGTACTCGTACCTTATCCATCGCCAGTACTGGTTCCGGTCAAGTGCTGCGTTTACCCAAGTTACAGTTTGGTCAGCAAATTAACATGAGACGAGATGAAGCACATAACCAGGAACATGCTGAAGCCATGTCACAATTAAAGCGTAATACTTTGCTTAATACTATCCAACAACAACAATCACCTCATCATCCACAATCTCAAGATCATACCATTCAAATGCATGACGATGACGATTATGATGGTTTAAATGAAGAGGATTTCTTACCTGATGAATCCGATGAAACCGAGGTCGGCGGTTATGATGAGTCGACAACACCATCCAATCCTGCTTTAAATATGCAACAGCAACATCATATGCCTGCTGCTCCCACCACTGAATCTCAGAGTATTCGATTCTTAGAACCTGTCAATCCTAGAGCTGGATCAGCGTCGCAGAATATGGACCGTAATGATGCTAGTGTATCCAGTTTCCGAAGCTGGATGAACCGTAACAAAGAGATTAAAGAAGAACCTGGAACGGAGGACGTGGGAGTCATTGCCAGTAACCCACCTGCTCATAGTGGTGGATTAAGGAACCTGTTCCGTCGACATAATAAGGATAATGTTGAAGACAATGTACAGGCAGATATGCCACCTTCTGTACGTGTGACATCGCCTGATGACGAGGAAAAAGAACAGCACGTAGAACCCATCACTGCACACCCCAGCACGCTTGACACATTAAAAAACATGTTCCCACATCACCATCAAGAACAGGATACCATTATTGATGTGGGACCAGAGAAACTGAGTCGTCGTATTGAAGTATGGGACGAACCTAACCATGTGGTGATTGAAGATAAACGCGACGCTTCCTCTCATTCTGTCATTGATAAGTCGGATCCTAATTGGAAAGTCTTGGTCAAGGAAAAGATTAATCAGCTTCAATATATTATTGATAATGAAGTGGATGAAAAGCGTAGTTAAAAGAAAAAGGAATCTCTCTCTCTCTCTCTCTCTCCCTTCTTCCTATTGTAAAAGCATACCTCCCCCTCCCCCTTTCTTTTTTTCTTTCATACACATTATTATAATATCATATTTATTCTATTACCAAATGTAACTTCTATTTAATAAAATACTTTTTTTTTCTCCAGTTGGTTTTAATGTTACCAAACAAAGCTATTATGCATGTCATTGGAACAAGCGTGCATTGCTCGTATTACATTAAACTACAGTTTTCTGCCAAGTGGTATTTATCCCGATTATGGCGGTGCTTATGTTTATGTTTCCTTTTGCCATCATTTTTACATTGACAAGGTTCATCTTCTTGGACTGGTGTTGTTGATGTCGAGTGTGTTGATTTAAAATCATCATCCTTTCTACTAACTTCGTCATCACTGTCATCTGACGTTAATGATCCATGATGACATGTCTTATCCAGTTCGTAAAAAATAATATATGCGTTTTGGGAAAGATCTTCGAACATGCCAGTAGTTTGCCCCAGCACAGATACCCTACTATCTCGATTCATATCATCAAATTTTAACCAGTAAGTCTCTCCTTCCGCATCTTCCATTCTTGCATAGGATATATAATGTCCGCTATTTAATGAATCACCTTTATGGCACACAGCGCTTTTAAAATGTAATGTCCAGTCGACTAAATGACCACAGGTAGGGCACATGGGATCGTCAGCGTTTTGGTTAATGAATTTATTGAAATCGATGGTGATGGGGATTTCAACCCTTCGTTTTAATTTGGTTGTGCCACCACAAGCGTCATATTCATACCTTTTCAAGACAATGGGTAATATCATGTGGGTATCGGGAAAAGATGAATTAAATTGCGTATCAATGGTATTACCACTTTCACTGATACCACTATAAAAAGGTAATAACTCCAATACTTGCCATGCAGTGACGGCAATTTCTTGTTCTCCTTGAGGTTGTGGCTCTGACACAATGGCTTTAGGATCTTTTTCGAGTTTCATGGTGTCTTGGAGTACAGTGCCAATGGAAGGAGAAGACGCAACATTTTCAAGAATGCTGTGTTCGTAACTCACTTGACGTTGAACATCGGTGATGATACTATTATAAAAACAATCCACCAATATATCTTGTAATTGGATATTCTCGTTCATCTCGTCATTGTCAGCTGCTTTAGGAATTGAGAGTGAAAGTGTACGTTCGGTGGTTACTCGGTCATCACTGGTATCTTTATTGGCGCCATGAAATAGTCTGACTTGGAACTAAAAAAAGCTTTTTGCATGAGTTTTAATCTAACATTTTTTTTTTTTTTTTTTTGGTGATGAACGTACAGGGAGATAAGGTAGTTCGAAAGTTTCAGTGATAAACATAAAGAGCTCACTTGAATCACCTTGAGTCCAGTGACCCCCTGTGTCTTCACAGACCCAGTCAGCTTCCTGTAGCACTTTTCGAAACCAATGAACGAAATCGGCATTAATGAAGTGGCCTTTTCGTAATTTATTGACAAAGAGTCTCATAAGAGTTTGAAGTTTTATCTTTGATTCGTTCTCCACGGGAATATCATAAGTGAGTAAAGGATCGAATGTGGTATTTGAAATGTACATTGCAAAGAGCAATGCGTCGATATAACATGATGTGCCACCGTCGTTTTCGGCACCTAAAAGTTTAATGTTGCTAGAGGTGGGAGGTTCTTTGAGTATACCATGGGAAGCCTCTTCGTAATCAATTAGGTCGATCATGGCCTTTTTGTAATCCCATTCGTTGTGTTCCAAAATACTTTCGTATAATTCTGGGTCGAGGGTGACCGAGAAATTATGGTTACCGTATTTTGACAGTGAAGTGATCTTTTCTAATTGATCTGCTGTACGTTTCTTCTCTGTGGGTTGGATGAATTCTGTCGATTTCGAGTGAGGAAAAATGAATTTCCAAAATTTATCTCGTCTTCGATGTGCTTTCTTCTTCTTTTCTTCTTTGCTAATATGCTCGTCCATTCTTTTTTATTGTTAAAACTAAACAAAGGAAGATTTTTTTTTTTGTTTAAGCTTTTTTTATTTCTTTTTATTTTGGAGCGCCGATTAATCCTTGCCAAGCATTGTGAGGATTGACTTTGGGATTTCGCACACTGTTGGTATTCTCTGTGTTTCCTTGAACACAAATAAACAGGATACGTACTAGTCTTTTTTAATAGTGATAAGATCATTTCCTTATTAAAAATTCAAAGTTAGATATGGTCAAGTTAAAGCAACCCCAATTTCATTTTCAAGAATTTTTTTACGCCTCATTTATTCATCCGGAAATCGTGTTTGGAGTATATGTTAGTGTTTAAATACAAGCAAAGGTGACAAGAGTAGCAAAAAAAAAAAGAAGGAATTTCTGCAGATCCCTTCTTTGTGATGCATAAATACTCATACTAAAATATGCAACTCATATAAGATCAAACAGACAGCCGATACAAGTAGAAATCAGACAATATCTCTTCCAAAGAAAACATCACCAAATAAATATGTTTAGAAAAGATTAGTTAGATCTACTTATATGACTTCCAGAAATGAAAGCTATTTCACTAGCTTTTTATAGACAAGACGAATTTCATGAAAAGACTGTTAAAAAGCACAGACAAGACTTATAATGATCACTTGCGTTTTGAGTATATTCACTTAAAGTATAACGTACACTGGAATACCACTGAATGCAAAACATTATTTTCATTAGGTCTCAATTTTTTGTAGCTTTCTGACTACGTTTTAAAGGGTTAGGTACTCCATATAATTTTCTGGTCTTTTGGGCTTGTTGTAGCAAAATGTTTATTCTGATAAGACTGTAAAACTAAATATGGGTTATGTTGATAAGATTTTATAATGAAGCAAATCAGGCAAGTGATATACAGTATATTATAAAACTCTGCAAGAATTCTAGCAGAAAGAAAAATAAATGATTATAAGGTATACTGAAACAAATACACACAATATAACACATAAAGTAAAAATCTTATTGACAGTTTCTGTTACAGTTTGTTACAAATCAAGTTTGTATGATTCGATAAAAAAATATATAATTTATAAAGAAATAGTGGTTCTGTAAGTACGACTATAAGTTCTTGTTACTTTATTGAACCGAATTTTTAGCTATAAAAAAGGGGGTGTATTTACGAAAAATCCAAAAATCCAAAAATAACAAGACAGAATATTAATCAGATTACAAAAAGAAACCAAGCATTATTAAACATAAAAATAATGATCTCTTTTATACATGATAAACACAGCTAAGACTACCATCACGGGTAAATTATACCCAAATGTTATCCAAGCTGTCAATAAATCCGCTAGGAGCAGTAAGAGAATATAATAAATAACCCGTACCTGAATAATCAATCGGTACCATGTGAACTCTGAAAATACTAGCTGACATATGATAAATATGACAGCTGTAACAAAACTCTGATCGTCAGGGTACAAGCGTATTACCATAAATATGGTCTATATACAGCTCGCATACAGCATTTTATACTTTTCAAAGTCTGACTGTGATTAGAATTGCTTATCAATGAATTTATCTTGACTATTAAATTCCACATAAATTCATGGATACTTTGTTATCTAGTTACCGACAGATTGCTTTAATGGCTTATTTTACCATAAAAAAACAACAGTATCGTCCTTTTATTCTTTCGTAGATATTCCTTCTTTTTCGCTTAACACGCTGTTTTGAATTGAATTTTTCATATAGTAAACTGTCGTTTCCGTACGTCCTTTCAAGCCAAAAAAATGCTAAAATATGATATTGAATTATTAGGTTTTGATTTCAAGATTTTTTTTCAAAGACTTAAAATTATTGGCCAAAACGCAAAAGGTATACCTCGAGGAAAATCCCAAATTTTACAAATGAGCCTTTTGAATACCCTTCCTGTAGGTTTGATGAAAAGTGTTTTTAAATAATTATAGCCCAAATTTAATGCTTTTTACAATAGTGTTAGTTTTAGATTAGTTTTACTAAAAATTATTTTGAGCGCATATTTTAAAAAACAGTTTTTGCTATACAAAGTTTTGTTTCTACATATTAAATTAGTTTTCTAAATATACCAAAAGATGCGCCTACATTTTCCGCAAATTTTGGGTATCATATTACCTTAATAAAAGTTTAATATCCAGAGGCTTTACTTTGACATGAAAGTTATAAAAACTCATTTTTGATCAAATCGGTTCAGGAAAAGCGAATTTGTTTTCTCTCTCATTTTAGAGGCCATAGACGTGAATGAAAAGGATCAAATGACATTAAATCTGGCGTTCGCGCGCATATTTTTTGAGTTAGACACCGGTTTTGTCAAAACACGACAGTAGATCGTAGAATCACCCTCAAGCCTAGGCTTAAACTTGTAGACAGTGCTTATGTGCTGTGTGCTCAGCTTAATCCACAGTGGAGACTATCAACCAGTAGCTAGTGTAACACGAACTTTTTTTTACACTGGCTCCAAGTTGTTGGACAGACTGTGTGCGCTACTTTGCCTTATTAAGAACATGACTTAAAACCCGCATGATTTTCTCTTTTTCTATACTAACTATCACACCCGTATTGTTTCATAAGCTTAAATGTGGCTGTAGTGCTAAACCATATGTAAAGTTGCTTTCACAAAATACAGATAACTCTTGAAAAAGGTATAAAAAGGCCCTCCCCAAAAAAAAATATGATTCGGGTCTATATTTCTACGGCATTGTACTCTCTACCTGTTCTGCAGGCTTTGTTATAGTTTTATAGGACTGTAACTAGTCTAATTCGGATAGCGGATTTCTCGTCCCCACAAGGATGGTTGTCATATTTTTTTTTTGCTCGGGGGTGCACAACCGGAACATTTTTATATTTAATGAAAAACTTTTTGACCAACTGATTTATCTCATGCAAAAAAACGGCCAAAAAACAGGTGTTTGAAAGACTGCAAAAGATCTTTCGAAGTACTTTGAGTATCAAAAGACCTTCCGCGAGTAGTTATTTGCAGCTACATTAAATTAGTGTATATAAAACCTAAGTTTTAGTCACCCTTAACTACTTCTTTTTACAGTATTTTTTACTTGTAAATAAAAAGTTTCTTATTGATTTCAAAATGACCATTAAAGAATCTAACGCAAGCCACACCACTTAACTTATATATACAAATTATAGGGGTGTACACTGGTTACGTAAAGCTGATTACACGATGACTCATATTTCCAAGACGGTTGGATTATCTGTTCCATCAGTCCAAACAGTGGTCAACGGACTTAGAGAAAAAAAATGCACCTCTCTCTGAGAAACACACTGGTGCACAGAAAAAAACTTGATGCTAAAGATTTGAGACGCCTACAGGCCATTACAAGACGTAGACAATTCGCATATTACAATAAAATAAATGCAGACGTAAGACCTCAAGACATTCACATCTCGAGACCAACTCTGATATATTATTCAAAAGAAATTGGCTTTGGATTAAAATAATTCAGTTTGCCATAGTGTTGGCATTTTGCGACACACAAGCCAGCGTTGACCGACGTTCAAAAAAAGAGACGATTTTGTTGGGCCAAAAAAAGGGCCAATTGGATCATAGAGCAATGAAGAGGGGTTGTCTGGTCGGATGAGCCCTGTTTTACGGTCGAAGGATATGGTAGAGATGTGAGAGTGCTTCGAAAAGTCGGAGAAAGGTGCAAGAAGGAGCATATTGTGGAGACAACAAAGTGGGGGTAGAGAAAGCGAAATGATTTGGAGCTGCTTTTGGGCAGATAGTTGTGCGCCATTAGTCTTCATTGATGGTAATGTTGATCAAACGGCTTACATCGATATTTTGGCTTCAATATTCCATCACTGGTTTGTGGATCTCTTTGAGAACGAGTCAAACGAAGATCTGAAAGTATATATATATATATATATTATTATTATTATTATTAAAGTACATGTGTCAAAAATTGTTACCAGAAATGGAACCTAGCTTTTGTTTCAAAACATTTTTCCCAGATTACTAACACCTAGTGGCATGGCATTTATAACTCGTCAGTGTGATAAGATGAACTCAAGCTTAAGTCATAGCAGCACCAGTTGTCATCGTTATTTTGTAGTGCTTAAATACAAAGTGTTTCGTGATACATTGAATTACTCAGCCTGTCTATACGACATGTATAAAGACAGAATTCTTCCTTTATAAATATAAATCCTTCCACCCCCAGCCAAACCTGACCTTCTAAATTATTTTCAAGTACATATATGTTTCGCATGACCCACAGTTGGTTTCTTATATTACCGCTTGCAGCACCTCTAAATAGGGTAGATAGAGAGGACTTGTTTTAATAGTTACAAAGAATATGATTGGTTAACGTTTTTCACTTCTTGATCGATGATCGTGAATGACGCGATTGGAAACTCTGGGCATTCCCATTCTTTTTTATTTATTTTTTTGCATAAAAGGGAGAATGACCTTTTTATCTCGAACTTCCCTAATTGCTCGACATTTGCATTACTCTACTGTCAACTCCCGCGCCTTAACAACACAAATAATGTCTACTGAAAAAGCTACTTTTGCTGCCGGCTGTTTCTGGTAAAGAGTAGTAAAATTTGGTAGATACAAAAAAATTAACAATAGTATTTATAGGGGTGTCGAACATATCTTCCTTAAATATTTTAAACAAGATGGTATCAAAACCAAGGTAGGATACATTGGGGGTGATACTCCCAATCCTGGTTATAAAGAGGTAATATCTTTGTCATTCTTGTTCAAAATTAAAGACTAATACTTTGCAAAGGTTTGTTCAGGAAAATCCAATCATGCTGAAGCTCTTGAAATTACTTTTGACCCTAAAAAGGTGTCGTATGCAACACTCGTAGACTTTTTCTACAGCACCCATGGTAATCTAAGTTTTCATAAAAATTCTGCAACCCAGTACTAACGCGTGTAACAGACCCTACAACTGTGAACGCTCAAGGGCCAGATCGTGGAAGTCAATACAGATCTGCCATTTTTTATCACTCCCCAGAACAAAAGTCGATTGCTGAGAAAGTAACCGCTGAGGTTCAAGAGAAACATTTGAAAGGGAAAAAAATTGTCACGGAAATCGTTCCTGCAGGCGTGTTTTATGATGCTGAGGCATATCATCAGGTAAAGACACTATACAGACATTTAATATTATCCAATTAACGATATATTCATTTGCAGAACTATTTAAATGACAACCCTAGTGGCTATCAGGTACATAAGGCAATATTTTAAATAACCAAACTTACTGATTGTTTACCTAAATAGTGCCCTACTCATTTCAAACGTTGGTAAATTTGGCAATTCCATGGTAAAATGGTCACAAATTGCACGGCGGTTGACCCAACCCTTTTCTTCTTTCTAATAAAAATAATAAAGCTCTTTTGAGAAAAAAGGAGCCAAATGAGAACTATTTCTCTTGTAAAAAGGCTAAAATGGAACTTTTCTGGAAACATGAATCCACATGCTTTAGTTATTGGCGATGTAGACAATGACAATGTAACTTCGCTTAGTCTATTACATTGAATAAGCGGCTGACTGTTTTACTTAGGAAAATGAATTTGTTATTGGTAACCTAAACGGAGATCTCGCTATATTTAAAGGTGAATGTATAGACGGGTTTCCTTCATTTGTTTGTCGCGGTCTGGGAACGGTAAAGCGAATACAGTTATAACCTGAAATAATAACACTAATAAAGCTTTTAACAGATTACTTGCATAGCAATTGGTGATGTGCGAAACCATGGCAAGGTATTTATAGTTCATTATGGTGCCGAATAACGAAATTTACACGTATTTTAGAATTCAGTAGTAATCATAAATGCAGAAGGGCATGCACACATTTTTGATATCCCTCATAAATCGAATCAGGATCAACATCAACACAATATCTCTGTAGATGATTATTTAAGAGGAGGGAGACGATCTTCAGATACTGCGAGTATTCAAGCGTTTCGACGTATGATGAGCGTAAATGGTTCAGCTATCCCGACCCCACCTATACATGAGGGTCAATCGCAGCAAGATTATAGACAGACCAATGCTAATACGAAACCTGCGTCACCTTATATCCACGATCTTGGAAAACCTAACTTAACCTTAAAAGTTCCCGTAAATGTAAACAAGATTCTTATTGCTGATATTGATCATGATGATTTAAATGAACTAATATTGGCCCGAACAGATCGGATTTTACACGCGTTTCAATTAGTTCCTTCCGACTTTTCCAATACTCCTTTCGACCATATGTATAAAGGAATTCAAACACCTTCCATATCGTCATTGTCGCCTTCAGCTTCAACAACCAGTTTAAGTGGGCTGCAAGGACATCCGCCACAACAAAAAAGGCCCTCGCTAGCAACGGCATCCGTATCTGCCACAGTGAACGGCACGAAAGAAGAGAATAATTCAGTCCCTCCTAAAAAGATTAATTTATTGGATAAAAATATGTGGGTGTTTGATGGACAAATCAGTTCCTTATGTACAACAACCCACCCTGACAAACCAAACGAGCCACTTCTACTTGTTGCACAGCCGGGAAATACGTTTACAATTATTGATCGAGATGGTAAAAGATATAATCGGGACTTTACACCTCAACAAAGTGCTACACCCAATTCAGGTTTTGCTACCAAAACGATGTCGGTATCTCCATTGAATACCAGCAAAAGTACAATAGAAGACGAGAATAAGATTAAGTCGTTATTGTTAAGTAACGATGAAGAAGAGGAGCATATTAATATTGAGATTTTTGAAGATGAATCAACAAAAACAGACGATAATAACTGCGGCTTTAAACGATCCAACTATGTTGTAAAAAATTGGCCACTTTTGGATTCAGGTGGTGGTAATAACAATGATGGTGTAATAGATGATGAAATTGAAAGTGGGGCCGTTGCGACAGAGATTGTTATGGGGAAAAGACATTTATTAGGCGACTCTTTTTCAAGTAGCGAGGTAGGCATGTTGAGTATGGATGGAAAATTTTCCATATATGATTTGCGCACAAAAACTACCTCTCAACGAGACTTGTTTGTCACCCACAAACTGTTTAGTCTAGCTACCTTGGACGTATCTACCTCAACATTCTTGGCCAGCAAATCAGAATTGGGAAAATCTTCATTCGGGAAACAACACACATTGCACCAAACCAATACAGGAACACAAACACCAATGAGTGGCACTTCCCATCTTCGATTTGCTACAACGTCTCGTCAAGAAAATTCTTTAAACGAAGGGTCTCGAAATTCCTCGAAGTTATCACTGAATGAACTAGCCAATAATAATAAAAAGGATCTGATATCCCGAGATAGCGACAGTGAAGACAATAATGCCGATGATAACAACCTGGGCAATCACAATAAAAGGGCTGACAACATCGTAACATCAGGCACAGATAGCTCTTCTTCCGGTACAAATGACGAGGATGATGACGACAGTGATTATGAAAGTGTTCCTTGGAGTGAAGGGAGTGAAATTGAAAACGAACCTGGCTGCGATCTATTTGTAGCTTGCGCTTGGAATGGTGTAACCTACCTAATTGACTGGAGCAAAAGAATAGGAGATGAAGACGTTGAAGTCGATAAAAAGGATGATGTCAATACAAGTGACGATGACGATCAGTATGAGGACATCGACGAGGATTTAGATGATGATGAAACTTATAGCTCCAGTAGTAGTGATAGCTTGTTCACTCAGACACAAGAAAATGCATCCAAAATCAAATATCAGTTAGTAAAATTTGCTTTTGAAGGGCGCGTATGCGCATTCACAGCAGGTTTGTACTGCGTAGAAAACCAAGTAAATGTGCCATGTCTATTCTATGTTGATTTTGAAGATCAAATATACGTTTACTATGATGTTCGTATATCACCTGGCCCTGTCACCGGATTTATAGATAGAATTGATGATGATGTAGAAGAAGCATTAGATAGAATCATTGGTATAGAAAGTGGAATTGATGCTCTGACTGAGGCGAATCATATTCCGAAGAAAAAAAGTACAGAGCAAACAGAAGTAGACGCAGCTGCAATTGATTTAGGTGACGGCTGGCAGGGAATTGCAGATGAGGAAGATGAGGAGGAAGATGAGGAGACCCCTCGCATCCCGTTGACTGAGGATCAACAAAAAATTAAAGATCAGTTACAGGATACGGACCCTATAAGTAAATTGGCTATATTTTGGTATAATTTTGATAAAAAATTTAAATGTTTTATCTTAATTAGATTTGGCTGACTTTATCCACGAATGTCTATATGGATTTGATGACATGAAAGAAAAAATGGAAAATGAGATGCGTGTGGTAAGTTATGAGGCTGGTTTTATTCAATCCGTGAAAATTATATCAACACCAATTTCATCAATTATGTAGTTTGAGCAGAGCCGACTTTCAAATCGTATACCAGCAGGGGGGGATGTACGCAGACTATCAGACTTAAATATTACCATCGAACCCCCGGTGGTTGATAACGATATAACCTCAGACCTAGCACCATTGGGATTGGTACCTGATGATAACGATGAAGACGATGAAGAAATGAGAAATAGTTTATATCCTGTTAACAGCAGCATCAGTGAAGAATCCTCCGAAAGTTATGATAACAATACTCATATTACCTCATGGATCGAAGGTTCATTAATTGGGTCTTCTATATTCAATAAAGAAGAAGAGGACGACGAGGAGGAGGAGGATGGGAATCACAACGATAGCATTTCAGACACGTCAAAAATCTATTGAACATTAACAAAACAAATAGATTTTAAAAATAAAAAATAAAGCATGACATTTAAAAACTAATTGGAACATGACACATTGATAACTAGGCGGAAGAGTCATTTTTTTGTACTGTACGATAAAAATATTCTTGAAATTTTGGATACATTCCCCCCGGAAAGCAGTGTAATGCTGTATAGGCGCAAATCTTTTTACACAGATATGGGCATGAGGTTAAACGTCGTATATTTCTCAAATAAACTAAAAGAAAACAATATCTGATTTGAAAACAGTGTATAAAATTTTATTTTCAGTTTAATAAATAAATAAATAATTTAAAGTAATGGATTATCATTACAAGGCTTTTCTATGGAGGTCTTTAAGCGCTACAGGTATCGTTCTTGTGGGTAGACCACCAAGCACAGGCACCAGCAAATTCAGTGTTGAATAACTCGGGATCATCAGCAGTACATTGAGCCATACAGGTACCAGCCTTGGTCATGAAAGAACGGTATTCAGGAGCAGTCTTGGTACACATGAGAGTGAGAGAGGGAATGAACAAAGCAGAGGTGGAATCCATGGTCCATCCGGGAACCCATTCTTGACCAGCAACAACGTTACAGGCAGTGAAACAAGGAGTAGAACTAGCAATGTCGTAAGAAGGGTTGCAGTCAGTAGCGGCAACAGAAGCAGGAGCAGCAGAAACAGCAGTAGCAATGAAGGCAAGGACAGCAGAGAAGGCAATAGAGGCGTGCATGTTAAAGTAAGATAATTATTCTAGTATTAGATGATAATGTTTGGAAGATAAAAATTGGGGGTATTTATACAGATTTTCTTCAGTGTATACCCCCGAATAAATTAGGCATTATGCGGAATAGTACAAGTATTAAACGTACAAAACAATTAAGATTGCTTTGTGTGAAACCATTATGTAGATAATTCAAGCACCTCCTGTGTCCTACACAATTATTTTGTGTGCCGTATCATCAATCTCAATTTTATCAGATTAATGCTGGATATACTGTTACACAAATTCAATCAGATAACTTTCCTGTTTTATTGTGGTACGAATTTTAATTTTGTTAATCATAGTTACTAGCCTCTTTTTCTTGCCATGTAAGGATCAATGACTCATTGTATTTCTGATCATTGTGTGACTGATTGGAGCGTAAAAAATATAGAACTCTCGATCATTCTTGTGATCACACTCAAACATAACATCACAGGAAATATTAAGAGAAGTGTTATGATATCGTTAATAATAAAGACACAATTGACCTTTTTTTATTTTCTTTAATTCTGACTGCCTTTTTTATGTTTTTATCTGCCTGAAACTATTGAGTCTGGCCTTTGAACACAACCACTGTTTAACTATATTGTATATCAAATTACATGTATTTTGGGTTATATACGCGTGCAATATTTTAGATCTAGTAGCGTAATCACATTTTATTTGTGTACAAACGCTTTTACATAATGGCTGTATAAATGATATATTCCAAGCTTTATGTGTGGTGCCCAATACATTTTATACGATTCTTAACAGCCTTATTAATTATCCGTTGATGACAATGCCTACATGTCCAGGTCACCCTTGCACAATTAGTAATTTTAAAAATCAAAAATGTACACCAGCCTCGGTATTGTGGTTTTTATTCGCCACTACAATATTTCTTTTGTAATTCCCAATAGATGTTTGGCCATAGTAACAACGGAGTTAGTTAAAATACACTGACAAATGCCTCTCAATGGAAGTTCTTAAATCACGCAGTGCATCAGTGTATTTTTCGAATTCCATTGGGTACATTTTATGAAATTTAAACACTTTCTGAAATTGGGATTGCTCGCAGTAATGAGGTTGAAATGCCCAATAAAAATAGGAGAGGGGGGAGGTATGACCATTTGTCACTCTGAGGCTACCAAGCGCCCATTCTTTGCACGCTAGAACTAATTGTCTTGAAATAATACAAGATTTTAAAAAAACATTGCCCTGTATCCGTAAGCAAGTATTTTTATGTCTGTCTTGCCTACATGTCCGTTCTGGCAGTAGCTTATTATAGTAATAAAATGGCCTAGAATTGAATGTGGGAGGAAAACGACAAAAATTTAAAATCGGCCATGGGTAGTCAAGCTTTCCGAATTAATAATCAGTAGCACGCTTTACCCGCCTTTGCTATATCATTTATTAGCTTCATAAAAAGGAAGTATGTAGCAATTGTAAAGTTCTACTCCATTATTTTATATAATCTCTTTGATGCACCTGAGAATCACTGGCCAAGTCTGGTAATGTAATTGCTATCTTATGCTTCCTCGAATCTCTTCTGTATATGAGAGTCTTAGAATCAGATCTGACTTTAACGCAAGCATTTTCTAATGAATTATTTTTTTATAATCCAAGTATATTGATTGAAATTATTTAACTACATTTGCTTTGCCCCAAGTTTTTTTCGGCTTCAGAGGTAACATAACACACGGTATTATTACTTTAGATTTGCGTGTAAATTGTTTGTATCTTTCTGCAAATTTGTTGATATCCCTAATACAACATCTACAGAACTATGACTAATATACCTTCATAGTTCTAATAATAATCACACTAATTTTCTTTGTAGCTATTTTTTAACCAGCCTTATATTTTAGAACAGTAAGTATACGTTTTGCATACTTTTGTTAGTGATTTTTTATATTTTCTCTTCAGCTCTGCTTCCAAAAATTCCAAATTTCTTTAGGAACACGAAGTAACAGATTTGATGAGAGGTTGATTTTAAAAAACTAAATAGTAACGCTGATTCTCTAAAATTCAAACGTCCTTTGTTTGGGTAATTTAACCTCACATATGCCAGTAATATCAATTTCAAAAAACAATGTGTGCTCCAAATTAATTTAAGCTTGTGTTCAAATGGAAAAGTACCACAGTGTTCAGTTTTGAGAAGGGATGCATAATTTTATTAATATTTATCGTGGTGTAAGATCTTTGTTACTAAAAGCTTGGTGCAGATTTTTTCGAGTAGAACGCTTTGTATGACATTGTTAGTGAGACAAAAAAACGTTTACAGCAAGTTTAAAAAAAAGCTACATTTATGTGTAAATAATTTAACAGTGTATGAAAGTTTATTTTTCAGTGTAATAAATAAATAAATAAATTAAAGTAATGAATCACCATTGCAAGACCTTTCTATAGAGGAGTTTAAGCGCTACAGGTATCGTTCTTGTGGGTAGACCACCAAGCACAGGCACCAGCAAATTCAGTGTTGAATAACTCGGGATCATCAGCAGTACATTGAGCCATACAGGTACCAGCCTTAGTCATGAAAGAGCGGTATTCAGGAGCAGTCTTGGTACACATGAGAGTGAGAGAGGGAATAAACAAAGCAGAGGTGGAATCCATGGTCCATCCAGGAACCCATTCTTGACCGGCAATAACGTTACAGGCAGTGAAACAAGGAGTAGAACTTGCAACGTCATAAGAAGGGTTGCAGTCGGTAGCGGCAACAGAAGCAGGAGCAGCAGACACGGCGGTAGCAATGAAGGCAAGGACAGCAGAGAAGGCAATAGAGGCGTGCATGTTAAATTGGGATAGTTGTTCTGGTAAAAGATGATAATTTTTTTAATAATGAATTTACAAAGTATTTATAAGTTTTTTTTTTTAATGTTTTTGACAGGACCATAGACATAATAAATGTAAACACGGAAAAAAACGGATTGTTCAATGATGATGAGTATAATAAATTAAAGCGCCTGCTTTCTAAACTTCCAGTGCCTTACACGCTTGTTTTGTGTAATATGAGATGACCCTCGCCTTTATCAGATTTAATGCTGAGGGTAACACGTACTTTAAAAATAAAAATCAGATAACTTTCCTGCTTTACTGTGATACAACGATCATTTATGTCAATTATTGTTACTAGCGCCGTATTTTTAATGTTGGTTTTGTGTAAGAGGTGACTCATTTACAAAAAATATATTGCCGTATAATTTGGCATGCGCATTATAATATCTTCCAACATAAATTTCTGGTGTAAAACATTATAATATAAAGAGATGTATTCTGATGATAACATAAAGAATCAGTATAAACATGTATCAGTTAACTCTTTTTAATTTTTAAAAACAAATTATCGCTCTTCCGTTTACATTGAATCTCAGTTGGGGAAGTTTTATCTTGTACATGTTTTATAAGTATAAACGTACGATGTATAATTCGCTAAAGGTGTATATTTTTGTAATGGCATTGTTTTATTATATAAATACTATAGACTACTTTCCTCATGCTGACTGTATGGGTATATTCCTTATTTTTCTCAGCTAAGTATATTTACTGTCTGTCGTACACTGTTTCTGTTCCGGAACTACTTTCATAAAGATATACACCCACCTTTTGTAACTGGTTATACCAATATTTTTCCAATCGTAACGCAATTGTTACCGTCAACAGCCAAACGATAAAAATATATTATAGATGATACCAAGCTACAGAAACTAGCGTTTATTATTCTATTTAGATATCATCAATAATTATTGGTGTCCTTTTTTTAAAAATCTATAAACCGGTTATGTTTTTTGTTATTTCTTTGAGTGCGTAATTTGACTCTGGCATTTTGTATCACTTTGGCTGAGCCGTGGTATATATTATGTAACATAATTTCTTTTATCAAACATAGCAAATTGCTCTGACATTAAAACACGTAACATAGCCCGGATTCTAGGAACAAATATCCCAAGGAAACATATTAAGGAAGAACTTATAAAATTGTCTCACAATTTTCAACATCATTCTAGTAGCCTTTTTGAGAAAAATTTTAAATAAGCGATTTACTATGCCAGTATGTCCGACTTATCGGTGATTTTTTATTCTTCTTCAAATTAATGTGTATACCGTACTTTTTCAGCCAACAATTTAACCGAATATAATGCAACAATTGACCCTAACAAGACATTACTCAATAAATGACCCGTTTGGACTACAGAAATGAGTCGTCAAATTAATATGAGCCTTTTCGCCTGAATATTACCAATTATATCAAACAATTAAATACTTAATATCGATTTTTTAAAATGATAGAGACAAGCATTGTTCCAAACAATTTTTTTTTTTGCTTAACTCCAGAGAAGCCAAATGCCTTTTTTTTTCTAAAAAACAGCGGTAGGATTTTTTTTTTTAGCTCCCTAAAATTGCTGGTAGTGGTAATGGCAATGGCACTGGTGTTTATGAATATTATTCTCGTTTGAGTAAATAAGATGTTCTATAATGGAAAGTTTGCTAGCAAATATTTTAAAATGAATTTTGAACATTCATGGTCTGCCTTAAGATACGAGAAGTCGCTATAGGATTTATTGAAGCTAATTTAACTTTCAACGGACGATTGGAATCTTGCTTGTCGTCAATATACCAAAAATAATTGTAAATCAACAATAACCTTACAAATATCTTACTATAAGACAATGGTTTCAGTTATACAATTTGCTTCATTAACATCAGTAGAGCCTCCCAAAAGTTGCTATTATCAGCAAGAAACTTTCAAACAATTTTCGCTTCAGTTATAAAGGCACCCTGTAGGTGGTAACTGTTGTGAGAAAGAAAAAGAAATTATTACTCGAAACTCCAGTCAGCACCTAAAGTCAAAAAGCCACATCTGTATTTCAATGTTTTGACTTGAAGAATAAGCCAATTTTTTTTTTCGCTTCCATGTTACAACCGATATGGTTTATTTACCGAACCATAGGAAAAAGGGAAGAGTATCTATGATGTGTAATATACATATTTTCCTTGGGAATTCTACGGGCTGTAAGTATTAATGACTTTGGAATATGCTTACAAGAAAATCTATTTAACTATCAAACAAACATAGGTAAGGGAAAAAGTCACCAAGTAAATGGTTTTTTTTTTTTTTTTTTTTTTTTTTTGTAAATAACAATGTATGAAAGTTTATTTTACAGTGTAATAAATAAATAAATAATTTAAAGTAATGGATTATCATTACAAGGCTTTTCTATGAAGGTCTTTAAGCGCTACAGGTATCGTTCTTGTGGGTAGACCACCAAGCACAGGCACCAGCAAATTCAGTGTTGAATAACTCGGGATCATCAGCAGTACATTGAGCCATACAGGTACCAGCCTTGGTCATGAAAGAGCGGTATTCAGGAGCAGTCTTGGTACACATGAGAGTGAGAGAGGGAATGAACAAAGCAGAGGTGGAGTCCATGGTCCATCCGGGAACCCATTCTTGACCAGCAACAACGTTACAGGCAGTGAAACAAGGAGTAGAACTAGCAATGTCGTAAGAGGGGTTGCAGTCAGTAGCGGCAACAGAAGCAGGAGCAGCAGAAACAGCAGTAGCAATGAAGGCGAGGACAGCAGAGAAGGCAATAGAGGCGTGCATGTTAAATTGGGATACTTGTTCTAGTAGTAGATGATAATTTCCACAAGATGAAAATTGAGCGTGTTTATATACATTTTGCTAGCAGCTATCATGAGAATATAGTTTGGAACGGAAAAATACGGGTTATTAATAACATTGATGTGTATTATATAATTTAAAGGCCTCTTGTGGCCAACACGTTGATTTTGTGTACCGTATGTATTATTATCAGATTTAATTTTAAAAGTAACACAAAATCAGATAATTTTCATGTGTGACATATCTGGGGTATTGCCATCCGGCTAAAATCAGTTGCCGGTTCTACCGAAATTCTTAACACCTCCAGACTGATGTTTTGAGAAGAAATTGGGTAAGTTAAACCTATATGTTATCGGTATTTGTATGTTTAAAATGTTCTAACGTTAATTCTTGATGCTTTCACTTGATTTATAAAATCATACTCGGAAAGGAGGAAGTGGTGGCCAATCTTTGGATATAGGTGGATTAAGCCCGTTTAATCTAATGCCTCTACAAGCCCTGTTCTGGTTTTGGCTGTCAGTGACTGCACGATTGAATACTCTTCTTGGGCATTAGGGATTTACGCCGGCAGCTGTTACTTCAATTCTTTGCAACTTGCTGTCTTGGCGTACAATTTGTTTTGGAATTATTGGTACTTTTGAAGCTAAAATAAACTCATCGATAATTCGAAAGTGATCTGATTTGTAGCTTTTAATTTTTGGTGTAAGCCGCGATAAGCTTCTACAGTTATGGCCTCGTATTAATGGTAAAATTGCGTGTCAATTTCCCCAAAATATACGAAAACATTCACTTTTTTCAGTTAATTCAAATCCCTGAACAGTAACTTTTACTAGTTTTATTTTCTTGCCAGAATTTATTTTTCCAAGCATTGACATTTTAACTCCTTGTTTCTATTTAGCCTCAGCCCTTTTTTTTTGTGTGTATATCAGAGAAAGCTGCATAATTGATGAGGCCTGAATCAGGTAAAGGAAGATCTCTTTATCGTCATAATTAGAGGCGATACATTGGCACTGTCTTCAATGTTTCCAAGAATTAGATAACAGCCTGCGCATTCAAAAAAAGGGAGCACTCTATTGTCAATTGCTGCGGTTGTAATGACTCCGAAGTCTATATCTTATTCGAATATTTTACCCTCTTCAACTGTCCCAGTCATGCTAACTTCTTCTTTGAAGTTAACATCTGGTTATCTAGCGACTTATTGAATTTGTACATTATTTTGCAGTTATTAAATTTAGAGATGAAAAAAGTTGATCAATTTTGTTTTTTACATTTAATCGCACTGTTCCTTTTGCAACTTAAGTTCACACAGAGTATAGATTTGCATTCCGTGATTCTTTTTCTGTCTTGCGGGTTACTATTACTTTATCTATTTCCTCATTCTAGGTAATTTTAAAAAAATTTGCAGCTTTTTGCGAAGGGACTTGCTTTTCTTATGGTACAGGTAAGTTCGGCAACTTCTTTTATTCATTTGATAAGCCTTACTTGTAGAGTCTTTTATTCCAGAGCCAGTCTGGTTTGCGACTCCCTTTTTTTTCTGTTAAAATTATTTCGCCCCAGAAAATGATGGTTGTAGCGGTTTTTAAAGGAGAAGTAGAGCTTGAGCATCAGATGACGTTCTTTTACAATTATATGAATGACATCAAATCAAAAAGATTACTGAATATGAACATGTTGCCATCGGCTGATTGAATTTGGCTGTAATTTGTTATAAAAGTACCAACAATGTTTTAAATTAGATTATGCCTGTTTTAAACAGAAGGCGCAGACTCGCATGATTTATATGGATTATTATTTTATCATATGTGCCTTTGTAAACGACAATTCTACAGCTTTTCTTTGAAAGCGAGTTACTCAATAAGTCTGTGATAATTTGAGTATAAAAGGGTATAAATTAAAGATAAAAATAAACAAGTAAATAAACGATACATTTTAATCCCTGATTATAAGTTGGCAAGTCTGTCATAATAAAATAGAGGACCTTTTTATATTAAATTATTATCTTAATTAGTTTCTGCGTAGAATGAATAAACGTTTCCAGAGAATAGGGAATTGTTGGATTTAAGTTAAATCAGTAACGACATGAACAACATAGCTTGTGAAGTATAATTATGTTAGACTAAATGGTTGTATGTCAGGAACTTCTAGCAAATAAATTGTTTATCCGTTCAGCAATGTGTGCGATGATGATATTACTTGATTACTCATCGTAGATGCTAGAAGAAACCGCAGTAAATCAGTTAACCGGGGTCTAGTGTAGGGTAGGATTTCCAGGTAGAAGATTATGGGAACTGGTACTGTATCTGTTATAATTTATATGAAGTATATTATAACTCAAGATATATTAAATAGTAATTGTATTCGATTTATTTAGACATCAAATACGACAAAGTCAATGATATGAGAACAAACTAGAAGACACTCTGTACATTGTCTTGATCGTTGGCTATTGATTGTTTTACATAGATATTGTAATGAAATATGTGTTTATCACAGAGAAACAAAATTAAGAAGAAAAAACCAATAGGAAAAATATCATAATCACTTGTGAGGCTCTTATTTCCTTTTAAAACTGGATTTCTCCTTAGCCCATCAAATTGATTAGGGTGGTTAAGCGTGAATAATGTCAATGATTAGTTTGTGTTTACTTGTTGGTATTAGGTGAATTTTTTATGACTGATGAATTTTTCCAATCTATTATTCGAACTAAGATTCTTCTATGAATCGCGTGTCAATGATATATGTATTACAGTGCAATTTCAGCACACTTCACACTTTTTTTCTGGTTTTAGACCAGGTACTATTCAACTTCTGAACTATAATCAAAGTTATGTAGTATTAGCTAGTTGATAGATAGTTACTGATATTTTATGGGAACAACCTGTCCTGTACTCAATACCGAATACTTACGCATATATTGGGACCGAGTCTTGAAAGCTATTAGTTTATCTATTATACTTGTATATGTGGTATTTGACAAAATACTACATAGAAAAGTAATGAGATAAAAGTATATTTTTATTAGAGGTAAAAATGGACTCAAAGAACTCTGCTGCTATGAAATAATTGATCCTTTTTATATTGCACAACTCTCCTGAGTTTTAATGATGAGTCAACCTTTCTGGTTTTGGAATAGATCTATACTTTGTTTCCCGCCTTGGGTTAAATGGATACTACTCGCTATAATTGTTTCCAGTTAACGTTGTCCCATATCAGTGGATCGGGAGCATGAGTATTCTAATAAATCTTTAGCATTACGAGACACTTATTTATCAGATCATGCAACGGTTACTGTAAAAGATGCATACTTGTTTGTCAAGTGTAATTGGCAATAGAACATAATAGTTGATTATTTATTCATTATCTTTGTAATGGATAAATTACGATCCCAAATATAAAATGTCTTATCGATATTTGTATATTTGGTTGTAGAAGATAGGTATCCATTAATTCATACACTATTTCTTTATACTCTTTATCAGCAGTATAATTATATCAATATATAAGTAATAATAAACCATTTATATTAATAGCTGTTCTATTCTCTCTCTGGGTAGCTAATCCATTGAGAGAACTATTAATATTAAGTTCCTCTTTCTTATAATTCTTGATTGATCTGAGAAGTTTCTCTTCTCGATCGGTGATATCGTAACTCAGTGGTATAGCATTCTGTATCCAACTGTCATTCGTATATCGTATTTAGGCCAATCATTCAATCTTTAATATAGAATTATGTACTCGAAGTAGGAGAAGTTGTATAGCAGTATACAAGCGTATGCTGACATGCAACATCAAAGGTTGTTTCAATTTCATAGTTTATTTATTTAAACGATTTGCTTAATTATTCTTAAGTGAATCGTACCCAAGTACGACAGTATATATACAGAGCAATAACCAAAGTTTTTTTTTATAAGTGGATATCATGTGGAAGCAAATACAAACAAAGCATTACTATTGAACAGGACAAAATAAAAGCAAAATACAAACGCTTAAAGCGTTTTCGCCCTTCATTACTTGCAAGAGCTGTCTTAAAGAAGGACACAGTACCTCACGCTCGAAGGAATGTCGCAATCATTTGCCATCAAATGATGAAATTTATCTAATTAATCTTGGACTTCCGTTTACCTTTACAAGGTAACTCCCGTTTAATACGTTGATTAATAGTCTGTACAAAAAAACCTACTCAAAAGCAAAATAGCTCTACGAAAAGTCTGGCTTTTCATTATTTGTAAATACCATGTATCCATCAATTATCCGTTTTTCTCATATCTTGCAATGCTAGTGATAGAAGAGTGTGGGTAAAAATGGAGCGCATATGTAACACCTTAAATGTATTTATACGTCGTTTTCTTCAAAATATACAGTCTCAAATGCTCAATTCAAGAACTTTTTTAACAAATGATAATGCCGAAGGAATACCCATTGAAGAGTGTAAAAGGACCGCTTCGAGACCATCCATCGAGCAATGGAAAGTTTCCGATCTTGTATTATTATATACAGCTTTACCCAAAAGTATGTTGATATAGACGCAACATATTTAAAGATGCTATATTTACTAAGGGCCAAGAGGGAAAGCAAAAGTACGACAAGATTATTTGTTAAAGGCGGCTCACCCGACAGAAACGAAAAAAACAATGCATGCTTTTAGTCGCATATTCGATATTTATGCTATTGGATTTAGTTCTATTTAATAAGTGACCACTCAATCCTATCTCTTTATAAGTTACATTAACTATTTTCTAGTCATACAATGCGTATGCTAACAAACATCGCATGTGCAGGTGGCTATAGAACCGATTTTATTATAGCTCGATCATTTCCTCCAACGTTTGGTATTCTTGAGCTAGAGCTATTGTATTGTACTCCTGATGAACTTGAAAATGATTTTCATCTGTGGGGTTCTGATCCTAGAATGATCAGTGTCTTTACGGCTTCTGATAGCCATAGTGATACTCCACATCAATTAAGAAAATATTAAACAACCGAATAATATAATACTAACGCAGGGGGTTTCAAATCAAACAGTCAGATATTGGAATTAAAAAACAATGACAGCCGCTTTCTAGAAGCAGAACGAAGTATTACCAGTTCCAAGACAGCATTCTTAAAGATATATAATGGCTGTGTTCGTTCCGTTCTTGATAATCTTCCCATTATTTTTGCTTTTTATGACCGCTTTCAGGCATTTGAGTTATATTGGAAGACAGAGATGATAAAGAGATGGCTAATTTTTTTTATTAGTGGAAAAAACTACCTAAAGCGAGAAGTCAAGCAAAAAGGCAGAAGCTAGAAGAGAAAACCGGCCTTAACAGTAACAACACGACAGGCCAATGAAGAACATGGACGGAGTAAAGGAAAGAAATATTCCGCAAAGACAAGTCCGGAATGATGACGAAAGAATCTCCCCCGTAGCTTTTGGTGATGCTAATAAAAGGAACGATTCCGGGATTGACACAACGTTTTGAAAAAGGCTGGACGGAGATATTGCTTGTTACTGTTCCTGTTACCAATTACATGACCTCAAAAACATGTTCTAATTGCTACAATAATATTACTGAGAACATTCAGATCGTTAGTGTTCCTTTGTTCGGAGTATTGCAGTGCTTAAATTGCTCTTATTATAATCCTATGGCAAAAAGACATTAGGCATGATCAGAAGCAGTAATTTTATGCTCGGATTCCAAACTCAACATATTTTTCATTTCCAAGGGTGCGATTAGGGATTTCGATCGATAAAATTACCATTGAGGCACTTCTGATTTAAGAGACGGGCAGGATGATTATTTAAGCAGAGTTTGGAGATACAAGATTATTTCTGTCGATAAGGTAAAGAGGGTATATATTGGTGTCAGAACGCAAGAAAAAGTTGTATAAACGCCCAGTTGTTCAAAGAACATGTTGGCCCCGATAATCCGACATTTGTCACTTGATTTGAGAAGTTAAATCAAATCTTATAACCTTATATTATACTATCTCGGCCGTAGATGCAGTTTTTTTAGGCTCAACTCCGCATGAAATGGAGGGGTTCATTTTTATTGGTTGGTGACCATAAAGTAGGTACGTAATTTTTTAAAATGAAATACTAGTTTAATTTAATCACTAAATTAATGCAGAACAACTTCAACTAAACCTTTTTTAAATCGATCTTTTCATAAAAACGCAGAAAAGATAAAAAAAAATTGGGGTGAAAAGCTTTGAATGAAAAGGGAAGGTGTCGGGAATTCATGCGAAAAGTGATGATCAAACCATGAACGGACAATTGACCGGAGATGCGGGTCCATGAAATACTCCCTCAATTGGAATTGCTGCATTGGACCAACCACAGAGCCTCCCTTAGATTATCCACAGCTTAGAGCGTATACATGAATCCGAGACCGAAATGGGGGTTTCTTTTTTTTAAAAAAGAAGCCTTCCTTTGTATTACAGATTTGAAAGTAGCCCACCAGTCCAATCATGGTCACAAACGTGGGAGACTTTTTGGTCTTGAGTAATACCATCCTTTTTTAAACTCAAAATAGCTGACGCTATGATGCACTCATGTATATATTTTTTTGGCAGTAATGACGCTCTTTAATTCTTTAAAGAAAGGGTTACTACCTTTGGCGTTACTATGGTCTCTAAAATCCAAAAGCCCATTTTTCTGAAAAACAGATGTTTCTCGAAAATTTTCATCTTACGAGAAAAAAAACTTTAGCTTTTATATGCAGTGCTTCTTTTTATCAACACATGATGTGACACAAATTCATTTTGATCCCATTCATGCTATCGGATCTGAATGTTTTTGGTAAGAATAGCAAATAGTATGTGATATATTTTAGTGATGAAACGCCCTTAAGCATAAACAGTTTGGGAAAGTGTATATACTTTTGACGCGTCCCCTTTTTTGTTGTAAAACGAAAAAAAGCTATAAATAAATAAGGTTTGAAACTGAGTTTGTTTTTCTCTGTACCTTACCGTGCTTATACATAAACTGTTCTTTAACCGAAAAGTCACATTTTGGTACTACGTATTTTACTATGAAGACCAACTTTCTAAAGCATGGTTTGAAAAGTAAAAAGTACATGAAAATGAAATAACAACAATCATACTAAAAAAAAAAGGAGCCTTCTGGTCACGTAACAAACAAGATGCAAAGACATTGTTTTTTAAACAATGATAAGGTTATATTTATAGACAGGTTTTCAACATAACAAAACTCTCACTATATTTATTTTGCCAAGTATGTTATACTAAAGTTTCGGGTTTCTTAATTCTATTGGAACAATTTTAATGTGGCGTTTTGACAGACAGATGCGAAAATCGGAACTAGTTCTACTTTAGGCAATTTTAATGCGACTAAACGGGTCGGGGGCATCCCAAGTTTTTTCGTGTATAAATAGGTAGACTAATTTCACTTCTTCTCGCTATACATTTTTAATTTTAACTATTCAAAATGCTCCATTCTCATACATCTTATACCTCTGAGACCTCTCAAACCTCTTACAGTTCTAGCAACCGTGTCCAATCAAGCGAGTCCCAAGCCTCTCTTATTATCCACGTTAGCTCTGCTACCGAGTTAGTTTCTCGTCAAACCTTTGGTAAGCAAGATCCTTTCCTCCAATTCTACTTGGATGCCAAGAACAAGGACTCCTACTTGAAGACCTTTACTCACAAGAATGCTGGTGAGAACGCTACCTGGAACCAAAAATTCACCATCTCTTTGAACGGTGAGCCTAACCTTTATGTCGAAGTTCTCGATGAAGAGAACACCGTTAACGAAGTTATCGGTTTCGCTGCTATTCCCATCAACCAAGTTGTTCACGCTGATGGTGCCTACATGAACGGTCTTTTCCAAATTTATGATGTCAAGGGTGAACGTGCCGGTCTCCTCAACTTACAATTGGCTGCTACTGGTTTCCCCAACTCAAGAACCCCCGATTTCGGCCAAGCTGTTCAAGGTACTTCTTTTGTTGAAGAGGAACACTGTGCTCGTATGAAGTCTTCCAAGAAGAAGTCTACTGGTGTTGCTGTCGGTGGTGCTATCTTCGGTGGTGCTCTTGCTGTCGGTGCCGGTCTTCTCGGTAAGAAGCTCTATGGTGAACATCAAGAAGACAAGCTTGAACAAGAAGCCGAAGCTGCTGAAAGCCAACGTCTCGCTGAAGAAGAGGAAACTCGCAAGCGTGAAGAACAAGAAAAGTATCAACGCGAGCGTGAAGAATTCGAAAGAGAAAAGAGTGAGTTCGAAAGCCAAAAGCAACACAGATCTGAAGAGCAACAACAAGAACATCACGAAGTTGAAGGTCGTAAGAAGAAGGAGGAGTGCGAGAAGAAGGAGAAGCGCGAGGAATGCGAGAAGAAGGAGAAGCGTGAGGAATGCGAAAAGAAGGAAAAGAAGAAGAGTCACAAGAAGAAGGATTGTAGCGATGATGAAAGCGAACGTCGTCATCGTCGCCGTAACAGCGGTTCTTCCTCCTCCGATGATGATAATGATGCCAAGAAATGGAACCCCGTCGGTACCTATGCTCCCGGCGACCGTGTCAAGTATCATAACCAAATTTACATGTGTCTCCAAGGTCATACCTCTAACCCCACATGGCAACCTGGAGCTGCTCATTCTCTCTGGCAAGCCGAGTAAATACCTCTTATAAATATATCACTCTAGTATACTATACTTTTTTAAATAAGCTGTTCTATTACACTATTTGTTTACAATAAAAACCCATTGCACATATCGTACTTTTATCAAAAAATAACACGCGCTATTTAAGTTTTTCTATTACTCTTATATTTCCCAATAGTACGAACATCATTTTATATAGTAATAACTTTTTAATTAATTAATAATAGAACAAAAAAAAAAAAAATGGAATAATACAAAGACAACTATTTATGACATTTTTAAATTTACATACGCTCCAAAGGTCTCAAACCCAACATACGCATGGCATTGCCAAGAGTAATACGAGCAGACCAGTACATGAGCAAACGGGCTTCAGCAACAGCGGGGTCAGCACCTCTAACCCAAAGGTTTTCGAAACAAGCAGAGATATCGTGAGACAACTTGAAGGCATAAGTGACAACGTTACAAGGCTCATAACCTTGAAGCAAACTCTTGATTAAATCGGGGTATTGAGAAATGGTACGAACAACATCAATGGCTTGAGGCTCGGTCAACAAGCTTAAATCAGCATTGTGGTTGATGACATTACCACTCTTACGTTCAACAGAAGCAAGACGAGCATGAGCATATTGGATATAAGGTCCGGTATCACCTTCAAATGTACACATACGGGTCATATCGAAATCGTAGTTCTTGATACGACGAGCAGAGTTATCTTGAATCTTGACGGCAGAGATACCAATCTCATCAGCGACTTGCTCAGGATCCGCAACTTCGGCATACTTCTTTTCGTTCTTACGCATCACTTCGTGCATGGTCTCCTTGGCTTCTTCCAAAATATCCTCGAGGAAAACAACAGTACCCTTACGAGTAGACATACCCAAAACCATACCAAAGTTAACATGTTCAAGCTTATTGGCCCACTCAAACTTCATCATCTCCAAGGTCTTGAAAAGTTGCTTCAAATGAAGATCTTGTTGAGATGCAACAACGTAAATCATCTTGTCGAACTTGTACTTTTCATAACGCTCCATAGCAGCACCAATATCTCTGGTGAGGTAAAGTGTAGTACCATCCTTCTTTTGGACAACGGTCTTACCGAGCTTGTGCTTTTCCATATCGATAATTAAAGCTCCTTCTGACTCTTCCAATAACTTACATTCGTGAAGCAACTTCATGGCAGCAGCCATACTTTCACCCACTTGAGATTCACCAGAATAGACATCGAAATGAATATTAAGACGAGCATAAATATCTCTATACTTGACAATGGATAAATCTCTGAAACGACGCCATAATGAAAGAGCAGCCTCATCTCCATCCTCCATAGCCTTGAAATAAGAACGAGCTTCATCATGAATAGTAGGATCAGCTTCACCATCACGGTTGATTTGAACATAGACATCGTACAAATGCTTGATAGGATCAGCTAAAAGCTTTTCCTCAGAACCATATCTAGCGAAACCAATAGCCAAAAGACCTACACATATCATATGAATATCCTTGTGCAAATTTTTCCCCATCTCGTTATTTTACTTACCGTATTGCTTGCCCCAATCACCCAAATAGTTCATGGTAATTGTCTTCCAACCATTAGCGCTGTAAATGTTGTTGACGAAAGCACCAATAATAGTGGAACGAAGATGACCAGCATGGAAAGGCTTAGCAATGTTGGGAGAAGAGAACTCAACAATGACAGTCTTACCGGCACCGGAAGTGTTCTCACCGTAATGTTCAGCAGTAGCAGAGACCATGTTCAAAGTCTTCTTCATTAAAAGGGTCTTGTTGAAACGGAAGTTCAAGAAGGGACCAGCAGCAGAAGCTTCAATAATATACTCGTTGGGGACGAAAGCGGCAGCCCATTCTTTAGCAATGGCAGCGGGGTTACCCTTGACACGAAGACGGGGTAAAGCAATAGCTAAATCACCGTTCTCGACAGCACGGGGGTTATCCAAAGCATTGTACACAGCAACGGGATCAATCTTACCAATGTCAGCAATTTGGACAGCAATAAAGTTCTTGAAGGCATCAATAGGGTTGGTCTTGGGGTCGGAACCGGAACCGGGAACATCAGGAATTTCGTTACTGTTGGTGGTGGTGGTGGTGGTGGTGGCGGAAAGTTGTTCAGCCATCTTTAAGGCTTCCTGAGCAGGAGCGGTAGCTTCAACGGCCTTGATGTATTCACAAGAACCTTCGCTTCTCAAAACACACCAAGCAATAAAGTCGGCAACAGTGGGTTCGGCGCCGGTCAAGAAAGTGGTGGTCTTGGCAGCAATACGAGCCTTCAAAGCTTCGGCATTACCAGCAAGGGCCAAGTCAATGATATGAGCGATAGCTTGGTTCTCAGCGCTGCTTTCATCCAAAAGTTGGTTGGCACGAATAATGTAACGAGCGGCATTGCTATTGTTGAATTGAACGTTGTCGGTTTTAAAGACGGTTTCGGCACCACCTTGAACGGTAATGTTTAACTTGTTGCTAGCAATAATAGCTAACAAACCAACAGGGATATTCTTTGTATCAACTGTCAAACTCATTTTTGTTTAAAAAGTAAAAACTGTATGTAGAAAGAAAAAAAGAAAAAAAAAGTGTATGCAACAATCCCTTTATAAATAAAAAAAAAATGAGTCATGAAAACGCTAAGCCACCCAAGACTAACGTTTACAAATGATTAGTACAAGGTCTGTCATATTTTCAAATAAATCAAAATTCATTTTCAGACATCCGTTTACCTTTTTGGAAAAATAAATAAAATTTCAAAAATGATCAAAGTAATGCAACATCTTTAAGTTTTTCGCCAGAGGACAAAATACAACTACTTTCTATGTGGCGCGTTGTTTATTTTGACGAGAGAATATAGTTGGTCGTTCATTGCCGGCCCAGATTTTCGAAGCGATGTACATCATGTTTTGACTGGCTAGAACATCCCGATTCCCAAATAAGTTGCAACTGGCAATTAATTCGCTTATTGTAACATATAGTCAGCATTAATCCATTTGATCTAGTGGCAAAAAATAAATAAATACAAATTATCATACTTTTCCTTATAGAATTGTTTATTCCATTTAATTATTTTTATGACTAATCACTATATCTTTAATTGATAAGCTAAAGTGCATTATTCTCATTTCTATCAACAGATATTTATTAGATACTTTGAACCCTAAAAGCAAAGTCGCTTACGAAACTACTACAACAGAAGATTTCCTTGGTTGATTGTATATCCTAAGAAATATCGTGAGTTGGATGCTTTGAAAGGAGAACTAGTATTGTCTAGTAAATTAAAGTCGTTAACTGAACAACTTGTCTGATTTTTTTTTTTTTTTTTTTGTGAAGTTGTCTGAATAATTTTTACAGTTTTACGAAAATTTATTTTATTCAAAATTATTTTTACGTTTATCTGAAAATAATTTTTATTTGTTCGAATTTAAAGTGCTAACACTGTAATCAGTCAGTCCAGCTGAAGTCTCCGTTTCTCGGTGTATTGTATAAATGAATATTGTCCAATGAATTTGACAATGACGTTAATTCTTCATTTGGATATTGCATTAGCGGTGGTTGGACCCATTGCTGGGTATTATATCCACCGTTATATACGGCGTTATTATATTGCGAAGGATAGTAAGCAAAACTAGGCTGTGCCTGAATTATCCCTTGATACATATCTAAACCTCCTCCGTAGGATGTATAGGGCGAGGTGTAAGCAGTATAGGGTTGTGGGGCAGTATAGGAATACGTCTGTCTTAACAACTCGATTGATTCCGGATCATGGATTTGTCTTTGACCAAAAGTACTTTCTTCGTGTTCTCTAAACCGTTGATGGCTAGCCGCAAACTTATCGAAATGAACCCTTAAAATCCGATTATGAAACTCAAATCCGTTGTATTTCTCTATGTGTAACAGTTAACTTTTCAAGTGCCGTCTAGGAACCATAATGAAATTAGCTTACCAATGGCTTGCTTTGCATCTTTATGGTTAGCAAATAATACCGTTCCGAACCCACGGCTACGGCCGTCAAAATTTAATACCACATCGGCTCGTAATATATGGCCTTCACTCTTAAACAAATCCTTTAAATCTTGCCACTGGCATTGAAAAGGCAACTATAAAAACCAAGGTTAAATTTTTCTGCTTCAAAAAATTGTTAATCCCTTCTTTACATTTCCAACAAACAGCTGCTTGCAGTCATCATCACTCTCCTCCTCCTCTTCCACTTCTTCTTTATGCTCAATCTTTTTTACAGTCACACGCACTGCTTCTACTAGTTTGGGTGATGATTTCTTAACAGATTGTGTTATTTGAGTTTGTTCAGGTGATGGTTGTTTCGGCGATATATGATTAGACGATGATTGCTTAGGTGATATCTGCTTAGATAGTGGTTGCTTAGGTGATATATGTTTAGGCGATGGTTTATCGGGTGATATATGATTGTTAGATAGTGGTTTTACAGGTGACTGAATTACAGTTATGTGTTTTGTAGAAGGCTGTTTCGCGGTTGCCTGTTTAGGTGTTGTTTGTTTTTTTGACTGCTTTGTAGGTGTCTGTTTTGTGGGAGTCTGCTTCGTGGGAGTCTGTTTTGGTGAAGGCTGAATAGATGGCAGTGTTGCTGGTTTAAGCAGTGGTGTTACCGACTATAATGTAATCAATATAACTGTTCATGTGATCACGTTCCTCATTGCTGTAAAAGAAAGATATACCTTTTTACCACTATCTGTATCAACAAAGCCACGATCTCCTCTCACTTCAATGACACGTCCCAACCATTTAAAGTTATCAAACATGTCTAATATTGATTGTTAATATATCGGGGAGATTAATTTCAGTTTCTTTGTATTACCTATGGCTTTTTGGGCATCCTCAATAGTTGCAAATAACACAGTGCCATGTCCCTTGGATCGATTGTCAAAGTTCAATGCTACATCAGCTCTGATAACCTGTCCTGCCTTTCTAAACTGGTCTTTAATATCCTGCCAACGTACACGAAAAGGCAACTAGCAAAATAAAATAAATATTTCCCGTTCATCTAAAAAAAAAGGGGGAGGGGAAGAACCTACGTTGCCGATGAACAATTGCCTAACTTGAGTCTGGTTCTTTGGCTTTGTAGGGTTTAAAAGGTCAGCGAGTAGCTCATTGGCTTCTTCCTGGTATAATGAGCCATCATTTTCGTCCATTGCTTGTAATATATATTTAATATAAAAAAAAAGGGGGAGGAAAGGGGCGAATGAAAAACAAGCGTCTTTGTGTCATGTCTTCACGGCAGAAAGGTGCTACAAAGTCACAGTGTTCATGATTGGCCACCTGCATAAATTCAAGGCTTTTGGCAAATAAAGGGGGATGTTTAGCATGCACTGTTTATTGTCTAATCAAAAAGAAGCATCTTTGTAAACAAGAAACTATCCAGCTTAAATTATAAAGATGTTTTACTGAGCCGATAGAAGAAAATAATAGGAAGGTTAGGTGGATATATGCCAAGCACATGGACACAATGTAATTCCATATACACACAAACGTTTACGTCATTAAATGATCCTTTTTTTAATATATAAAAAAAAGTCTCTTTTTTGCTTTTGTTTATTATTGTTTGAACACTTGCTTTTCTCCTTTATCGCCTTTTCTTTTCTTTTTTCGCAATCGACTTCTTGTTGTAAATGACGAGTAATACAAAGCCAACGCCAGTTATTGCGACAGATTTTCAAGTCAAGTATGAGCTGATACAGTTGAAAAACAGAGAGTTGACACAGGTAATAAAGATGTACATTATATAGGTATTTTGTCGTTGCTTATCCATGGTGTAGAAAAACAAGGATTTGGCTCATGATTTAAACCGTGTGAAAAAGAGACTGCTACAGGTTTCCAAGGAAAAAAGGTACGGAATAAGAAAAGAAAGACGACAGTTTAGTAAGCATTGCGATTATTTATATATCTATTTTCAGAATACTTTTAGATAAATTATTGTTACTACAGGATTACGAGGAAGTAGACGACGACGATGTATCTCCTGACACTCCAACCCCTACCCCCATAAATGATAAAAGAGAATTAGAGGATCGACCTACACCAAAACCAAAAAGAATGAGAAGGGATCCTGTCGAATCAAAATTAAGAAGGGTCCAACCATTAGAAAAGGTCGAGAACGGTCAATACAAACTACCTGCCAGAGTGGGCATCATCACCGTTCATTCCTTGGGCACCATCTTACCAATACCCACATATCACAATGATCGGTATATTTGGCCACCTGGATTTATGATCAGCAGGTACTTATTAAAAACCATCTCCCGCCCCTCACTTGTTTTATCTTGTTTCAACTAAAAATACCCCCCTCACCCATCCCCATTCAGATCTTACCTTAGTATGATCAACCCTAACACAAATACTACATATACATGCTCCGTAGAGGAAAATGGTGAACAAGGCCCTAGGGTAAGAGTCTTTCTTAGTAATGTACAAACGCCTATTTATATTAAAGTTTGAGTGTCAGTTCCGAGTGGTTGCTGATGATTGTCCCGACAGTCCAATCATTGCCAATTCAGCAACTGGTGTTTGGACAGCAATAGTAAAGAGCGCAAATGAAATTAGGAATAGAGGCCATTCAAACTCAGGTAAAAAAAAATATGTGTTCGCTACACAATTACTTATCTCTTTTTATCTATCAAAGCTTCGGGGCCAGATTATTATGGATTTACTCATGCGACAATCGCTAAAATGATTCAGGACCTTCCTGGTGCTGATCAATGCGAAAATTACGTCTGGCAGAAATTCGATGTGATGCATCAGCGTACAGCCGCAGGTGTAGCAGCAGCAGCACAAAAAAAGATTTCAAATTTGGAAATCATGGGCAGCGCAAACAAAAAACCATCAAAGGCCGACATCAATGCTGCTCTCAACAACGGATACACAGTTGCTTCTGCCTTATATAAACAGCAGGATGACGTTTCTACTAAATTTCATAAGAAAAGCTCTCTACATCAAATAATGAATACACCTGATGAATTAAAATCACAGCATGCTTCTGACATGTGGAACTCAAATTATAACTATGTTTAATCATCCTATTATTCCACCTTTCTTTTTTGTCTGTATAGATTAATTACTACTGCTATCCGTCACTTCTACATATCCTAAAACTATCCGTATATTAATAAAATCTGTATTTATGTTTTTCCCTACCTATGATTATAACTCAAGCTTCAAGTATATGGGCATACTAATTTAATCTTTCCACCCTAAAAACGTCATTATAAAGCTGGTAAATAATCGTTTGCTGCTACAAGTTTACAAACACAATGCGGAATCCACTTTTGCTGGATGCATACCCAATGTCTCATTTATATTCTTTTAGTAGTAAATACTTCAGACAGTGTAATTAAAATAGATATGCAAAAATAAAAACATGAAATATCATCTTGTATTTACGAAAAAAAGTGAGAGGATAATATCTGATTCTCGCATTACGCTAAGTTTACATAAAACCTAGATTTCAGGCGTCATTTGTCGATACTTAGAACATCCCCAGCAGTGCCCGATAAAAAGCGATTTACCCGCCAACTAAGAAAAAATTAATAGTTAAGGATGTATAATTAATATTATACATACGAATGGCTGTTATCAATAAAGTAAAGCACCTTTATAATGAAAATTCGAGCATTTGATTATTGCCTGGATTAAAGCTGTTTATGTTTAAGCTGTTTGAAGCTATAAATCCATTTTATATGAAAACTCGTTCTTTTCTGCAAAGTAAAGGTGGAAGCATTCTTATATTCATACCAATTAAATTCATAGTCTTTTATTTCAAATCTCAATTTCCAAACATGAAGGCAACTTAAACATATAACCCTCAAATCCAAACAACGACATAAAGCTGTGTTACCTTAGTTCTCATAAGTATATCTCAGTCTCAATAGAATTTTATGCAGCTAATAGTTTTTGTGGTTCCGCAGCAGTAAATATGAAGCCAATGGCTAATCTCAATCACGATGTTGTCTAGTATTTCCTCTTCTGCTACTTACTTGATAAATACAGGAATCTAGTCCATAATTTATAGCAGATTTATCATTATTTATGAATAGACTTTTATTTAGTAGAATGTTTTTTTAGTTATATTGGTAAAAAAAAAGTGTTGTCAGAGACAAAATTGTGATACGCTACTTTTTGAGATTTATCATGTTGAAATAGAAGTTAGAACATCATTAAATAAACACACTTTTAAAAGACTTACTTGGATAAAAAGGAATTGTGAAAAAAAAAACCAAATAGATGCGAAAGAAACTTATGGAGTTGGAGCAAATCCAGCAGCGATACAGCCAGCCATGCACAAACCGAGACCAGCATTACAACCGAGGATAGCGGCAGGAACACCAGCTCCCGCAGTGACAGTTCCAAAAACTGCACCAGCGGCAGTGTAGCATGTTACTACTAAAGCGTTACATCCTGTTTGACAAATACCGTATGCCAAAGGACCAGCATAAGATTGTCCAACAAGACAGGAGACAACAACCACGAAAAGACATAACTTGAGGAAAGCATTGACCATTTTTGAGAAGCTTTAGATAAAATAAGGTTATAAAAAGGAAAGAAAAGAAAAATTAGGAGAAATGGCGTTTTATATGTACTTTTTTGATTGACTACTTCAGTCACATGTGATGCTTGTATTTCAATTCGTGTTTTTGAAGTGGGATTTATGCAAGCCACTTAATTCATTCCTTGCGTGTGTGAATTATTTTTGGTACCACAAACAGATTTGATGGTATCAGTGTTTGATACTAAGCCTGTAAACAAACAAAGAAAAAAGATAGGCGTACATTGACCACATCCACCAGTTTAACAGACACTTTTGCTTACAACTTAAATTTCTGTACTGATAAAGAAAAAAGAGTTAAATGAGGTACCTCATTTAAAACTTAATCTTCTTATTAATTGAACACTATAACAATTAGCAAATGTTTGCTTAAAAAATAGAACACGTTTATGCTGTTTTATTTATCATAATTACTTATTAAAACCGGTGTACGCCGAGAACATGCACAAAGGAGCCAACTATCGAGTGATAATATGTTCCTCTATCCAAATCAAGATTACTAAAAAAACAACCTTATAAATCCTCACCCTTTCGCATATATTTCAGGGTAAAGGCGTTAGACCTTGTACTACTCACATATCTGGTGATAAAAAAAGAAAAATATTGTATAAACAGCACTGATTGAGACGGAATTCGGTTTATTTATTAGATAATTTTGTGAGTTATGTTGAAATATCACTTAGTGTAAGCATTGTAAGAGCTAGGTTTGCAATTAGACATGCACAAATAATGTACCCAATTATAGCTGCTAACATTCGTAGCAGAAATCACAATCTTAGTCGCTGAGGAACACGACACGATTGTGAGGTTACATTGACCGGTGCAAATGCTACAACTGATTGCGCTGACTGAAGCATTATTAACTAGGGAAGCCAGAATTGCAGGATATATGTTAAATATGAGTGCTCCTTCAAGTTAGTGGCGAGTATGTTAGTTGGGGATAGAGGTAGGATATGCAAGGAGGGATATCTAAAAAAAAAAAAAAAAAAAGACATTACAGCCAAGTAAATTTGTATAAAAAAAATACAATGAGCTGATTCAATCGAAGTCTATTATTTTTTCATGATGGTTGAATACTATCATAATATATCTCTGGTTGTTGTAAGGGCAAGAGAGTCTCACGCTGTGGTTTTTAATACATCGTAAGTTAGTTGGAAATCACAGTTTATACATATGCCTTTGTCTAACTATTGGCTCAATTTGGTACGCAACCTTATTGCTTTTTAATACAGTAATGACAATGTTAAGCGGAATAATAATTCATAGACAATATATTATATCATCTAAGACTGAAAAGAGTATAAAGATATTGTATATACACTTTCATTACCGTATGTCGCGTCGTAAATATTTAACATAATCCCTTGCAACCACCCCTATGATTATGTCCTTTACAAATACTTACTCTTCTCATATCTATACATTATGTACATCTGGTATAATGCACCCTCTTGTATAATAAATTAATAATACCAATTATGTAAAGAATGATGCTTATACAACGCGGAGACTTCATTAATTTTAAGGTATCATGTCAAAGGAGACATGTCATAAAAAAAAGTCCATATCAGGTGTTGCTTTCTAAAAAGAAATCAAACCATTGCCATGTAAAACGTTTAGTTCTGACAATATAGCAAACGCACATAAGCGATTTGAAATAGAAATTTTATTATCGATTAATGATTATAATATATGTAAGTCTATTAAGATTATATGTTAGACAAGCATTTCTTTTTAATTATTTGGTTACATTTACTTTTTCATTTTCTCGTCCGAAACGGTTGTCTTGACGTTGGGGAGTACTATGATAATACTTTTTATCCTCGGGTAAACAGGCAATAAACATGATTACAAAAGAACAGACTACCAATGCAACCATAATTCCTACAATGAAAGCGTATTCTAGTATATCTCTTAAAGGGATATCTAGTACTTGTAATGTCAAACCAGCTGTATAACTGGTGTAATAGCAAAAGAGAACTTTGGCCAGCCTATTCATCAAATAATTTAAGTAGAAACGTCCATGTGATAGATTGTAGTTCGCTATGAGAGACGCGTAACATGTGCTTGCATAAAGATTTTCAAGACGAAATCCTTTGCCATCAACACTATGTAGCTGTATAATAGTGTACATTACAGCAATTGGTATAATATAAGAGGAGAAAGACATTTTAGGATTCAATTGAACAAAAGAGCATGTATTTATCTGGGCGTTAATTAAATGGATTATCTAATTTTATCAAACAGCTTTCATTTGTTATGATAAGAACTTTAAATTGGACTAATGTTTCAACTTGACCTCACACTCTAAAACTTTTTATTGTCGACGGAACAGTCATTTAAATAAACCCAAATATGTTATGGACCTACCTCTAAAGTACAAAAAAATTAATCTTATAAACGTCTTACCAATAATCATTGCTTGATGTGTGGCAGTGACATTACTGATACGTATGCAACATACTATTAGCATTACGTGATTAAATTTAATATTCCGAAACATTCTATCAGTCAAAAGCAATTTCACACGCTTTATTTCAATTTGATTTGTTTTCAGAGCATATTTATGTAGTTAAACTAAACGAAGTAATTACTGAAAGCGAGAAGTGATTATAATGTTGGGGCACAACCACAAGCAATACATCCGGCCATACAAGTCCCAAGGGCCGTATTACAACCAAGAATTGCGGCAGGAGTACCAAGACCAGCTGTTATAGTACCAAAGACAGAACCGGCCGAAGCATAGCAAGCTACGGCCAAAGAATTGCATCCACTCTGACATATGGCATACGCCAATGGTCCAGCTTGTGATACTTGAGCTAGGGCTAACATAAGTGGAATAGCCTGAGTAACGTAAATAATCTTCATTATATTTAAAGTGTAAAAAAGACGAAGAAGAAAGTTTCGAGAGTAATAAACTCTTTATATGTAATTTTATTTTTATGCATCTGCCTTTAGCGAATTCTCACACCCTTTTTTTTTTATCGGTAATAAACCAAATGTTAAATTCAAAGACTACATAGTACAAGAATACATTTATTGTATTTTCGTTACAATGACTTTTTTTATTTATTTTTTAAAATAAAAATGACGGAGTGGTGGATGCACCAGTTGCAGCACAGCCAGCCATACAACTTCTTAAAGCAATGTTGCAACTAATAGCTCCAAATATTCCACCTGAAGCAAAGCAGGCTGCAACCATTCTATGGCAGCCAGATTGGCAAAGAGCAAAAGACACGGGCCCTGACATAACTGTTTGAAATAGAATTGCAATGCAGATAATTAATAGCGATAGTTTAAGTTTTGTCATTAAAAAAAGAGTAACAATTAGACACACTGGCAAATTCTTTACGTTTTTTGACATTATATCTCTACAATATACTCAAAAAAACGCAGTCCAAGATACACGCCAATTGCTGTTTTTATGCAGCTTATATTATTATTCACTTAGAAGGGTTCCGAAGTCGTTTAAATACATCAGAAGCTTTATATCTGTAGGAGTTTGGAACACTTTATTCAACTAAAAATCCAATACAACATTACAATATCACTAGCTTTTGATAAAACTCATATTAACTACATTTATATTATAACTGACAAAAATCTATAGTCGCGTTTACAGCAACGCCAGCTTTCCCACTATAATTTGGAAAATAATTACATGAAGTATAGTTTTCATTCTCATTTTTAACTATAGTGAGAGTACTAAATGAAAAGTGCAATATTATAAAATCACTTTATTTATTTAAAACGCAATATTTACTTTGGAAAAAAGTATAGTAAGCACGTAATGGCTTATGTATTTTTTACATCAATGCTTTTCTTTTTTCTTAAGAGAATCATACATATCACACAAATAAGCACAGGCTCGGTTGCCCGCGAGACTGCATGCGGCAGAAGGATATCCACAACTTGTATACGTATTACAGCCAGATGAAGCGAGCAATTCACAACCAGATTTACAAATACATTTCTTGACTGCTGCGTCAATTTTTGTCCCTTCAGGAACATTAATAACAGATGTCGCCATCGATATAATAAAAAATAAAATGGTTATCAAAGCTGCTTCGCACATTATTTTTTTTAGTAGATAAAAAAAGGAAAGCAGAAATAAAAAGGGAAGGTATATAAAACTAATATTATCCATATATCATTCCTGATAACTAATGATATTTGACGCATTTTTTTCTATTATACTTTATGCTCAATTGAAAAAGTTTATTTATTATTGTGTACGTGTATGATAAAGCTTTTTTTTTATTATTATTACTGATGCTGTTGTATTTACTGCTATATTGATCACAAAAGTCGACCTTCTAGAAAATGATAATTATTTTGATACTGTTGATGATATTAAAAAACTTCCAGCGATAGAGTAAAACCATACTGGCCATAAACTGCTTGTGGAAAGATACTCTAGCGGTAATAATATGATTGAGGTGTTCGGTCGATTTATTGTGTTTTATGTCTTTGAGAATAAAAAAGCGTGCGATGTTATATCACTGTTTGCTCGATCCTGTCGTAAAATACGCGATATATTTGCTTTTAAAGGTTGCTGACATGGTCTAGATTGCGGCAAAGTAGTCAGAGGAATATTCTTAATTGGCGATACAATAATATTTTGATCAAAAAAGCCGACTGTCTGCCTTTTTGGTCACAGATATTCATTGAAAATCTTTTTCGCTCAAACATAGCAAAGTTTCCTTTATTCATTAGTTTTTTTTTTCAGAGCCACGTATTTGGTACTTTTTTAATACAATGGATTGTATATTATCTATTAGTTATATTATTGCTCTCTATTGACTTTTCTTGCCTTACACCAGGATAACTCATCGAAATGCCAAAAGTTGTATTGCGGTAATGTTAGGTCCCAGACCCGCCATGCCTTAATTATAGGCTACTTAAGAATGATAATCAAAAGAGTGCAATGTTCATTACTTACTTGTCATAGTACATATACAAGAGACTATCTTTTGCAGTAAGTAAACCAAGCAGTTTAGGTACTCCATAAGTATAATAATCCCACTGAGCAAAAGCTGGTTTCGAGGACTGTCTAATAATATCAAATTATAAATGAATTAAGAAATCAATTGAACATCAGTGGATGATACAAACAGTCTTTTTAATAAATCAATGACAACCCCAAACTACATTAAGAGGCAAGACATACTTTATAAATTAGTAATATCAAAACAAGTTTCATCAGATTAGGAACAGCCAAATAAATCCATCTTCTTCGCTGGGATAAAAACTTCAAAGGAATCGAGTGCCACAATTTAACATTAAACTTGCAAAGCAAAAAATAATCTATCTTCAGGTAGACATACGTAACATCAGCTTAGACAAGGATTTATCTTCATCTAATATGAAAAAGGTCTTTGAATGTAAGGTATTTAACTAGATTATTGAATGGTATGCATGGCTTGTCTAAATAGGCTCTGGCAATTTATCCTTAATCACCATCATAAATAATCTAAAGAATCTGGTGTTAATATTTATTTCACCTTGCAATCTTATCGTTTAAACTCGTCGTAAAAAATGACATGTTGGACGAATCTCATAAGGAGCGCATGTAAAGTCTTTTTTCCACCATTTTATGGTCAAACAAATATATCCTTTTCTCTCTTTTTCTGTGCCATATTTTACCACTAATTATGCTGGTAGAGAAGATCGTTTATGTTCAGTATAAATGTGGGCATAATTAATACGTTTATATTCATCTGAATTTGCTTCGTAATTGCAAGCAAGCTCCTTTTACTCGAAATGTGTTGAGGTAAGAGAATCAGACATATCTTGAATTTAGACTTACTATTGTTAAACATAGAAACTAAAATCGAAAAAAGACTAGTAGTACTTACTGTAGTAAGAACCCACATACCACATTGTTTAAGAGAAAAAAAATTATGCTATGTACAGAATTGGTTTCAAGAACGGATTTCAATATTGAGAGCCAAATAGTTTTGGAGAATACGGAATGCATAGTTGAGTGGATCAGATGTAATAACATTAATAAATCTTTATTTGATGAAGAAGTTGCGTCCTTACGGTACATAAAGTAGCAGGAGAAAATTCATGCATCTACACTTTGTTCACACTGAACATGAAATAAATTACTCACAAAGATGGGAATCAACAGACCGAGATCAATAACGGAATAGATCATTAAGTAAGATGTAATCTATACCTTATATATAGACAATTTAGTCATAATCTATAATTATTTATTCATCCATTGATCATTATATGATTGTCATAACTTTTAGTACGTATAAAGATAAGAAATACTAAAAGATTGCTATGTAACTTAAAGTATGTACCTTGGACAAACTCGTAAAAAGTTTCAACGAAAAGACGTAAGCAAGCATTTATCGCATGGTGGAACTATATCTAATCTCACTGCAAGATCATTTCTGTGCGAAAAACCCAAAAAGTTTAATAAGAATCTTCGGATCCCCATCTGCTGTTGCAGTCTTACACTTTGAGATAAAGAACAGCCAGTCTCAAAATTGGATGCGTCTGTTTTACCTAATGCAGAAACGGATAATTGGGGTCAGTGTGACTTAGTAAGATATCAGGCACGAGGATATGTTTAAGAGTATTAGAGTGCATATTATTTATGCGATCAAATTTTGTGATGTGCAGCATCATTAATGAAATATTTACATTTTCTAGCAATGCTTTTTAGACAATCCTTATCCTTTCTTGACAACGTTCTGCTAATATGCAGTTGACTATACAAGATCTAAAAAGAAAGGCTAATCCAGACCGCCAATTTGACTGCTCTAAAAATTTATAGTTTGGGGCGCAATTATGAGCAATCAAAGTTGTATTCGGTCCAATTTAGAAAAATAGATAGTTATTACGGCTCATCGTTTGATGGTGCATGGATCGAAGGCGATAATGCAGGCCTCGGTTCTTGTAATATGGACGAAAAGTCATAATAAGACTTTGTTGGGGCGGATGACGATCATTTTGCTAGTTATCTTGTATTGATCGTTCACGTTTAATTTGATATATGCATAATATAGAAAATGGGGTTAAAAAGAACACTAGTAAATTCTTTGTTTATTGTTATTGGAAAAACTTAATTGTCCCAATTTGGTTTTTTTCTTGTTTGATTATAATGCATAAAAATTTAGTTTTTCTTTATTTCATGTATATGTGGAGACAAACTCTTATTGAGTTTCTTAAAGGGGGGAATGTTTTTTTTTGGGTTGCATACTGAAAAGCAAAGATTATATAGAACAGAAAAAGAGCAAACAAGTATAGACTTATTTTGCAGGAGAGTAAATAACACGGAGAGTATTTGTGTGACCAAGACCACCCTTCCAGCCTTGAACGGCAACAACAGGTTGACCACCCTTGAGTAAACTAAAATTTTAACGTACGTTAGTCTTTGATCGATAAGAGATCATTCTACTTTTTTTTTCTCTTACCCGTATTTCATAGCTTGTTCCAAACCTAAATTAAAAAAGAAGGTTAGTATTTGTTGAGTGTATGAAACACTTATAATAAAACGTACCCCACTTGATTCTGGAATCAACATCGTCTTGCCATGGTGCGTTGTCAGCAGGACTTAAATGAGGAGTGTTATGCTCGTTAGCAGATAAGAGAGCAGCAGCAGAAGATGCTTTGGGATAGTAGAAGGGGAAACAACCACGATGAAGATGGACTTGACGGGCAGTTTGATAGTTACGAGTAACAACAATAATAGGTGCATGAGGTCTGTACTTAGAGATCAAACGAGCAGAGTTACCAGACTTAGATAAGACAATGATACATCCAGCATTTTGTTCGTGAGCTGCAGCAACGGCAGCACATGCTACGGTTTCTGTGGTTTCAGTGGGTAAAGCAGTAAGAGAACGAAGGTCATTGAAGACAGCAGGATAGCAAATGACGGTTTCAGCAAGCTTACAGATTTCGTGCATGGTCTTTACTGCATCGATAGGGTAATTACCCTTTGCAGTCTCACCAGAGAGCATGACACAATCAGCGCCATCTAATACTGCATTAGCCACATCAGAAACTTCGGCACGGGTGGGTCTGGGATTGTACTACAAAAATAATGATTACGTCAGTTATCTCAATTATTTTAGTGTTGCTTTCCTTTTTAAAAAAAAACTCACGGTCATTGATTCCAACATTTGAGTAGCACTATAAGGATTGTTAGAATATAGTTGTTTTCAAATAATAAATAAATATTCTTACCAGATAACGGGCTTACCGACCAAGTTACACTTGGTAATCATCATCTTTTGAGCAATGAAGACACGTTCGAGAGGAATTTCAATACCCATATCCTACATTTTCATTTAGTCCATATATAAAAAAATAAAAATAAACAAATAAGTAAATACTTACACCACGAGCAACCATAACACCATCAGTTTCTTGAAGAATATCATCGAAATTGTCAACACCTTGATGGTTCTCGATCTTGGAGATAATCTTGATGTTTTTACCGTCTTCACCCAAAACCTTACGGATATCTTTTACATCTTGACCACTACGAACGAATGAAGCAAACACAAAATCAACCTTTTGTTCAACACCAAATCTTAAATCGGTAATATCCTTTTCGGAAAGAGCGGGTAAATCCACGTTGGTGCTTGGTAAATTAACACCCTTGTGAGAACAAAGTTTACCATTGTTCTTGGCAACAACACGGATGCTATCTTCAAGGACCTCGAGTACCTCGAATGAGAGTACACCATCATCGATAAAGACAGTCTTACCAACTTCAATCACCTTGGGTAAGTTCTTGTAATCAATGTACATAACTTCACCGTTACACTTTTCTGCATATTCTTCATCAACACTGAAAATCATCTCATGGCCGATAGAGATAGGGATCTGCAGGTGGAAATACAAGTGTCAACTAGACTCCTCCCTTAATTTAATTAAGAAAAAAAAAAAAACTTACCTCGATGTTATCCTCCATGTTACCTGTACGAATCTCGGGACCCTTATTGTCGAGAGCAATAGCAACGGGACGACCAGGATAGACTATATAGGGTTAGTAAGAAAAGGGAAAATTTAAGAACAATAATTATACTCACGTTCGAAACTCTTGCGGGTATTATCAATAACAGATTTATGGTACTTGAAACGAGTTTTAGTTGATATTTATTTGTTTAACATATAAAAAAAAAAAAAAACTTACTTCATGAGAACCATGAGAGAAATTCATACGGACAACGTTCAAACCAGCATTTCGAAGTTGGGTAATCATTTCAACACTGTTGGTGTTAGGACCTGAGAATCAAATTTAGTACAGACCGTCGGATTTCATATTATTTTCTTGCATTATTTTTATCCTTACCAATGGTACCAATCACAGTGGTTTTACGACCAGCAGCAGGCTCGACATCAACGTTCATTTGAGCGACCCAACGAATGTTGGATGTGATTTCGGGAGTAACAACAGGAGCCATTTTGTATATGTATTATAATAATAATAAAGAAGAAGAAAAAAAGAAATCGAATTGATGGAAAAATGAACAGTCTTTTATAGCTCAGGACCCCACACTTCTAGGCTGTGGGCTCTCAAGTGCATTATCGTAATCCAATCAAATGTGTCATCTTATCATCTCTAGATAGGCTCCGCCAACCTTAAAGTATAATTTATGGCACTGTACGCCCGTACCACTTAAACACAAATAAACACGTATTTTTATGATATGATAATTTATTATGATGTGATATGAAATTTGTTTTGTACAGTATACACCTCTTTTTCTTATTAGTTGCTTTACAATGGTATATTATATGTACATTAATTTGGATTCATTCCATAATCAGGTGTCCTGCGAATGGAAGGGTGTCCACCACCCGTTGCTTGTTCATAAAGAATATTTGTCATGAAGTTGCCTTCATCTTTCAATTTCTAAATACAATTTCATCAGTTCATATTTTTTTGTTGTTGTTGATTAAATCAAGATACTTACATCGTGCGCAATTAAAGAATTAGTCAACATGCTATCTCTCCTATCTAATTGCTTTTGAAGTTCAAATGTTTTATTTTGAGCTTGCTCGTAAGCCTCTTCATAGCTATCGCCTCGTCGCTTCTCGTCATCTAGTTCACGATCTTTTTCTTCGATTTCTCTCCTTAATGCATTATTTAATTTCGACAAGAGGTTTGCGTTGTCAATAACACTATGATCTTCATTTTTCTATTCATGGATTTAAGTTTCTTATTGTTTCTAATTATACACATTTTATCTTACCTCGGCTGATTTTTTGTATTCATCCAGGAGTCTGGTCAAGGTATTATTACGTTTTCGAAGAGAGAGATATTTTTTCTTCATATCAAGATAACCGGCTTGAAGACTCTTGTTCTCTTGTCTTATTTCATTCATTTCTCTTTGAACTTCACCTAACTCTTCTACGTGTCGTTGCATTGTACTTGCGTATTCTTCGGAGCTATGAGATGTAAAGGATGATTCTTCTCTGCTTCTAACCTTCTTTCGTAGTTCAATTACAGTTTCTTCCTGTCTATTTAAAGCGTCGAATACTTCATGAAGTTTATCCTTTAACTCCCCTATCTCCTCAAGCAGCAAATCCTTCTCTCTTTCCATTGTATCAGTCTGTTGCTCAAAGTTGCCTTGTAAGCTTGCTAGTCGAACATCTCGCTCTCTAATAGAGACAATCATGTCGTTGTATTGTTTCGTAAGGTCATCTTGGCAATACTTCTTGGTGTTTTCAAGTTCCTCGACTAGTTCTTGGTTCAACTGCCTTTGCTCGTTGAACTCGGCTTGGGCTTTAGCCATATGTTCTTCAAAAGCTTCGATGTCTTCATCGTGTGATTCTGTTACTGTTTTAAGTTCTTTTTTGAGGATATCGATCTCGTCTTCTCTCTCCTGAATTACTTCCTCTCTCTCTTGTAAAGCCTCTTGCAGCATGAATACCTTTTCCTTCACAGGTTCATCCATACCCTTTTCATCCAGATGTGACAAAAGCTAACAAATAAGGTTTAGGACAGAGAGTCAAAAGTGTAGAAACATATGACAACGGCTACTACTCACCTTTTCTACTTCAGCTTCTAAAGCAGCGACATCTTGATCTCTACTTTGGATGGCTGCTACTAATTCCTCATTATCCTCTTCCAATTCTTGAACCGCTTTAATTAAATCATTTGTCTGATCGTCACTTGATGGGTTCGATGAGGCTTTCTTCTTTAAGAGTTCGTACTCGTTTCGTAAATCATCATAATCGGCATTTCTGTGATGCAATTGAGTCTTTAAGCGGTCCAAATCACTTCTTGTGTTTTGAAGTTCGATTTTTTTGTCCTGCAACTCACCAAAGGCACGGTCTGACTGCAATCTCTCTAAGCGTAGTTCCTATTGATTGAATTAATAATTACGTCATAATCGCCATTATGTAAACACTTACGCCTTCCAACTGTTTCAGCTCCCTATCTGCTGACTTTAAGTCCGACTGATTACTGTAAGAAGGGCGTTTATGTTGATTTTGTTGGAGGATTTGGATGGCTCGTTGCTGCTCTTCCACCTTGATCTTTGCTTGTCTAAAGTTGCGCTTGAGTTCGATCATTTCCTCTGATTCTGGTGAGGTTGCTGGTGTGGGAGGAGGGGTAGTTTTTGCTACTCGGATGGACGTCCTTAAGCGAACATTTTCTGCTGTTAAGTCAGCCATCATCAGACTGATTTTGTCATGTTCTTCTTGGCTTGTAATCGCTTCCTTTTGGAGCTTGTCCATTTCAGCTTTTTCTTCTGTCGTCATACCATGAGGAATAGGACATTGTTTACTCTGCAGATAGTCGATCCCTTTGTTCAGTTCCAAGATAATGTCCTTGTACTTTTTTAACTCTGCTGTAAGTGATTGAACTCCTACTTTTAATTTTATATTCTACAAACAATAAAAATCAGTCATCAGTAACCGGGAGCATAGCTCTTTTTTTTTTTTTTTTTTTTTATATATATATATATACCTCTTCGTTCAACTTCTCGCAGGTTTCTGGAGACATTTGATTAAGCCGTTCCATCAAGAAATATTGATGAAGTTTCAGGTTAAAATTCTCTTTTTTTAGGTGATCAATAGTCTATTTATTTTTTGGGTCAGTAAAGGTGATATGTGCGTGTTGATATAAAAATAAACTTACACTCTCCTGACTTTTGAGAGAAGTACCGGCAACGGCTAATTCGTCCGCCTTCATTGTACTTAAGCGTCTATTACTTGATTGACCAATGGTGTTTAAGGCTGTTGGTGAGTGTGTCAAGTTCCTAGACGAGGGCTCATTCTCGCTTATTAAAGAGACATTCGTCATGGAGAACTTGTCGTCGTCAAACGTATTATTCATCGAGTCTTCCTATAAATAAAACGGGGGCTGTTGTGTTTGAGGCTTCTTCTGATAAAAGGTGTTGTTTCTTCTTGAATAAAAAAATAAAGTAAAAAAAAAGATGTAATAGTAAAAAAATGATAAAAGAAGAAAGAAAATAATGAAAAAAACATGCGGAATATAAATCTTTATTTACACAATCAAAATTTCTGGGTATCTTAAGGAGAGCACAAAAAAATACATGTATATATATATATATATATTACCCTTTGCATCAATAGAGGATGATCATCTTGTCTCTTTATACTCTCTTCACTAATTCTATCTTTAATATGTATCTTTTATACGCACATAACTATCCCAGAGTTAATATAAACCCATGACTTTTTAGTGTTTACACATAACATTGCCACCCCATCCACAAACTAAACACATAAACAAACTTGCAAGCGTTTTTAAAATTTAAGATTCTGCGATTTGTGCGACCGATACTTCAAGTCTCTGCTTGGTTTGTACTATCTGGCTTTCTGTTCCTCCCGAAGAAATCAATAAATCAAACGAAAAATATATTTGTAATTACCATGACTAATCTTAATAGTTTCAAGTTTTATCTGTTTAAATACAATAGACAAGTTATGTGCTTTCTATTTTTCATTTATGATTCAAGTTACACCATATGTTTGTGGCCTCATTTTTAAATCCATCTTCATTAAAACATTCCGTCTCCCGGAACACAGGGTAGCATTCAATATTTATCATCTGCACCAGTACTATATTATGTTGGAATTTGGTCTTCTCGAGCAAAAAACTATCATAAATGTCTATAGTGATACACAGGGATGTATAAATACTGTACGAAATAGTAATATTGATGTTACAAAGACATTTATAATCGGGATTAAGCATACTTCATCTTTTACTGTCCCCGTACCTTTTCATCTTATTAGAAAAGCTTAACAGCCATACCGAAGATGAACATAGAACTTCTCTTCCATGCAACTGATTAAAATTAAACAAAACTGCCGGACTAGCATTTGCGCATTAAACTGTGTGTGTGTTTGCTTAATTATGCCTCGATAATTATACGGCGTAATCTTGAAACTGGAATAACAACAACGATAATTTGAATAATTAGGAATGATTAACGTCTGAATGGCACTTCGAGAAAAATGAAACTACCGTTCCTTATGGCTTTTTAGATGTCCAAATCTCTGTATCTAACAGAGTTCTCGGTTGTTCATGTTCTTTCACACTTTATTACAAATTCGTCTTTGCCATAATAACATTTTTAAAAGCCGTTCCCAAAAAAATATATTAACAGAAGACGCTTGTATCCAGTTTCAGCAGCAAAACAAGGTTGCTTTTAAAATCCTCTGCAGTTTCCTTCTATTAGTGTTCTATTATGACCAGTTTTCAATTATTTTTGTATTGGAGGGGGGGGGGTTCTGGCCCATTTCCCTTAGAAATGTTTCAAGAAGGGTATCTATGCTAAATTAATGAGTAAAAGCTACCAACGTATAAGTTGTTTTATGCGTCATTCAAAGCAAGTCGATCAACATATCCTGTAAAAGGACGACAATATGCTGTGGTGGGTTTATGCCATCTACATATCAACATGTACAAATATAGCAATAGTTGAAATCTGACAACGGTATCTGTCACATCACATCTTGTTTAGGTGAAATCCGTAGCTAGTGCTGTGAATTCATGAGAATTCTTGACGTGAACCAGTAAGGGCAGTCAAGGTTACACATAAAGATATAAAAAATCTGACAATCTGCCCCTTTTTTTGCGTTTCCTTTGTTCTCTCTCTCTCTCTCTTTTTTTTTACCCAGAAATGACTATTGCAAAGATACCTTTTGTGTTTATGGCTGCGGCATTGGCAGAAAATGGTGGCATTGGTTATAAAAATGGGTTACCTTGGAGCATTCCTGGCGACTGGAGTTATTTCGAAAATACAACAAAGAAATCTTATGGTCAAGAAAAGTATGTCCACAAGGAAGCAACGGAATGGAGTAATGTTGTTATTATGGGTCGCCATTCCTTTGAAGCAAGACCAATGTTGAAAGAACCTTTAGCAAATAGATACAATATAGTCGTTTCAAGAAATCCCCACTACGATTTGTAAGCTATTTAAATTTATGACAGCCAGCCAACTCTAATCTTACACGTACATCTTTCGCTTCAATAGTGGCACATCATCTATTGTGGAGCTGGTTACCAGCTTGGATGAGGCTTTCAGGAGAGCGGAAGCACTAGTGAAAGGGGATGGTCGTATCTTTATGCTGGGTGGAGAAGAGATCTATAGACAAAGTATCACTTTGCCTGAATGTACCCATGTCTTAATCACCAATATCTACAGCTCTTTACCTGTTCCTTGTGATACATTTATACCTAAAATCGACCCTTCCGTCTTTAAATTAGCCAGTCATGATGAGTTGGAATTATTTTTGAAAGAAAGCGTACCAAAGGGAAAGCAAACACATGAACATTTTGAGTACGAATTTGTATTATATTTGAGAAAATAATAAAAATCATGAACCCCCCACAAAATATTTATACAATAATTGTTCACTTTTATTTATGATATATATGATTTTTTTTTCTTTTGGTTTAAAAGAGACCAACGACCTCACCATTGTCATCCAAATCAACATCGAAGAAACAGGGGCGAGTGGGAAGACCAGGCATGGTGGACATCTCACCAACTAAGGGGTAAAGGAAACCGGCGCCCACAGAGGCACGGATATCACGAATAGGTACAGTGAATCCCTTGGGAACACCCTTGAGAGCAGGATCATGACTGAAACTGTATTGAGTCTTAGCCATACAAATAGGAAGTGGGGAGAATCCTTGACGGGTATAGGTTTCGATCTTTTGCTTGGCCAAGTCACTGAATTCAACACCATCAGCACCATAAATTTCACGGCAAATGGTCTCAATCTTCTTCTCGATGGGGAGTTCAAGATCATACAAGTATTTGAAATCGTTGCTTTGATCACAAGCATGGATAACAGCCTTACCAAGATCGATGGCACCAAGACCACCACGAGCCCAATGATCACAAGCAACGGCATCAGTTGCACCAGCTGCCAAAGAACATTGACGAACAACTTCCATTTCCGCATCGGTATCATTGCTATGTAAAAATCAAATCAATAAACGCAATTTTAACTCTATATTTATCAATCCAACAAAAAAACTTACGTGAAACGGTTGACAGCAACAACAACGGGGACACCAAACTTCTTTGCATTTTCAATATGCTTGGCCAAGTTGCCACAACCTTCTCTCAAGAGATCCAAGTTCTCTTCGTTGTAAACATCGGGTAAAGGTCTACCAGCAACAATGGCAGGACCGTTACCGTGAGTCTTTAAGGCTCTAACGGTAGCAACAATGACAACAGCGTCGGGAACTAAACCAGAGATACGACACTTAATATCAAAGAACTTTTCCATACCCATATCAGCGCCAAAGCCAGCTTCGGTAATAACATAACCAGGTTCCATATCAGGGCCATCAGAACCGGCCAATTTAAGAGCAATCTTATCAGCAATGATGGAGGAGTTACCATGTGCGATATTGGCAAAAGGTCCGCTATTATATGCATTAGTACTTTTTTCAGTGCTACAGACTTTGTATGTATGGAACTTACGCATGAACGATGGTAGGAGTACCTTCAAGGGTTTGCATCAAATTGGGCTTAATAGCATCCTTCATCAACACGGTCAAAGCACCACCAATACCGAAATCATCGGCAGTAATGGGCTCACCAGCCTTAGAAGAAGCAACGACCATATTACCTAATCTTACACGCATATCCTTGAGATCGGTAGCCAAAGCAAGAACAGCCATGACTTCACTAGCAACGGTAATATCAAAGCCAGTTTGACGTTCCATACCCTTTTCTGTAGGACTTTGTCCGATGGTGATCTTACGCAAGAAACGATCGTTGACATCAACACCACGTTGCCATGTAATCGTATCAACATCGACATCCAAACGAACAAAACGAGCAACTTCTTCCTCAGTTAAATCATTGGGATTGGTCTTGTTAATACCCAACTTTTCAAGACGCTTCATCATGACGGGAGCAAATGTTCTGACACCCTTCTTGGCAGGACACAAACGGTTGAAGAGACCCTTGTTGGATTGTGTGTTTTCATGGAAGATACGGGCATCAATGGCAGCGGCCATTAAATTGTTAGCGGCAGTAACAGCATGAAGATCACCTGTCATATGAAGGTTAAATTCATCCATGGGGATGACTTGAGAGTATCCACCACCAGCAGCACCACCCTTGATACCAAAAGTAGGACCTTGAGAAGGTTGACGAACACAAGCAAAGGCAGACTTATTTAAATGAGCACCGAGGGCTTGGACAAGACCAATAGTTGTGGTTGATTTACCTTCGCCAAGAGGAGTAGGAGTGATACTAAATTCACAATTAGTTTCATATACACAAACACAGAATTCAAGAAACTTACCCAGTAACAACAATGTATTTACCATCCTTACGGCCTTCGAGTCTCTTTAATACATCCAAGTTAATCTTGGCTTTGGCGGTACCATAAAGCTCGTACTAAAAAGAAAATCAGCAAATTGTACGCATATCAAACAACAGATCCACTTACTTCAGCGGCATTCAAACCAATTTCTTTACAGAGCTCATCGATATGTTTGGGCTTTTGAGACTTGGCGATTTCGATATCAGAAGGAACGGGAGTCTTTAACTCAAGCTTCAAGGGAGAAATATCACGCTTGCGACTCAATTCTAACCAACGTTCAGCACTGATAGCAGTATTTTTCATCAACATGGCTACAGTCATAGGTCCAACTCCTCCAGGAACAGGTGTGATGAATGAAGCAACCTCCTTTGCCTTTGCGTATTCAACATCACCAACCCAACGGATACCTGATTTCTTGGTTGAGTCTGAAGTTCAAAAAAAAAAAGTCAGCCGATACCCTTGGAAGAAACTTTAAATTGCTTTCCGTGTATACCTTCAACAGCATTGGTTCCGACATCAATGATAACAGCTCCAGGCTTAATCCAATCACCCTTGATAAGTTCTGTCTTTCCAGCAGCAGCAATAACAATATCGGCTTGCTTGACCTAAATTCATGCAATGTCAAAAAAAAAGTGTACATACAGATATAAAAAAAATATGCCTTCACTTACAATACTTTCAATATCAGCGGTTCTCGAATGACAAAGAGTGACAGTAGCATTTTCTGCAGTCAACAAAGTAGCAACGGGTGCACCAACAATATCACTACGACCAACAACAGCGGCTTGCTTACCAGCGATATCAACACCAGTTGACTTTAATAAATGAATGATACCCTTGGGAGTACATGGTGTGAAAAGAGGGTCGGCGCCCTTCTTGGCCATATTGCCAATGTTGACAGCGTGAAAACTATATGAAGTAGATAAGTAAAAAGATCAATGTTTTTCCCTGATATACGCTTACCCGTCAACATCCTTTTGGTAATCGATAGCTTCGATGACAGCAGCTTCACTGATATGAGAAGGTAAAGGCATTTGAACAAGAATACCGTGGATCTTATAATTGCTATTGAGTTCCTGTACTCTTCTTAAAAGATCAGCTTCGGAGATACTCTCGGGCAACTTTTCCATTGTGATCGAAATTCCAGTCTTTATAGGGTTTTTGCTGTTAATAACAGATACCTATCAAAATCAGCATGTGATAGACATACCTCTTTGGCAGCCTTATCTTTCATTTTGACATAAATAGAAGAATCTTCTCGGCCACCAACTTGAATCATGGCCAAGTGAGGGTCGAAATGAGGATATTTTTGCTTAATGGCGAGAATCTTGTCCTTGACTTCATTACGAACAGATCTGATTTGAATTAGGAGCCATTATAGTATAAAAAAGTGTGCTAATACTTTACTGGGCAATAGCCTTTCCATCGATGATAGTTGCAGTCATTGTGTATGAGCGTTTCAATAAAAAAGAAGAAGAGCGCGAAAATGCTGCCAGCATATTAAATACCAAAATAAAATAAATAAAAATTGTGTGACAACTGTGGGTATTTGACTGGGGAAATTGAATAGCCGAAAACGTATTCCAAAAGATCTTACACCATTTTAAAAGGACAGTCCGAAAAAGGAGATCATCTTTTTTTTTCTTTTCCCATCTATATCTCTGGATTTTAAGCCTTTGTACATATCCGTAAAACAGAAGGAAAGCGACACATGATTTATCGTTTCGTTCTAAACTTTGCCATCAAAAGAGTTTTATTCCCACGAGCAAAAATCTCTTATTATGCAACCTTAATAAAGGCACAATGCATTATTCAAAGTCACGCTTATCTGTGTATAATTACAATGGGGGACGTGTTTCTTTTTAATACGTTCCACACTAGATCAAGCCATTTGGTGTGCACATTGATATATACAGTTTATCAATGTTGAATATACTATACCGACCATGTAAATAATAGTATCGAGTCATACTTATGAGTCATGGTTTTAGTCAACTAAAATGGATACCCCTGCCAGTAACAGATCATCAGATAAACCGTAAAATTTAATTTTACAAAACCTTGTCTTTTCAGGCTTATTAAATACCTTGGAAACGGTGCACGTAACTTTTACCACCTTCATCCCCCTTTCGTTAAAAGAGATGAAAACCCAAAAGTGTTCATCATTTGTAGGGAAATGATTTCAATGCCAGTTACTCTTTTTTAAAACAGAGCTCAGGTATTTCTAGGGCTGACGATGCGTTTTGGCACTTTCATCTTCTTATGCAGAGGACAAGTGTTACATACATACATAAAAAGTGCTCCTATTTTATGAAATGCATAGATATACATTATTACTAAAGTAAATAGATGCCAAGTGTCTTGAGTTTGTAAACAGGAATACAAAAATCAGGTAAAAGATTTGATCATCAATGTTAGAGATGATTGACTTTTATCATAATTTTTTAAAACCCCCATAAACAGCGAGGGTTTCTTTATTCGAGACAATTGTTAAATGAGAGTTTCCCATATCAACATATTTCTCTTTCTGTAGTTACAAACATAATGTAACATGAGGCTTTATCCAGTTGAACGGGCCACTCAAATCTGCAGGGATACATGCATATCTCGGCTCAACCAACTAGAATATTCTATATCAAAACAAAATACATGTCACATTACATTTATGATAGATAATCATCCATACATCATGCATTGCCCCGCTTGTTTTCATCATAACGCTAAAGGATGTTTAAAAGCTGAAACATTGTGGCAAGTAAATATGGATACCACATAAAGTGATGCACTTTCATAAACCGTAACTACAGCATATATAATTGATGTACTGCTACTCATATTAGTAGTCGGTCCATTTGGAGACTAGTATAAAATGCTATAAAGGTACCTTCTACAGCTGCCAAAAAAATTAAGGTTGGAAAATCAAGTCACTTTCTAAAAAGGTTGTGTATTAAAGAGAATGGTGTTTTATTTTTTTTCATTAAGAAACAACTTTACATAATGTAGTTGGATCAAAGCAAGGCCAAGATAGCGTCAAAAAAAAAATAAAAGCTCAAACTTAAGAACAAAGTCGACATATAAGCTCTTACCAAGTTCTATAAGTAACTGTTCTTTTGTATATGGACGAAAACCAACAATCTGAAAGTACCCATCCTCACTCGATAGTATATTATTGTCTTTACAAGTATTAAGGTATACACATAAGCAGAAATTTGAAAAAGCTAAAAATTATTTTATTATTTTTATTAAATTGAGTACCTAAACATTATCAGCAAAAGGGTTTTGAGGCTGATGGTTGTTATTACGAGAATGCGAAGGTTGTTCAGTATGGATGATGGTAGCATCCCGCTCTGATTCGTCATTGATGTTTACCAAGATATCATTACTATTGTTATGGGGGGTATATTGAGGAACTTGCTCCTTATAATAATTATTCATCTGTCGTTGTCTCTGAATATCTTGATCATACAGCTGTTGTAATAATACTGGTTTCAGCTGTTGAAGTTGGTTTGCAGATATCTGCTGTTGTTGTTGTTGTTGCTGTGATCTTTCCAATTGGTGTTGCTCATACAGTAAATTTCTTTTGGCTGACATTTTCATTCTCTTCAACCAACAAACATATGTGAGGAGCACAATGACAACAGCCATTAATGAAAATATGACAATGAATAAAGTTTGGTTTGTATTAGGCATTTTTTTTTTTGGCAAAAAAGTAATAGAAGGGGCAGAATAAAGATTTTTTTTTCAAGAGAATACTAATGAAAACGTTAATGATGGGTCGATTAATTAATTAGAGCTTGTGTGACCTGCGTAAACCCAAATCTAGGCATTCATCATGTGTACAGTGGCTCCAAGCCCAAAGTTCGCTTTTTCAAATATAAATTCGTTTTGGTTCCGACTCAAATTCGCTTTTCAAATTCGCTTTTTTATTGGCCAAAGTTCGCTTTTGTAAATAGCCCAAATTCGCTTTTGTAACACTCAAAGTTCGCTTTTGTTTACAGTCAAATTCGCTTTTGTCGAAGTGAAATTCGTTTTTTTTTATTGGGCTTAAGTACACTATTTTCAGAAATTATTGGGACATTTTGAAAAAAAATTGGTACTACTAGGTGCTCTCAATCTGCTGTCGTATTCTGAGAAAGGCAAAACAAGTTACTAAAAATGTATAATAAAAGCATTTCCTAATCGGATGAATACGAGGGGCAAAAGCTCAAATATTCAGCTGAAAAAGGAAATACAAGTGCTGACTTTAGATATTATCCAATAAAACACTCGAAAGCCGATAGTATTACATAATTTGAGCTTTTTTTTTGTTGCCCATTTTAGTGAATATATTTGCCTTTCTCAGAATACGACAGCAGATTGAGAGCACCTACTTTCGAGAAAAAATTGGTACAAATCTTGAACTGTTTTGGGACACTTGCCTAAATAATATTGGGACACTTTTTGAAATTATAATGAGACAAAACTAAATGGTACTTGGGATGAAATCATAACTGCTTTTTCCTTATTTCATAACATGTCAGATATCAGGATTTACTACGAAGACGGAATAAATGCTCCAGTCGATGAGCACGGAAACGAAGCTGTTGAGATGGATGTAGACGACGAAGCCTTCCCTCTCGGCAACATCACCAACTACAATACTTACGTTGATAGCAAACCACCTAAAAAGACTTGACCGTAGTCAAGGACAGCAAGATTAAAAATAAGAAGAATGAACCCAAGATTGAATACAACAGCTACACAGACAAAGACAAGGCAAGGTTCTTTATCCTTATCTACGACCATGGCATGAATCCTAGTCAAGCTTGGAAAGCCCATGGCCATATATCAAGGTCAACCGCCTATAGATGGTACGCAGAGGATCAAAAAATGGTTAACGGAGAAATTGAAGACGATGAAGAGCCTTCAGTAAAGAGAAAAGGTCGACCAAAACTATTGAACGAAGATCATACGGAGCATCTAAAACAAGAATTCAAGGATAATCCATCAGTAACGATTGAACAAGCTCAAGATAGTCTTGTCAAGGCTTTCTCAGGTTTGGCTGTCAGTCAAACGACTATTTACAATTACATGACGAATGATCTTGCCCTGACGTTCAAGAAGGCTCATTTTCATTCCAAAGAAAGAAACTCGCCAGAGAACATTCAAACCCGGTATGACTGGGTGGTCAAATGGAGCCAAACCGACATGGATTACATGTCCAACTGTGTTTTCATTGATGAATCAGCTTTCCATATCAACCTGAAGCGAACAATGGCGTGGTCAGAGAGAGGAAGTCGAGCGGAAGTGATTGTCCCTCAAACAAGAGCCAAAACTACAACTATTCTTGGTGCAACTAGTGTGTGTGTGTGGGGGGGGGTGTTGAATGTTCAAGTGAGGCTACCTGGAACATCGAACAAAAAAAGAAAGCTAGCTGGCACGTCTTCTGGAAAAGCAACCGCAAGCGTTGGTACTGTAACTGGACATTACTTCAATTTTGTTGCGAAAACAATGGACATCATGGACCAACATGAGCAATTCAAAGATTTTTATCTTATTATGGACAATGCGCTCATTCATACAGCCAAGGATATTGAAAGGTATATCATTCAGCGAGGTTACAGATGTGTTTACCTTCCACCATACTCCCCTGAGCTCAATCCTATTGAGCAATTCTGGCATGTGGTTAAGAGCAAACTCAAGAGGGAGAGGCTCCTAAAAACCGAAACACTTTCGACCAGGATTACCGATGCATGCAATGATGTGTTGTACAGTGATCTTGAAGGTTCTGCTCGCTACTCTGTTAAGAAATTCGATGTTTGTTTAGCGAAAGAGCCTTTGTAATAAATGAATCCTATTTTCTCTGAAAAAGTCCCAATGTTTTTTTTAAAAGTGTTCCAAAGTTGTTCAAGAAAATGTTCCAAAATAGTTCCAATTCTTGTTGCATTCAGTGATTGAAAACAAAAGAGCAATGTCGTTTTCGGTCTTTGCCTGACTTGAGAAAGCTTGAGAGAGTTTGGAGACTTGCACCTTCTTTTTGGAATTGCTGGACATTACTATCAATTTGGATGCATTTTTTGTAAATGGCACGTAAAGGCATCAAGTCTTCCAAATTGGCAATGAATGCCTTCATATCATGTACGCTTGATGGTATTGGTACGGACACCAGTTCAAGCATGACATAGAGCCCTTCAGCAAGCAATGTTGTTACGTAGAAGCTGATTTGCAAGCCTATTCACCCAACCCGATTCAGTATTTTTCGCTATTGCCACGATCTGAGTAACTTACAAATATTTTCACAAACCACCAATATTGGCCGGCCTCACTGTATGATTTTGAGCGTTAGAGATGGCCGATATCCTGCAGAAATAGCCTCGAAAGTGGTGAAGTTAGCCGATTTTGCCTGTCTAGTGGCCTATTTCCGACAGTTGTGCTAAATTTGTCCTTTACAAAGGCACAACAAAGCCGATTATAGGGTTCCATTACATTAAGAGCTTTCGCTGTATTGTTTTACTGATCTTGTGGGCCTTCCTTGGGTGCGATTTCCGCAATCATTGCTTTGTGAAAACCTGATGCAATTAGTGACAGAACCGTGCGTATTTCAGATCATTCTGCCCTGAGACCAAGGGTAATTACACACACGCAAACGATTAATGTTAAAGGGCAGAACAGTTTTATTAGAGCAGCATGTGCACTTGCTGTTATTCATCTAGTTGCTTTAATACTAATGTTTCGTGAAGATCGAAAGATCTACTTCTCGATAACTCCTGGAGATAGGATGAGCAATGCGCCACGTAAGAGAGTTCAAAGTTTATACTCGATGAATGATGTTGAGGTGAAATCCTGACAGTTAAAGGGTAGGTGTAATCCATCCCTTGAGGAAAGAAAGTCCAGATACGACGGAGAGATCCACCGTTGCGAGAGGGATTTGAGATGAAGAATGCTTTGAAATGTGTTAGCATGCAAACATTGTCTTGTACAAAGAGATGAATCATTACCTAAAGTGCCAGCTGTGCTTTTGTTGAAAATATAGCATTTATGCACACCTTTGCTATCTAAAGGATCGTCCTTTTTCAAGACCTGCATTGAATCTCACTATGTAACTCGTGCTGGACAATTGTACGTAGTCTACTCTCCCAAGAATCTGTTTTTTGTCAATGAACCAACTCACACAAGTCTTTCATTATTAAAAGTCTATGTTTGATTCTGTATAGAAAAAAGCAACTTTATTGTATGTACATGGTCGTCTCTCCTACATTGACATTCTCGATTTTGCTATTTCTACGTTCTTGTCGTTCAAATCTGATAACGCTTTAAGGTAGCCTCTGTTTCCAACACTAAGCACCATTCTCTTGTTGGCTACAATTTCCTCTTTGCTGCTACCCAAACTGATCTCTCCTGCTTCTAGCATCTTCACTATCTTTACCATCTCCTTCCACTTTCCTTCCTCTGTAATGGCATCATAGATAGCGCCAAATGTTGCGCCATTGAATTCGTCCAACTTCAAACTTCTTTTCATGAAGTCTGCTGAATCTCCTACTCTAAGCAACAACGCTTCCAAATCAGAGCGATCCACCTGTCTTCGTGCGAAGCTGTTGATGATGAACGATTGGAGGCTTAATGCAATCGAATTGACAGATGGGTGATTGTCGGCATTCAGTGGGTTGATAGGGAAAAATCTGTCGTGATCGAGGCTATATACTTAATATATGACTCTATCTACACTTCTTAAATCTTCCATTTGATAATCCTAAATATAATTCTTATTGGCACTTTACATTACATACCGACCACCGATCGCTTATTTATCTTCACAGTCAAGAAGTGCCGAACCACTTATTATTGACTTATTACGAAACACTATTCAGTTTATCATACGATGTTGTACATTTGCCGGGTCATTTAAACGACATTGCTGATGCTGGTAGTCGTTTATTCAAAGAGGATTATCATTTGGAGGGGGGTAAATTAGTTGACGAAACAACTTCTTCTTTCATCACCAAGCGTAAAAATAAACACGATAATCCAAATGACCAGTCACAAATTTCAAATCCAATTCAAAAAATTCAATACAAGAAGCGCAAGGCTAAAGCTATTCCACAGCTCAAAATATCTTCGACTTTTTATAAGAAAGCTATGAAACAACATGGAAAAGATTACATACAGAACTTTAAACAAGAATCTAAAACACCCATTACATTACCTGAAAGTACATGTACCTCTGGTACTAACACCACACCCGTTGTATTACGCGCTTTACAGTTTGCTGACTACATGACTCCACCTGAGAAAGAACGTGACGATATTATTAATAAAGCACACCTTTTAGGTCATTTCGGTATTAAAGCTGTAGAAGACACAATACATAACGATTACAAGTTACATTGGACAAACATGAGAAAAGACATCATACGAATTGTATCCAATTGCGACGCTTGCTCACACTTTAACATTGCTAAAGTTGGTTATCACCCTTTCAATAGTGTATCGCCAGATCAACCTCTAGATCATTGGAGTATGGATCTTGGTACATTCAATACAACCTCTGCTAGTGGAAATAATTACATGCTTGTCATGGTAGATCATTTCAGCAGGTTCACAATTCTTCGAGCACTACCAGATAAGACAAGTTTAACAGTTGCTAAAGAACTACTAAACATCTTTTGCTTGTTCTCATGGCCAAGGATTTTGTCTCATGACAATGGATCTGAGTTTATCAATGAGGTTGTTTCTCAATTGGTTCTAATGAGCGGCATTGACAGAAGACTATCGTTACCTTATACGCCACAAGGAAATTCTGTGTGTGAAAGATTTGTGGGAATTGCCAAAACCAGTATTGTAAAATTACTGAACGGAAAATATGATGACTGGGATCTTTATTTAAATCCAGTACAACTAGCAATGAACATTAAGTATTCTAAATTACATAAGTCTAGACCATACGCTGTTGTATTTGGCAGACAGCCTAACGACTTTAAAGATTACTCTAATGAGACACCCTCTCTATCACTAGAAACAGCGGACACTAAAATAATTAATGACAGACTTAAATTTGCACAAGAAGTTGTTATACCCCAAATTGCTGCACTTATTAAAGACACGCAAACAAAAGATCATGAGCGCTTTGCGAAAACTCATAAAGTACTTACAGATATGTATCCCATTGGTAGAAAATGCATGATCATCAATGTTCATCGCAGCTCTAAAGTACAAGAAAGATATTCGGGACCTTTTACTATTACAGGATACACAAAGAATAAATCTTACATCTTAGCAGACCAAGCAGGAAATTTATTATCTAGAGACGTACCTACTCAGCAAATTAAATTACTACCTGAAGAGAAAGCTTCATAAAATAATACCGCTGACGGTCATTATGAAGTACAAGCAATCATAGCACACAAAGGTGAACCTAATAATTATTCATATCTTGTTCACTGGTTAGGCTATAACGACCCTATATATCATACTTGGCAAAAAGTGAAGACTTTGATTCCAAATTACATATCGAATTATATTGGGCTAGACGTAATGCTGGAAGTAACACAAACAGCTCCTACAACAGTAAATAATACTATACGTAAAAAGGCTAACCGTGATAAACATAGTAATAAGAGCTCTCGTATTATTACTAGATCTCAGAGATTGCTTGAATCACAAAGTAACTCTAAGTAAAAAAATATAGCCTTTTTCCGCAAAGATACTTTTTTACCTTATAAGGTTTTTTTCATTTTGGTTTTTACTAGCACATATATTTACTACAGATCACCCATTAGTTTAATTATACTCTATTTTATTTTACATTTTACACAGACACAGACACATTCTACGGGTTGGGTTTTATAAACACTATTTACGTGTAAATACCTCTTCTTTAAAAGCTTATCAAAGTGTGGTTGGGGGTAATGTCGTGATCGAGGCTATATACTTAATATATGACTCTATCTACACTTCTTAAATCTTCCATTTGATAATCCTAAATATAATTCTTATTGGTACTTTATATTAAATACTGATCATTTACTTTATGTACAGTCTTGATCTCATATCATCCTTCATACAAGTATAAGGCATACATTTAAATAATAACATAATATGAAAACATATGAAGGTTACATCAGCCACGTTGAGGTGCCACAGCTATCTTTAATAAGAACTACATTTTCCCCTGAATGTTGTGCTACAAGACATACACGGTTTAAGAATGAATGTTATTGTTATTGTTATTGACATCTCATTATGGTCTTTCTATATGGGATCATTACATCCGAGTATTATCTGGATAAATCTACCCACAACCGTCATCAGCCCATCTGTGATCAATGTCTGAAATAATGTGTATATAAAGACCCCCATTTATTTGTTTAATAAAGCTTTAGTTTATTTTTGCAGTTTGATAATTTCACTTTGTTAAATTTTACATTTTATTCTTAATTCGCTATTATCACTCTCGAATTTCTCAAAATCCCATATCGTGGGTTGCCTGTAAATGGAAGGACCATAAGTTACAGCAATCTTCCTTGTAATACTGACGCAGGAGACGTTCTGATCGAATGACTTGCTGGCCGTGCTTGTTGATAAAGATCTTGCTGCTTAAACGGTCTCCGTCAACTACTGAACTGTTCTTAAGCGGCTTTACTGATGAGCCCAAAAAGGCATCAACAGGCTTTCCTTTCAAAGCAACAAGGCCACCAACAGCAAGCAGCTCAACGCATCCGTGTAGGATTACAGAAACTTCGAAGAAGTTTTTTCCCTTCTCAAATTTGTGATGCAGCTTGGCGAATGTTTTTTTGTTGATCCACTTGTTATCAAAGGAGCAATCATCGGCATTCTGGATATGCACGAATGCATCAAAGCTAGTAATGAGGAATTTTACTTCCTCAAAGCAAATGATACATCCGGCAAATGAATGTCCTATGCTGGCAACGGTGTTTCCAAGATTCTTGACAATGAAAGATTCAGGGAGAGGTTCAATGCTGCAAGATTGATAACCCTCTGATGCGATCAGATCGTCGATTGTATTGTCAGAGATTGAGCTTGCTGTATTGAATTCATTGGCTTCGTCGTCGAATTCACATCGAACTGAGATGGCTCCGGCTCTAAACTTCTGCTTGTCCAGGATGCTTTTCCAAATATCTGAGGCGCTTGCAGGTACAATAAAACCAATGCTATTGTGTGAGTTGGCGGCAGCTTTGAGCAGGTTACCAATGATGAAACCTGACATCAATTTGTCGCGCACAACAAAGGTTTGCAAATTTCGGCAAATGCTTAGTGATCTTACTGCTCGAGAGCCGAAATCTGGAACTGCTACATTTCTTTTCAAGAGTACTGATCGTGCCAACTTGAACTTGAGAAGGTTTTTCTCTGCGAAGAGATCCACCTGTCTTACTGAACCATTTTTGTTGATGCAATGCCAATAGTGCTTGCAGATTGTAGCATATTGAAGACGATCGTTCCAATTCGGAATATAGTTGAATATAATGAGAACTACTTCTTCAGGGAGATGACTTTTCGAATAGCCCATTGTATATAGCAAGCGAGGATGAAAAGCGACCGCTATCAAAAGTGAATAGGGAGGCTATTTACTTGACATGAACAACCTTTTGTGTTACAAACTGAAGGTGTTTATGTTACTTAATCTCATGCTTTATAGGGAGCTCACTACCGAGAATAAGGGGCATATGTCTTTTGTCCCTATCACAACACTGGTGGATTCTTCTACTGGTCTTCCAATGCCAAAAATTCAAAAGCACAGAATCATCCGTCAAAGAATCATTACTATCGGGTACACCGAAGAATGCGTTACTTTACTCTAGATTTCAAATCCTTTTCATTTCGGTTCAAAAGTAGAAACGTTTCAGATACAAGTTACACAAGTAGGGAGGCATTTTTATCACTTAGAACAACGATTTTTATTACTTTTAACGACAAAAAAAAGAAACAGTATGCTATGGTAGTCTAATCAAACCTGTATTCTTCTTGGCTCTCAAAATATGTACATTCTGATTGACAGGATTAACCACGAGAAGGTGAGAATACGTCTAATCCCAAAAAACAAGCGTTTGGTAAGCTAAGCCATCTTATCGAGTCCGTTGCGAATACCGGCACCTCTACACAAGAACTGAACATAGCGCGCCGGCCACAGTATCAGAAACTAAGGATATATCCATAAGAACACATACAAAGAAACTTGATATGCAGCTACCAAACTACCCCCAGATCCAACAAAGAAAAGAAGAAAAAAAAAGAGAAACGAAACGAAACCGTTGAAAAAATCTTTTTATAGTTTTAGGGGGGTAAATTTTTTTGTTGCTAGGCACACCACCAAACATAGTCTAATAAAAATCAGTCCTACAAGATAAAAATTAAGCGGTAAAATTGATTATCTAAGAGATCCGCTTACAGCCATTTCCAAATCTCCAAATCTCCAAATTTCCAAAATTGTCGGCCCTGTTATTGGCCAACACCTATTATTGTGTGTTATTGGTTTATCACCTAACAGTAAAAACCGTAATGAGAAATTGTTGCCCTTTTTTTTTTATCAAAATCACGAAATATATCTAATGTTAAACGATTATTCAAATATGTCTCAAGAGGAAGCTTTTAGATTACTCGATGAACAACGCAACGCAGTTCTTGAGTCGTTACGTGAGCAAAACGACAGCGATCTCGAAAAAACCGAAAGTATTTGTTCTTTGCAAATGCAAGCAAACCGGTTAGAAGAAGAGCATGGCGTGGAAGTTGATATTAATTGGGAGGAAGTATTCCCCAATGAGCAGCTTCAACAACAGTTCCCATATTCTCCAGCCGACTCGCCTATGGGTGAAAACTTTGACTTTGATGAGCCAAGCTTCGATCCTGTTGTTGAAACATTATCCAACAACTGGGAAGAGTTGCTGCCCAAGTTGGTGGATTGTTATATCCTGTCCGTGAAAAACTTGGGCGTCCCGAAGATTTTTGCCGGCTATGAAGAGATGTCTTTTGGCTACACCTGTAGTAATGAGAATTGTGGTTTCTCGACAAAACCATTGAACTTTTTTTGTACCCGATGTAAGAAGAAAATTTAATAATAACGTAGTTGGTCATTGCAGTTAACAAGTCATTCATTTAGTTGTTTTGGTGAATGACTTTAAGTGGTGCAACTGTAAGAGTCTTTCCCAAGCTCTTATGCTTTGTGGATTTTTACCGTCATCCCCAATGTTCCCCAAATCAGCAGTACATTTGGGGATGTTAAGCAATCTTAACATGTTGAGAAACCACCTCGGCGCTTCTGGGCAAGCTCTTGCCGACTATTACAACGCTGTAATGGGAAACCCAGAGGTAACTATAATATTTTTAAAAACTTACTTCCATATGCTGACAGTCTTCCAAAAATCAAGAACGGCATTTCTCACAAGATTTGCCAAAACCTGCTGCCGCTCTACAGCAGGCTTTTGCTTTTGGTGGACAGCGCTGTAGACTATTTGGCTGCCACCTGTTCTCTCCAGGATAATGAGTGTCCTGCCTGTCCACAGGTTAGAAATTGAAAGATATAAGGACGGTGAATTGATATTAATGTTGGTTTTGTTAGGACGGGTTTCCTGGTACATCTAATAGTACCAACAACATAAAGACTATCTCTTTGGATGGCTGCTTCAGCATGAAATGTCTGAAGTCCAAAGATGATAGTCTTCATCAGACACCAGTGCCTGCAATTGAGAAGATGTGGGTTAAGCAGTCAACGGTGGACTTTTATGAGAAGGAGAGAGCAAGCAGAGATGTACGTACTAAAATACATAGAGAATCTTTTGGGCTAACTGTAAATTAGGTCCTGGCCAGTGAGAATACTCATCGTGCATCTGGTCAGACGGCATCTCTGAAGTCAAAAGTCTTTCCTGTGAAAGGCCTTTTTGCAGCCTCATGCGGACGACATGAATACGTCTTGAAGCTTTCAGACATGGCTACCGGAGAGGGGTTAGTATCTTAATTTAATTTTGTAACTGACTTATCAATTTTTTAATGGTCTACTTATTTACTAGCTTTAAATACTCTCTGGCAATGATTAAAGAACTTCTTGGGAATGAGGATGGTGCAGCTGTTGCTAGTCGTATACCGAAGGTCATTTTATACGACATTGCATGCCTCTTGGAGCCTTCCTTAAAAGTAAGTTATGATTTAAAAATATTCAGGTTAATATGAAGGGACTTACAGCTATGGCCATTAGAAACATTTCGAGGATCAAATGGAAGGCACAGGAGGTTGGTCATTGGCAGTGCCTGCTTTTCATGCTTTTGCGCATGTTTTACACTGCCAGGCTAAGCGCAACCCGAGATTCATGGGCACTATTGGTCGTACTGATGGTGAATCCCTTGAACGCTTTTGGTCATATCTGAAGCCCTTCATCAATATGACCCGTCCCATGAATCATCCAAACCGTCGGGTTGTTCTTACCATGGCAACGCTGCACCGTAACCAAATGAAAAAATGGAATATGGGTAACTTTGGAAGTCAATACTGATCAATTATTTTTAATATTAATCAATTGTAAAATATCAGGTAAATTCTTGAAGACAAAGTACCAAAAAGCAAGCAAGGCTTTGGAAGAAATCAAGGCTTTGGGAGGAGAGGCCTTAGTTGCCCATTCACACTTGCACCGCCACAACTGGGATCTTCAAGTACAGCGAATGGCCGCCGGCAAGTCATGTGCTAGTATCTGGAGTCAATTTGATGATGGTGTGAACAAGGCTGTAAGATATTATGTCTTACAGTCTGTTCATCACCGCTTCAGGTAAGTGAAGTCTTGAACATACAATGCCGATCTCATATCTATAAACTTTTGTTTTATAGTACTAGCAACAGTGAAAGATTGTACGTCGGATCGTCTAGCTTTCTTGCTAGCGATCTTAGTGCAATCAAAGCTGAAATGAATGAATTGCTGGTGGCCATTAGGGCTGAAAATCCTAACTTTGTGGCGGTTCCTGAACAGGATCTTACTCCCGAGGTCCTGAACTTTGGCGAAGGTTACTATCAGGAATACCTTCGCCTGAAACGAATCATGTTTGTCGACTGTTTGAGAGAACATGTTCAAGCATACAAAGGTGTCGTCAAACGCCTCAAACACGGCGGCCTCGGTAATAACGCAACACACCATAGAGATTAGAAACTATGTTCATCTCAGATATTTTGTAATTACATCATAGGAACTAGTCTTGCTGGCAAGTGCAAAGAAGCACGCAATGTGCACAAAAAGCACATCTTGTACTTGCTGGCTAAATACAAGGAAGAGGCTGCCAAAGGTAATCTTGGGTTTGACGATACCGGTATGAAAAATTATATCTTTTACTATGATGCGTTTCTGATATGCCGTTTCTTTTGTTTTTAGGATTTACGTATGTCAGTTTTGAAGACCTGGTGGACGAAGAAAATGGTTTCTGGGGACCGGATGTCACTGAAAGTGTAAGACTTTATATTGACTATACCAACGTTGTGAAGGAGATGGAGATGTTGAGAGTACGTATATTATAATTTAGGATACATTTGACACTAACTTTTTTTCTTCTTGATAAACAGTGTGAAATTGTTAATCTCCTTCACAACGCTAGGGCTGAAGTCGACGAAAACTATGGATCACTTGCTTACTTGGAGCATAAAGCAAGTGATCCCAATGATGAACATCAAGCTCTCTATCTGGGGGCCTACAAGCTGATGAAGAACAGATTGGACCAGAGCATCAGGTGGAGAGAAAGATGCATCTCGATTCTTCTCCCCACCATAACCAGTGTGGGTCGTCAAAACTTTGAAGACCTAGATGATGAGCATTTAAACCAGGCGACCACATCGGTTATTGATGTTCTGGATCTGACTGCTGGCGAAGATCCAGATGTGGTGATAACAGAAGAGGGGTCCGAACATGACATGGCTTTAGCCCAAATGGACGAAGAAGAAGAAGATTTCTAACGACTTCTTTGTTCATTCCCCCTCTTCTTCCCATCACCACTCCCCATCACCACTCCACTCTTCTTCCCACCACCACACCACTCTTCTTCCCACCACCACTCCCCACCACTTTATTCCTCATATCTATCAACCCAAAAATCTTATAATAAAACTAGAAAAATAATTTAAAACTGTTTGGTATATAATGTCTATGCATAAATTTAAACATTGCATGTCTAAAAAAAATTTAATATGATAAAAACGCTTAAATGATAAAAACGCTTAAATGATAAAAACGCTTAAATGATAAAAACGCTTAAATGATAAAAGGGAATTAACTATTAACATGGTTATATGGATAAAAACATTACTGCTATCATAGCAATTATATATACCTACGTATCGAAAGGCTTAAACACATCATGTCTTAGGATATCCTAGGTTATGATACTACAATCATTCAATCAATGACATAATTAATTTCTGGAGTTTTTATGTAAATCAGTTATATCATTATTAATACAGTATAGTTGCATAAAATAGCGTTTAAAATCTTGAAATTTATAAAACGTTTGTCAAGAAAAGTCAAACATTCCAATTTTTATGCAATGAGGAAACTAAAACCACTTCTATGAAATGATGCGTTCATTTACGTTATAAATATAAACTGAAGTTTGAATATATTCCTAACTTTTTCAATCACTATTAGAAAAATACATGTAAAATAGTACTGACATCTATAGTTTTGTATCTTAACATTGTAAAAGAACTTGAATCAAATTACTGTAGCTCTGAACAATATATCTTTTCAATGGCTACACTTTAGAATATTAAACAAAACTGTGTAGTGGGTATCAATTGATTTTATTTATGGTAAAAGTACTACTTCAATATCATTGCCGATGGAGAGAATATCATGCTATGTTAAATTAATTATCCACATTACAATCATTAATAAGTTTTTTAATTTAGATTTATTTCATGATATAGTTATCCAAGTTAGTCAAGCTAATGAGTTATATGTCAAACTACGGTATAAAGAAGCACCTAATAAGGTCAACATGGTGCTTCATTAAATGTTCGCAGAAATCAGAACATGCTGCATATCTAGTAGTGTTTTACGTAAATCAACTCAATTAAGTTCATGTCAAATTACACAGGTACGTCTATTGATTGCTCGTAATTTATTCAGATATATCAAAACAAGTTAATCCGAGTAATTCAGTTTGATCCAACATCCCGTTAAACTATACGTAGAAGTTTTTCCAATACAGCAAAGTTTAATGCAATACCTCTTTAAGTGAAATTATGCGATTTCTTATGTACCAAGGATATCCCAACAATAAATAATTAATTATGTCACTAAAGATACACGAACAACTCTACACTCTGACAGAAAAACAGATTTGAAGGATAATGTTTATTTATTGGAAAAATACAAAGTGCAAATTACGGGCATAACATGAATCTACCTGTAGCAACCGCAAAAAAAGGCCTTTACGATCGCTAACAACGAGGCAACATAAAGGTTCTGCTCTTTTAAAAGAGAATGGTATGAAAAGCAAGAATACATTACTTCAAGTAGACAGAACACCCAAAAAAAAAAAGGCAATAGTTCTCCCTGTAATTACGTATTTTCGAAATTTTCAAGTCGCTCAAAATACCACGTAGAGTCATAAAACCAGTAGGGTAATAAACCAGGAAGTTCAGACTTGATAAATATGTAACTAACTTACCACAATGACTAGTAAAATCAAACGTAATTGTCTCATTTGAGTCATTCCATCTTGTGGGCTAAAATAAAAATAATAAAAAAGTGGGCGATGGGAAAAAATCGCCGTTGACCCTGTAATTTTTTTTTTTTTTTTTTTTTTTTATGAATCACATCCAATCACATACCTTAATCGAATAAAAATTTTTTTTTTCTATGCCTAGCAACAAAAAAATTTACCCCCCTAAAACTATAAAAAGATTTTTTCAACGGTTTCGTTTCGTTTCTCTTTTTTTTTCTTCTTTTCTTTGTTGGATCTGGGGGTAGTTTGGTAGCTGCATATCAAGTTTCTTTGTATGTGTTCTTATGGATATATCCTTAGTTTCTGATACTGTGGCCGGCGCGCTATGTTCAGTTCTTGTGTAGAGGTGCCGGTATTCGCAACGGACTCGATAAGATGGCTTAGCTTACCAAACGCTTGTTTTTTGGGATTAGACGTATTCTCACCTTCTCGTGGTTAATCCTGTCAATCAGAATGTACATATTTTGAGAGCCAAGAAGAATACAGGTTTGATTAGACTACCATAGCATACTGTTTCTTTTTTTTGTCGTTAAAAGTAATAAAAATCGTTGTTCTAAGTGATAAAAATGCCTCCCTACTTGTGTAACTTGTATCTGAAACGTTTCTACTTTTGAACCGAAATGAAAAGGATTTGAAATCTAGAGTAAAGTAACGCATTCTTCGGTGTACCCGATAGTAATGATTCTTTGACGGATGATTCTGTGCTTTTGAATTTTTGGCATTGGAAGACCAGTAGAAGAATCCACCAGTGTTGTGATAGGGACAAAAGACATATGCCCCTTATTCTCGGTAGTGAGCTCCCTATAAAGCATGAGATTAAGTAACATAAACACCTTCAGTTTGTAACACAAAAGGTTGTTCATGTCAAGTAAATAGCCTCCCTATTCACTTTTGATAGCGGTCGCTTTTCATCCTCGCTTGCTATATACAATGGGCTATTCGAAAAGTCATCTCCCTGAAGAAGTAGTTCTCATTATATTCAACTATATTCCGAATTGGAACGATCGTCTTCAATATGCTACAATCTGCAAGCACTATTGGCATTGCATCAACAAAAATGGTTCAGTAAGACAGGTGGATCTCTTCGCAGAGAAAAACCTTCTCAAGTTCAAGTTGGCACGATCAGTACTCTTGAAAAGAAATGTAGCAGTTCCAGATTTCGGCTCTCGAGCAGTAAGATCACTAAGCATTTGCCGAAATTTGCAAACCTTTGTTGTGCGCGACAAATTGATGTCAGGTTTCATCATTGGTAACCTGCTCAAAGCTGCCGCCAACTCACACAATAGCATTGGTTTTATTGTACCTGCAAGCGCCTCAGATATTTGGAAAAGCATCCTGGACAAGCAGAAGTTTAGAGCCGGAGCCATCTCAGTTCGATGTGAATTCGACGACGAAGCCAATGAATTCAATACAGCAAGCTCAATCTCTGACAATACAATCGACGATCTGATCGCATCAGAGGGTTATCAATCTTGCAGCATTGAACCTCTCCCTGAATCTTTCATTGTCAAGAATCTTGGAAACACCGTTGCCAGCATAGGACATTCATTTGCCGGATGTATCATTTGCTTTGAGGAAGTAAAATTCCTCATTACTAGCTTTGATGCATTCGTGCATATCCAGAATGCCGATGATTGCTCCTTTGATAACAAGTGGATCAACAAAAAAACATTCGCCAAGCTGCATCACAAATTTGAGAAGGGAAAAAACTTCTTCGAAGTTTCTGTAATCCTACACGGATGCGTTGAGCTGCTTGCTGTTGGTGGCCTTGTTGCTTTGAAAGGAAAGCCTGTTGATGCCTTTTTGGGCTCATCAGTAAAGCCGCTTAAGAACAGTTCAGTAGTTGACGGAGACCGTTTAAGCAGCAAGATCTTTATCAACAAGCACGGCCAGCAAGTCATTCGATCAGAACGTCTCCTGCGTCAGTATTACAAGGAAGATTGCTGTAACTTATGGTCCTTCCATTTACAGGCAACCCACGATATGGGATTTTTCCCTATCAACCCACTGAATGCCGACAATCACCCATCTGTCAATTCGATTGCATTAAGCCTCCAATCGTTCATCATCAACAGCTTCGCACGAAGACAGGTGGATCGCTCTGATTTGGAAGCGTTGTTGCTTAGAGTAGGAGATTCAGCAGACTTCATGAAGAGAAGTTTGAAGTTGGACGAATTCAATGGCGCAACATTTGGCGCTATCTATGATGCCATTACAGAGGAAGGAAAGTGGAAGGAGATGGTAAAGATAGTGAAGATGCTAGAAGCAGGAGAGATCAGTTTGGGTAGCAGCAAAGAGGAAATTGTAGCCAACAAGAGAATGGTGCTTAGTGTTGGAAACAGAGGCTACCTTAAAGCGTTATCAGATTTGAACGACAAGAACGTAGAAATAGCAAAATCGAGAATGTCAATGTAGGAGAGACGACCATGTACATACAATAAAGTTGCTTTTTTCTATACAGAATCAAACATAGACTTTTAATAATGAAAGACTTGTGTGAGTTGGTTCATTGACAAAAAACAGATTCTTGGGAGAGTAGACTACGTACAATTGTCCAGCACGAGTTACATAGTGAGATTCAATGCAGGTCTTGAAAAAGGACGATCCTTTAGATAGCAAAGGTGTGCATAAATGCTATATTTTCAACAAAAGCACAGCTGGCACTTTAGGTAATGATTCATCTCTTTGTACAAGACAATGTTTGCATGCTAACACATTTCAAAGCATTCTTCATCTCAAATCCCTCTCGCAACGGTGGATCTCTCCGTCGTATCTGGACTTTCTTTCCTCAAGGGATGGATTACACCTACCCTTTAACTGTCAGGATTTCACCTCAACATCATTCATCGAGTATAAACTTTGAACTCTCTTACGTGGCGCATTGCTCATCCTATCTCCAGGAGTTATCGAGAAGTAGATCTTTCGATCTTCACGAAACATTAGTATTAAAGCAACTAGATGAATAACAGCAAGTGCACATGCTGCTCTAATAAAACTGTTCTGCCCTTTAACATTAATCGTTTGCGTGTGTGTAATTACCCTTGGTCTCAGGGCAGAATGATCTGAAATACGCACGGTTCTGTCACTAATTGCATCAGGTTTTCACAAAGCAATGATTGCGGAAATCGCACCCAAGGAAGGCCCACAAGATCAGTAAAACAATACAGCGAAAGCTCTTAATGTAATGGAACCCTATAATCGGCTTTGTTGTGCCTTTGTAAAGGACAAATTTAGCACAACTGTCGGAAATAGGCCACTAGACAGGCAAAATCGGCTAACTTCACCACTTTCGAGGCTATTTCTGCAGGATATCGGCCATCTCTAACGCTCAAAATCATACAGTGAGGCCGGCCAATATTGGTGGTTTGTGAAAATATTTGTAAGTTACTCAGATCGTGGCAATAGCGAAAAATACTGAATCGGGTTGGGTGAATAGGCTTGCAAATCAGCTTCTACGTAACAACATTGCTTGCTGAAGGGCTCTATGTCATGCTTGAACTGGCGTCCGTACCAATACCATCAAGCGTACATGATATGAAGGCATTCATTGCCAATTTGGAAGACTTGATGCCTTTACGTGCCATTTACAAAAAATGCATCCAAATTGATAGTAATGTCCAGCAATTCCAAAAAGAAGGTGCAAGTCTCCAAACTCTCTCAAGCTTTCTCAAGTCAGGCAAAGACCGAAAACGACATTGCTCTTTTGTTTTCAATCACTGAATGCAACAAGAATTGGAACTATTTTGGAACATTTTCTTGAACAACTTTGGAACACTTTTAAAAAAAACATTGGGACTTTTTCAGAGAAAATAGGATTCATTTATTACAAAGGCTCTTTCGCTAAACAAACATCGAATTTCTTAACAGAGTAGCGAGCAGAACCTTCAAGATCACTGTACAACACATCATTGCATGCATCGGTAATCCTGGTCGAAAGTGTTTCGGTTTTTAGGAGCCTCTCCCTCTTGAGTTTGCTCTTAACCACATGCCAGAATTGCTCAATAGGATTGAGCTCAGGGGAGTATGGTGGAAGGTAAACACATCTGTAACCTCGCTGAATGATATACCTTTCAATATCCTTGGCTGTATGAATGAGCGCATTGTCCATAATAAGATAAAAATCTTTGAATTGCTCATGTTGGTCCATGATGTCCATTGTTTTCGCAACAAAATTGAAGTAATGTCCAGTTACAGTACCAACGCTTGCGGTTGCTTTTCCAGAAGACGTGCCAGCTAGCTTTCTTTTTTTGTTCGATGTTCCAGGTAGCCTCACTTGAACATTCAACACCCCCCCACACACTAGTTGCACCAAGAATAGTTGTAGTTTTGGCTCTTGTTTGAGGGACAATCACTTCCGCTCGACTTCCTCTCTCTGACCACGCCATTGTTCGCTTCAGGTTGATATGGAAAGCTGATTCATCAATGAAAACACAGTTGGACATGTAATCCATGTCGGTTTGGCTCCATTTGACCACCCAGTCATACCGGGTTTGAATGTTCTCTGGCGAGTTTCTTTCTTTGGAATGAAAATGAGCCTTCTTGAACGTCAGGGCAAGATCATTCGTCATGTAATTGTAAATAGTCGTTTGACTGACAGCCAAACCTGAGAAAGCCTTGACAAGACTATCTTGAGCTTGTTCAATCGTTACTGATGGATTATCCTTGAATTCTTGTTTTAGATGCTCCGTATGATCTTCGTTCAATAGTTTTGGTCGACCTTTTCTCTTTACTGAAGGCTCTTCATCGTCTTCAATTTCTCCGTTAACCATTTTTTGATCCTCTGCGTACCATCTATAGGCGGTTGACCTTGATATATGGCCATGGGCTTTCCAAGCTTGACTAGGATTCATGCCATGGTCGTAGATAAGGATAAAGAACCTTGCCTTGTCTTTGTCTGTGTAGCTGTTGTATTCAATCTTGGGTTCATTCTTCTTATTTTTAATCTTGCTGTCCTTGACTACGGTCAAGTCTTTTTAGGTGGTTTGCTATCAACGTAAGTATTGTAGTTGGTGATGTTGCCGAGAGGGAAGGCTTCGTCGTCTACATCCATCTCAACAGCTTCGTTTCCGTGCTCATCGACTGGAGCATTTATTCCGTCTTCGTAGTAAATCCTGATATCTGACATGTTATGAAATAAGGAAAAAGCAGTTATGATTTCATCCCAAGTACCATTTAGTTTTGTCTCATTATAATTTCAAAAAGTGTCCCAATATTATTTAGGCAAGTGTCCCAAAACAGTTCAAGATTTGTACCAATTTTTTCTCGAAAGTAGGTGCTCTCAATCTGCTGTCGTATTCTGAGAAAGGCAAATATATTCACTAAAATGGGCAACAAAAAAAAAGCTCAAATTATGTAATACTATCGGCTTTCGAGTGTTTTATTGGATAATATCTAAAGTCAGCACTTGTATTTCCTTTTTCAGCTGAATATTTGAGCTTTTGCCCCTCGTATTCATCCGATTAGGAAATGCTTTTATTATACATTTTTAGTAACTTGTTTTGCCTTTCTCAGAATACGACAGCAGATTGAGAGCACCTAGTAGTACCAATTTTTTTTCAAAATGTCCCAATAATTTCTGAAAATAGTGTACTTAAGCCCAATAAAAAAAAACGAATTTCACTTCGACAAAAGCGAATTTGACTGTAAACAAAAGCGAACTTTGAGTGTTACAAAAGCGAATTTGGGCTATTTACAAAAGCGAACTTTGGCCAATAAAAAAGCGAATTTGAAAAGCGAATTTGAGTCGGAACCAAAACGAATTTATATTTGAAAAAGCGAACTTTGGGCTTGGAGCCACTGTACAGCGCTTCTGCTATCAAATCGTACATTTCAAGTTTGGTGGATTTGAACTTAATTTAGACCATTTCTCAAACTTCAATTGACACATATTATGAACTTTAGCCTGAATATCTATACCAGTGATTTCTTCAATCTCACTCCCAATCAGCTTTTTCAACTTGTAATTGGGAATATTTGTTTATTATTTAGCAAATTCAAATGTTTTTCTGCTGCAAACTTCGCTTCAAATACGGCTGTTTTTGATGACAACGGTGGTGATGTATTGGCAGAAGCAACGACTTTCCATTTATTGGTTGCCGAAAATTATTTTGAGTAGTGGACGGTGTGCGTGTGTCTTAACGTCTGACTTTTTTTAATGATGCGTAACACGTAAATACTTCATTAGACTCTAAAAAAAACATCTTTGTTTCGTTTTTGCATTGGTTCTATTTGCACAAGGATTGAAATACGAGTAATAGATATATCAGAATGCCCTCCATTGGTTGTTTTTGAGCCCAAAGTAATTTCCAACTGTCTCAATTCAAAGCAAGCTTTAAGCATAATTCACTCAATTGTGACTTTACAAAAGAGCATACAAAAGGTTTTGGTGATACTTTTTTTATTTATTTCGTACTTTTTTTTTTTACTGCAGCAACAATGCTTACCATTCAGCAATTCAGAAGACCCCAAACCGCCAAGCATGTCTTGCAAATCATAAAGAGTACGGCTATTAACCGACATTCCTCTTGCTGCCACAAAAAAAAGGAAGAAAAATTATCTGTCACCGAGTCTAAATTTTGGTTAGACCCTGTCACTTGGCAGAGAACTAGAATTAACACACTGCGGTAAGTCCAATGTTTCAACTTTTTTTTAATATATATGGTCTATTCATACGCATGTGCTTAGCTGTCTTGTAGGTTGTACTGCTGGAGATTTCTCTACCATGTGGTATTTACAACTGAATTATCCCGAGCTATCCCCTCTTACTAGCACTGCAGCAGCCATGGTATTGCATTGAACTCAAAAAATCATAAATAAGCCGAATTAATTATAATAATACGTCATTGTGCTTCTTAGGTTGCTGGCATATCTACATCACTTGCATTGGAGACTGTGTTATTGAAGAGATCAATGCAAGTACCTTACCCCGCAGCGTTCAAGACGGCTATGGGAATGAGCTTTGTCTCCATGCTTGTGATGGAACTTTCCGAAAACTTGATGGATTGGCACCTCATGGGTGGACAGGTTTTATTTCATGATCCCAAGTTCTGGATGGCTGCAGCTGTTAGTACAGCTGCTGGATTTGTGGTCCCTTTACCTTATAATTATTGGAGATTAAAGGCCCTTGGAAAATCTTGCCATTGAAAGTTTTTTATTATTATTCAATGTGCATCGTATCTAATAAACTCGTGGTCATTTTACCAAGTGTTTCTACGGGTATGGATTAGTGTTTTTATATAACTGTTTTATTAAAAAAATACTACCTTCTACATCTGCCAAAGAGGTATCCTTTTTTGCAGCAATCAGATACATTTCTGTAAAATCATCCATATCTTCATCTCTAGAGAATTCATCTAAAGAAGACCTATTCTCATGGATGGCAGTATCTAAATCTTCTTCTTCGGTTGATCTTAATGTGTTGTAGAGTCGATGACCTGCAATCCAATGGTTTGCTGTAGATCGGGTATAAACCTCGCTGGTATGAGGTATCTTCTCAAAATCTTCTCTTACTTCCAGTAATTGCAAAATCATGTCATTTGTCACTTGGATCGTTGTCTTTTTATCCTTGGGAGATTTCGCTAAGGATGGTGGATCAATCATGGTAGATTTTATGTTAAGTGTTGTATTATCATAATAAAAACATTTATAATTTTTTCCAAGATTAAGGCTAGATTGTACATGTGTGTGGGTTTTGTTAGATGTGTATAGATATGGGCTAGTCAGCTTACCTCTTTTCTTGCATACTAGTGATATTCTCATTCAAAACATCCGTCAACTGATCCAACTTTTTCTCACCCATATAATTTTCAAGCTCGATATAGAACAACGGATCGGAAATCAGATCCTCCGATTTGGATGTGGCTGGTAGCAAGTAACTCCAAACTAGATTGCTTTTGTGCTAGCATGAAAGTTAAGGTCTGATGACTTTTGTTATGAAAATGATGTGTAAAATTATACCTTGTAGATTAGCAAATAATATTGTAGTAATGTGTCATTTTGTTCACCATTTTTATCACTTGATATATGTACACGTATTAACTCTGATCTTGTTACAGGTCTCTCTTCTCCATTCATACCAATGGCCATCTTTTCAATGAGCCCTGTCAAAAATATACCCTGACCCGTCATATCTGTTACTGATGATCCATCCGGCGAGGTAGGTTCAGTTGGTATATCTGAGATAGCAGGTAGTCCAGAGTTTGTTGAATCTTCTGTACTAATGGAGGCTGGTGTAGATGAAGCCACTGTATCGGTTGATTTTGAGCCAACTGAGAAATAGTTGAGTATTTGCGAGGTCGATATCGATTTTGTGAAGGCTTTTAACCCCGAAGGTTTCACTTCTTTTTTTAATGAGGACTCGATATCCAGCTTAGCCTTTTCTTTCTTGAGGTACTTCTCTACTTTTTTCAACACATATTTTCTCAACGAGCAAACGTCGTTGATTAATAGGGTAGGGGATCGGTATACTAATCCACCATCTTCCAGATTCAATACGAACAAATGACTAATATGATTTTCGAACTTTGTTTGAACGGCTTTGTCTAATTCATTCACACGCAAATAATTGTTGCGTAATACAGGCTGAACAGGCACACCATTAAATACTGCAGTAAAGCACATGGTATCTAATCGGTCGAAATCCCACTTCCAAATCCATTCCGAAAAAAACTCTTCAATAGCGTGCATCAATGCTCTGGTTCTTTGACGAGTCGGCTTTTCGACACTATCTCCGAATAAAAGATAGGTAAAGGTACCGTTCAATAACTGAGAACGTATTAGCCATTTTTAAAAAAAAAAAAATTGTGCATAAATACGTGTTTTCAACCCCGTTCAGTATAGTACCTTAAATTGCTCGTATCCGATCTTTAGAACGGCCTCCAAAGCCTTGTCATTCAACTGAGAGTCCAAGTATTCTGTTACTAGCTTTTCTTTTCCTTTCGAATCCTTTATCTGTTTCCGGGAAACACCCAACTCTACACACATGTGTATCCAAAATCCAGGTTCAGGTTGTAAAAAGATCATTCTGTTTTTCTGTGAATGAACGTTTTGAGTCGGATGGGAAGGTGAGAAAGTGCTAGATGAAGTGGTCATGAGTATAAATATCTCTTGAATGCGCTGCGCGAGAAAAAAAAATAACTTACGACGTAAAGTTTACGAGAGCTTGAGCCAAGCCAATCTGTTTCATTTTTACATCGGCTGGAACGACTTTTTTTGCAGTATAATACAAGATCTGGTCTTTGGTGTTTTCTTCGGATTGCCCCAATGAAGGATTGTAAACACAAAAATAGGATAATGTAGGCGAGTTTTTACCCAATCTTGGTAAAACAAAGGAGTCATCCTTATTGATACTTTGAATATCTTGACTGGACATGATTTGTTTGAGGAAAGGATAAACAAAAAAAAAAAAGAGAGAAAAGGGAGGGAGTTACAAAATTTATAAACGCAACAGCCTCGTATCAGAATAGCAGCAGCAGCAGCAGCAGCAGCAGCAGCAGTTTGAAAATAGGATGAATGAGCATGATTGATGATGTTTGTTGTTAATCCCCTTCGACGTAACCAGCTGATATCTCATTGGTTTAAATCCGAGGTCGAAAATGTAATCAACAGTGTTTGGTGGTCACCACTCATTTTGCAACGAGGTCCTGTCTATATAAAGAAACAATTTATTTTTCGGCCCTTTTTTCTCCTTTTCTTTTCTTTAATTTTTTTATTTATTTAAAATAATGATTATCAACGAGTACAGAATCCCCATGAATTGTACTCAATCCGAGTACCAAGTAGGTAAGGTTGCTTATCTCTCATCTATAGCTATCATGATACTAAACGACCAAAAATAAGCACAATTATATGCTACTGCTTTTGCTTCCAAGGAACAGACTGGTGGTGGCGAAGGTGTGGAAATCGTAAAGAATGAGCCTTATGAAAAGGGAAATGAAAAGGGTCAATACACTTACAAGATTTTCCGTCTTGCTTCTCGCGTTCCTGCTGTTGTAAGAGCTGTAGCACCTGCTGGTGCGTTGGATTTGTATGAAGAGGTAAAAAGGAAGAGGAAATGCTTGTAACTCAATTAAGTGCTAATACCTTCCTAATGATCTAATATAGGCTTGGAACGCATATCCCTACTGTAAAACAGGTAATTGATTATATTACTCTATTTTAAATAATGTATGCTAATCATTCTTTATAGTGCTTAAAGTAAATCACTGTGGAAAGAATATTGATTAATTGAGAACTAACAGATTATTTAGAATGGTTATATGAAGGACAGTTTTTCAATTGTTTACGAAACCTTGCATGTTGATGAATCACGAGGTGAGATTGAAAATGCACTTAATATATCAAAGGAAGGTAAGATTCGTATGATGCAGTGAGGGATCCCAGAGAAATAGACACTAAATTATCTGGTATGATAGATTTGAAAAAGAGAAATGTCATTATTATTGACATTGCCCACGACAAAATTCCTTCTGGTGATTATAAGCCAGACGAAGATCCTAAGTTATTCAAGTCAGAAAAGACAAACCGTGGACCCTTGACAGACCCCAATTGGCAAAAGACAGTTGAGCCCGTTATGACTTGTTACAAGCTTGTCTATATCGAGTTCAAATGGTTTGGTATTCAAGGCAAAGTTGAAGCTTTCCTTGCAAAGACCGTTCATACTTTATTCACAAAGTTCCATCGCCAATTATTTTGTTGGACTGATAAATGGTATGGTATGACCATTCAAGATATTCGTGATTTAGAAGCAAAGACCAAGCAAGATTTAGACGCAAAGAGAAATGAAGGTGAAATCGTAGCTAATAATTTGGGTGATTTGTAATTTTCAAAATAAAACTGAGTTTTTTTTTTTTTTTTTTTTTTTTTTTTTGTGCGAAGCGGTGCTAGGGTGCAACTTTAAAGAAAACAAGGGCGTTTTATACCTATTAAAAATATCTTTTCATTCTTTTTATCTTTTACAATGTCAAACATGCAACTTTATGTCTGGGGTCCAGCTTTAAATGCTCCCTCCATTGATCCCAAATGTGTAGTCATTGAATCTTACCTACGTCTTGTTAAGCAAGACTACACAGTTGTCACCTGTAATAACCCTCAGACAAGTCCCACAGGTAATGCGCATATTTATTTTTCTTTCTAGGTTACCTCATTCCTAACACTTTAAATCAAAATAGGTGAACTCCCTTTGCTCAAGCATGGTTCTATTTGGGTTGCTGGTGCTGACCGCATCTTGACTCATTTAGCCAAGCATGGTAAAGACGCCAATAAAGACTTGACTCCCGAACAAAAAGCAGAATACTTTGCGTAAAGTCTCATTAAAAAAAAAAAAAAACTTTTTCCCAAAGGCTTAAATGTACTCATATTTATTTAGCTATGCTACACTAGCACAAGAGAAGCTTTATGACTGCATGGTAAGAATTAGCATGATGTTGTGAAGCAGCTGTCAAATTAACATGCGTGTGTATTTATCATTCCTTAGCTTTACACCTGGTATGCCGATTCGACTAACTTCATTAAAAACATTCGTCCTACATACGCAACACTTTTATCGTTTCCTTCTCGTTATCTTGTCCCCGTTCAACTGAAGAAAAGCGCCAAAGCTAGATTAGCTAAATACAATGTTGAAATCACAGCCGACGATGCTGGCTTACCTCAAAACGAAAAGGAAGAAATGAAGGAACTATTAAAGTCTGGCTGGCATCAAGTAAAAATAATTGGATTGGAACAGAAATGGATATGTTTGCTAACCTGGTCTTATAGATGTATCAATTGGCTAGAGAAACATATGGCACTTTACAATCCCAATTAAACGAGAAAGATTACATGTTTGGTGATGATGCTACAACATTAGATTGCATTGTATTTGGATACCTTTCATTGCATTTGTACCCAGATTTGGCGCATAAACGATTACAACACATCTTGACCACCGAATACCCATTACTCGCGACTTACTGCGATCGCATGAAAAATCTTTTATATTCCGAAGAACAATCACATATTGAATCTGAACCTTCAGAAGACGTGCCTTCGCTCTGGAAAACATTTATAAATAACCCTACTGGATTTTTGGGCACTGTCAAGGATGATGTCGTTTCTTATATGGGAACAAGCGAGGATAAAAAGGAAAAGAGTAAATCTCAAGTCGATTTTGAACGCAAGCGTATTTGGTCCATTGCAGGTGGCCTTACTTTCTTTTTAGCGTATGTCATTTACAATGGTATACTCAGTATAGATATTAGTGATGAAAGAGATGATTTCTATGACAGCGATGAAGAATACGAGGAGGAAGATTAAGCAATACATAATAAAACAATATTTGAAACTGTTACACGAGCAGACGCCTTCCATCTTTTTTTTTTTTTTTTTTTTTTTTTTGACAACTTTTTCTTTTCTTTTCTTTTCTTTTCTTTTCTTTTCTCTCTTTTTTTTTTTTTCTCAGCACAAATAGCATGAAGGCCGAGTCAAAGTCAACACCTTTAGGTAATACCATGGATAGGGAAAACCTTCCAAGTCAACCTAGAAGTGTTTCTTTAGAGGCTGCGGATACTACTGACCTCCCGGAGTCCGAAGAAAACACGACTTTCACAAGTGTTGAAACTTCCATTGACACCGTTCCCAACCAGAACACTCTTACTTCAAGTGAAAATAAGGCGCTGCATCCAGGTAAACTTATAAAGTCAAAACAATAGAAAAAATAAAGACTTAGCCTTCCCTCTTTGGTAGGGGTTGTATGTAAAATATGTCAAAAGTACATAAGCTGTAAAGATACTCTAGTAAGGCATATCCTATTTAGACATAAGTTGACGAAGAGAGACCAGGATGGAAATATAATTATACCCAACCTTGAAGATCCAAACTTCATTTGTCAACCTTGTAATCAAGTGTATGATACCAAATCAAACTATCTTAAGCATCTCCAAATAAAACATGCATTTGTTATTGAGGTAAAATTAATGCAAAATTAACTACAACAATTAGAAACTGATTCTTTATATCCAGTCCAAGCTTCAGACGCTTATTTGCCCCACTTGCTTGAAATTGTTCGGCTCCAATCAAGAATACTTCGCACACATGAGTGAGGTAGAGAATCGAGTTCTCTGTTATCCAGGCCAAAAAAAAAGTGAGGCCTTTTGTGATGTGTGTTGCACTGTATTTAGCCATCAGAGTAACCTTCTGTACCATATTGAAAAATATCACAAGCAGCACCCGAGAAGACGGAAGTCGCAATTTTATTGTCAGTCATGCGATCATTACTTTTATACTTACTATTCATTATGCAAGCACCGCACCATTTTACATAAAGTTTCACCGGAAAATATCCATCGGCTCATGCATGTCCAAGTAGAAGATATGCCTAAATCAGAGTATAATATGTCCAGCGCTGACAGCACAACCACATCCAAAAGTCTGTCCGAGGTAGAACCTGATTCTGAGGAAGGTTGTAAGTCGGCTTTAAATCCAGAACACATGACAGTAAATATAAATAAGGGAGACACTATAGATTTATATTGCAGACCATGCGAGAAGTACTTTGATTCGTTAGTAGCATACCGCAGTCATCTCCAAGATATTCATAAGGCATCTCTAGGACCCAAAGTTTCGAATTCAAGATTAGTGTTTACAAGATCTCAAGTTAGCTCATCTGAACCTAGAAAAGCAAAGGCTTTTGATGAACTGGGTTGTCCCATGTGTGATAATCAAGTTGCCTCAGAGGAATCGTGTAACAATCTTGTAAAAGGGGCGCAAGAGACTTCTTCTAATGATAAAGATATGAAGATCATAAAAAATTACAGTCTACAAAGATTTAACCTATCCAAACCAATCTCTGAAAAACGGCAGCAAGAAAACGGATTATTTGTATGTAGCGACTGCGGTAGTTTATATCTCAAAGAAAGTAGTCTCGATCGGCATCTCCTTAAAGCTCACGAGGGGACTCCAAAATATGCTTGTAGCCATTGTAACCGGAAATATCGCCGAATGGGTTTTTTACGTAAACATATGGAAGTGTGCCATGTTGAGGAAAACGGATCTATCCCACACGCAAAAACCATAAACGAAAGTTCAGCCACTTACTGTTCACTATGCAAACGTAACTATTCAAGCTTCGATTCATACAATCATCACAGAAGATTTTTGCACAACAAAAAACACGTAGCAACAAAAAACCAGTATTTTCGTATTAGTAAAACGAGAATAAATAACCTGAGGACAAGGTCAACCAGTTTTTCGAGTTCTTTCAATAGCACCGAAAATTCCAGCAAGACACGCGGTATCCGTCTTCACAACAGAAGTTTAAAGATTCAAACCTTAAAAACAGCATCACAAAGAGGTGGCCAACACAGAATCGCTAGCACGGTAAAAAAACCCTCTGAAGAAACCTTTAAAAGCGATCAGGAAGAAACAAGAGAGTCTAATACAAAGACAGAACCAAAACCAAGGGAACAACCCAATTTTAATGATCCCAACAATTATTGCTTGTTATGTAAGCTATCTTATTCTTCTAGGGCTATATACTTGATCCATTTATCTCAGACCCACGATATTGAAAAGGATCCCAATGAATCACCAGAACATGACGCCGCTTCTACTGTTGATATTCTGGGCGTTCTTGATCCTGCATCTTGCAACACCGCTCTACCAAACCCATCCACTTTTACCAGTATTACTGAGAAAGTCCACCAGAAAGAAGAAATGGCGTCACAAAGTGCTCCCAGCCTAGCCGAAGAAGAGTATTATTATGTTCCTGGTTATTCCGACCCTGTAAATCAATCCGGTGTCCAAGCTCATGAAACAGTCTATGACATAATGTCAATACCAGTTCAAGAAAAGCAGCCAGCTCCAACCACGTTGTATACATCACCCCTTCAATTACATCCTACTTGCCCTTGTCTTAAGACATTTAAAAGCCAAGAAAACTACATCATCCATATGACTGGATTTCACAAAAATATGTTATTAGAACATCATTCCCAAACTGAAACAATAGGAATTTCTGACGCCCAGCTAGACAATATGAAATATGCTTCTGGCACTGCGACTTCTACTAGTCAAAGCTACGTCGATGCTACAAAGTCAATACCTCAACAACCAAGATATGATAGTCAAACGATTATACGACAAACTTGCGTTACGAGTAACCTACCAAATTCTAGTTGTGGTTCTTCATACAATCCCTATATTCCAATTCAACCAATGATCAGTGTCAATCAAGGACAATTATATCAAGTACCAACATTTACTTCAAAACGACAAAAGATGGACGAACCCACGGTCCCGAGAGAACCTGAAATGATATCTTGCGAGGTGTGTAACATTAGCACTAGTTCTAAATATCACCTTAGCCGACATCTCAAAATGGGTCATAGTGTGATCCAAAAGGTGCTTGTCTTATCTTGCCGACCCAACAGTGAAATCCAACCTGACGCCAATGAACTCGATACTGTTTATTGTAAATCTTGCGATTACCGATTCGAGTCTGCCAATGTATACAGAAAGCATTTAATTGATATACATCAGCTAAATGTAAAGCCTATTTCTGAGGATGATCCTACGGTATATGGATGGTATGAACTGGACGACTTGAGTAATGTATATTGCAAGGTCTGCGAACACATGTTTTCTGTACATCCATCTTTCTTACGTCATATGGCTGCATTTCATGATGTCGACTTGGAGAATAGGGAGACTAACATTCAACAAAAATTATAAGCATTTTTTATCGTGTTAGTCCTAAGATAGCATATGAGGCATGAATTTTATTCATTATTGAATATCAATAAAATAAGTATTATTGCATGAAAATATAACCAAAGGCATTGAGCGGGGGAATCTTTCATTTGTTATTACTGAACTTTTTTTTATAAAAATATGCGTGATTTAACTTTTTTTTCTTTTTGCTTTGATACACAGTTATAGAAAATGAGTTCTTTAGATTTCGAATACCCGTCCTTGTTTGATTTTCCTCCTTTCTTTACGTACGTTCTCACTTGATTACTTTTTGTGGTCGGTTTGAGGATATACACATCGTATTAAACCATCCTTTCCTGCTTTTTTATTTTATTTTTTTAGTCGACAAATTACAGATTCGACATGGAAGAGTCAAGTGTCTCAATGGGAAACATTCATACTTGCTTACACACGTCACAAGCATTTGTTTAGAATCGATGTACATCAAGCTACTGCACCGGGAGGAATAGAGATTTTCGAGAATAGAAAGATTAATCGACGTCTGTCTTTTGAAACCTTACAAGAAATTATTGAAGAAATGGTCCAAAAGGGTAATACAAGTGTAGTTATCTATATGAAAAAAAAAAATATACTTATATTTACCATCAAACTAGGTACGGCAGAATGGGAAGGTGGTAATAAGGGTCCAAGGAGTGAAGCGTTAATATACTGGCATACACCTGACGAGTGGGCCAATTTGATTTGGAACTGGGTAAGAAGTGCTTACATAAGAAACATTTACGAATAAATCCATCTTACATGTTCTACAAAAAATAGATCAATGAAACAGGCCAAAATAATCAGATTGTAACGTATTACGAAATAGCTCATGGCGAATTAGCAGAAGGACAAGGTAACTTTAATTTCAATAGGGTGTAAACACGTAAAACACAGATTAACAAGTACCATTTATATATAAAAAAAAATACAACAGAATTTTATGAATTAGATAAAGCACTTTTAAACAAGGCATTAAATATTCTTGTTAAAAGAGGAAATGCGCAAATCTTTAAGGGAACAGATGAAGATAGTATGGGTGTAAAGTTTTTTGGATCACAATAAAAAAATTATAAAGGACGTGTTTCCTTCTTTAACCAAGCAACGGCAACAGGATCCGAAGCAATCAAAGGAGATAACTTTTCGACACATTCATTGTGATAGTCATTCACCCATTTCTTTTCAGCAGGAGACAACATGGTTTCATCAATCAAGTTCAATCCGATAGGAGCAATGGTGACATGTTCAAAGCCAAGGTAGTCGCGATCTCCAAAGTTATGAGGGGTGTTCTCTTTGCGAATGATCAAGACATTTTCAATACGAATACCGAATTTACCATCCTCATAGTATCCAGGCTCGTCTGTCACAGTCATACCAACAGCCAAAGGTGTGTTGTTATAAGGTGGTCTTACACCGATACCATGAGGTCCTTCATGAACGTTCAAAAATGATCCAACACCATGTCCTGTACCATGACGATAATCAAGTCCTTGTTTCCAAAGGGGCATTCTAGCAAATGGATCCAAAAGATAACCAGTGGTTCCAATAGGGAATACAGCCGTATCCAAACCAATATGACCTTGTAAGACAGCAGTGAAGCACATCTTTTCATATTGTGTGGGAGTACCGAAATGAAGTGTTCGAGTGACATCAGTAGTGCCATCTTTATATTGAGCACCAGAATCACATAAATAAATTTGATTAGGATCAATCACCTTACAGTTTCCTCTCTCGGGTTCATAATGAATGATAGCCCCGTTGGGACCTGTTGAGGAAATGGTAGGGAAAGAAAGACCGACAAAATCTTGTTGAGAGGCACGCAACTTCTCAAGGTGATCTCCTGCTTGCACCTCATCTAATTGTGTACCTGCCAACAATTCCTTTTCGAGCCAAGCAAAGTATTGCACCAAGGCAGCACCATCACGAATATGACAATCACGCATACCCTTTAACTCTTGTTCATTCTTGATGGCTTTGGCATCGTTAATGAATGAACGTTCATCAACCACGTTGTCAGATCCTACTGCAGCCTCAATGGCCAAGCTTGTACTACCGTCAATCAAAAACTTTTGGGGTAAAGAGACAAGATGTTCCTTGAATGAGATTAAATCGGAAAAGATGGCATCATAAGGCTTTAAATGGATACCATGAAGATGTTCGCGAACTGCTTCAGTTAATTTTTCAGCATTAATGTAAAGCGTCGTATCCTCTTGTGTGACAATGGCATAAGAATAAAATACAGGATTACAGTCGACATCAGAACCTCTCAAGTTAAACAACCAAGCAATTTCATCCAAAGCAGATACAATAACACCGAATTGATCCTTTTCCTTGAGATGTTGACGCACTTTCTCGAGCTTTGCTTCGTGTGATTCCCCTGAATATTCAATAGGGTGTACAAACACCTTGTCGTGAGGAGGTGTGGGTCTCTCGTTTCCCCAAGCAAGATCCACCAAGTTATGCACGACGGGAACGAGTGTAGAATTGACAGTATCTAAGCGAGTTTGAAGATCATGAGCATCAGCAACAGTGGTTAAGGTAGCATCTAAGCCAATACGAGAACCTGCAGGAAGTCTCTGATAAATTAAAAAGAGGTGTTACAAGATGGTTTTCTCATTTTTTTAAATAATGTGATACACATACGGTAACAAGGTATTCCTGCCAAGTAGGCACACCAGGGAGTCCTTGCTTCATTAAAACCCAATTGTCATCGAGTTGTTCGCCTGCTTGTAAAAAGTATCTACCATCGGTGAATAGGGCGGCTTCATTGTTGGACACAATGGCAAACCCAGCAGATCCACTGAAACCAGAGATCCATTGACGTCTTAAATCGGACTCGGCTGCGTATTCACTCTAAAAAGAAATAAAGGTTAGTTTTCTCTGTCGTCAAGTCATTCCTTGGTCTCCCTTACTTGGTGAGCATCCTCTGATGGAATTAAACTATGAAGAAGAGGATGGTTAACAAGTGTGAAAAAAAAAAAAAAGTGGGAGGGACAACAAAACCCTAAAAATCATTTACAAGGCATCGACGTCTTGATGTTCGGTATGAAATAATGCTCGAAGAGCCTTCAAGCGTTCTCCAGTATGCACAGTCATTTTTGTTGTATTAGGGAAAATGAAACGCGAAAAAATATGGATGAAGCGCGCTAAACCGGGCAATTTATCGTAGCATTTATTCGGGTGCCACAATGATTTTTTCTTAAAAAAAAAAAGTCATAATTTATTTACAATTGTGTATGATTTAAGATATTGTAAGTGGGTAATAAAAAGTGAGTTTACTTTTGAACGCTATAAAGAGCACGAGCCTTATTTTCTAATTCACTTTGATCCTTTCCTTTATCCAACCATAATTTGAAAGCGTCCTTTCTTGATACATCTGTGATAGCATCTTGTTTTGTTGTGCGATAAAACACATCTTCTGTCCCGATCACATAGAACATGTGATATGTGTTAGCACATATCTTGTATTGTAAATCAGGTCGATTGAAAGCATCCTTTTCTTCGTTATTACACTGCATCAAATTTCTATTTCAAAAGAAGTGAGTCTAATGGTAATAAATAGTCTTCTTCTTTCTGTACCTCTTTAAAAATTGCTTTTCCATCGCTTTACGGTCTACCCCCGGAGTTTCATGCTCCCAATCAACATAATTAGCAACATAATTGGTATAACCATCTGAATCATTTAATTCAAATGTCTCATCATCTTTTCCTAATAACTGAATGGATAATGTTCGACTGCAAGTATCAAATGCTAAATTATACAGGTTATCATCTGCTCCTAAAGCTTCAGCTACTTCCAATCGATATGCTTGTGTCAACTCGGGTGATCCCTTTTCATGTTCATGGTTCTTTTTAAAGAAGGACAATAACTCCTGGGCTTTTGGCTCTGTCACAATTTGATGTAGCTAATTCATAACATTTAGTCCAACTTTTTTTAAATGTATATATATTTCCAATTACCTGACGCATGATGGATAGCATCAACTTATCAATTGTAAACATGATATATGCTTTCGTACCAAATATATATCTTGCACATTCCTCAAACACATGTTGATCCAGTTCGTCATCAAAGAAACGATCAATCAACTTCAGCAGAGCATTGTAGTAACCTGATTTAAAATCCATTTCGATCGCTTCAAAAGCAAACATTTTTTTAGCATTATTTTTCTTTTTACTTCGCACATGCCTAATGTTTATGTACTCACAGTTAAATGTGGCGGTAGTGATATTTAATTCAAGTGCAGCCTTATTCATCAACTTTGTCTTTTCGGGATCCATTCTATACTCTCTATCCAACTGTTTCATCTTATTTAAGCGTTCATAGCATTTCTAAGTGAAAAAAAAAATGATCAACATGACATGTTCACATATAAAAAAAAAAACATTGATCGCCTTACCTGAAACAGCCTAAAGAAGCAATAGAATGTGGTGTTTCCAAAGAGATTATAAATCTTATGGTCCTTGCTAGGCTCTTCATCCTCTTCTTCGATCTCCAACGGTATCACCTCCTTCTTCACTTCCGTCATTTTCTCTAACGCTGAAGGTTTCATAGTTTTTGTCAAGACGTCCTTCAAAAGACGTTGATGATCATCATCATTTGGCTTATGGCGTGGAGATCTTCTACCATTTGTGCTCCTTGTATAATTATTACCGCCTCTTCTCGTGGAACGAGATGTATCTGTGGAAGAGTCATATGAGTTTTGAGTGTCATCATCTTCATCCTCATCGTCCTCATCCATCACTTCGTCTTCATCCACCATATCTTCATCTTCATCTATATTCATATCTGTGGATTGTTGATCAAGGCTAATTTCAGGAAGTACATCCGGGACATCAAAGAACACGGGTAAAAACATTTCGATAAATGCCTTCATAACTTCACAATCCTCAATACCGTACATCGTTTGTCGCTCAAAGTAACTGTACAACACACGAGTGACATCTTTGAAAATCTTTTTGTTCTTGAATTCAAAAGCAAATTGAGGTTCAATGTTAGCAAGATGGTTGGGTCGTTTGTCTTGGTCCAAGTGGATACTCTTGATTTCGGTCACCAAGTATTTGACAGACATAGTTTTACGATCATTGGCTTTAAATATGACACCTTGGTAATCGAGCGCCTTGTAATAGTTTTTGATTTCTACCTCTCTCCATACCTTATTCCACTCACGCTGCAATGGAAAAGATATAGGTTAAAATATAAAGTATATTTGTGCGATAAGTTCATCTTTTTTCATTTTTACCTGAGATCGCTTCCATTCTTCATCCTTCTGCTTGAGACGCTTGAGTACAACAGGTACACTTTGAGCAGGGTTGGTGTGTAACATTTCAATCACACCGGCGCCCTGTTCCTTACCGTAGATCTTCTTAATGATGCGTTGATAAATGGTTTTGGAAGGCCCGCCTAAGCCAGGAGGCAATTTAAAAGCATTCTTCTCTTCTTCTGACATTAGAGAAATTTTCTTTGCGATGGGTTCCAATAACGAGATGGTATTCAAGTTGGCTTCAATGTTCAAATCGTAATCATATCTTTCTTCCTCCACACGATGCAAGGCTTCCTCAAATATGTTTTTCTTGGAAGCTACAAATCCACCATCTTCTGAAGCCCACGTAGGATGTGAAGCATAGGCATCATTCAAGACCTCCCAACATAGAGCGTCTCTACCTGAACAACTTTGGGATTGCCATGCTTTAGGAACAGAACGATAGCTGGGGCCATATTCATCGCAAAATGCCAAGTCAGGCTTGACTAAAGCAGCTGGTAGATTTTCAATCACGATATCCTTTCCATCATACCCTACCAATTTTTTAAGTTGATCATATAAATCTTTTTGTCCGCCCAAGAAGCTTTCGCATTTCTCAATCAGCATGTTAGCATCAAAGATTTGTTGACTAAACAGGTTCAAAAGACGAAGAAAAGCGTGATAGGTTGTTTTGTTCCCGATGTATTTCTTGACACGTTCAAAGAACTCTGCCTCATCTGCACTGACCAAAGGTCGAATATCGTCATTGGGAGCAATGATGGGCGATCGACGAATATCGGAGACGGTATGATCCATCATCTTGTGGTGAGTTTTTGCTCGTTTTGGTTGTTTGGGTAATCCTGACAAGGACCGCTTCTTTAGCAATTTGGCTTTTTGTTGTGATAAAAAATCAATGGGTTGGGGCTGTGAAGTGTCGGGCAAGAATTGTTTAAACTCGGCTAATAAATCGTTGGCTCCATTAAATAAAATCTGCACTTGCGCATACACCTCTTGAATCGGCTTTTGCTCCTTTTGATAGGTCTGTAATATCTCCAGAAATTGCTTGTACGTCTCAGGATCGTTGGAAAATCGATTCTTAATCTTGTTTACATAATTAATCGCATGATTAAATTCGACAGGTGCTCGACGCGTACCACCATTGTTATTTTCGCCTGCTACTGCCTGAGATGGTGGAGGTAATGGTGGTGAATGGGAACGACCCCCTTGTGATGGACGTGTGAGTGGAGGTACGGAATTTTGCATGGATGCTGATGCTGTTGTGGATGATGATAGTGGGGGTGCTGATGAAGGAGGAGGTGGAGGAGGAGCGTGATAGCTGGAGATAGGTGGAAGTGGGCCGTTATTAGAACGAAAGTTATTATAAGAAGGTGGATGCTGAGGATGATTATAATAACGTGATGATTCAATAACATGATTATTAGTAGTTTCCGATTGTAAATTTAATGGCTCACCACTGGTTGTGCTTGTAGTTCCACTGGGTGTTGTCACCTTAATAATGTCTCTGGCGTGATCATCTGTGGAACATTCAATACGATATCCAGGTGGTAAAAATGTATTAAATCCAAATATTAACATTGGGTGACCTCTAAATAGTGTCGAAACACGCTCAATCACTCCCGGTGTATCAATTCTATATTTTGTTGTTATTAGCAATTATAATGTACGTTCCTTATCAGTAACAACATACGCTTGACTCTTAAATTCCTTCATGATGTCTAAAAAGCGATTATACACTTCGGGTTGGTCTGCAAACTTTACTTTGACTTGATCCAAATAAGTCAAGGCATCCTTGACGTTTAAAGGTCTATATCCGTTCGCTGAAGCTGCTGATGATGCAGGCGGTGGTGGTGGTGGTGGTGGTGCCGCTGCTGGTGGAGGTGTTGCTGCTGGTGGAGGTATTGTTACTGCTGGTACAGTTACTGCTGGTGATTTTACTGTTGATGCCATTGTTGTTGTTATCACTTTTTCTTCTGGCACCTCTGCTACCGACGCTGTTGCCTCTGTTGGTGTAACTGGTAGCGGTGGTGGTGGTGCGGATGGTGTAGTTGGATTGGTCATGGTTGCGGTGGTAGCGGGTGCCCTTATGGAAGATATATCAGATTGTGCATTCACGGGAGTTCTTGGTCTGTGGTAAGTTGGCATAGCCGACAAATTAGCTGTAGGTGGAGGTGAATTTGATGTTCTTCGCACATGGTTTGAAGTGTTTGTGGTTTGTTGATTGCTGCCAACGGAGTTTCTTCTAACATGATATGGACTGCTTTCTGATAATCGTGGGGTATTATTAGTTGTAACAGCAGTGTAGTTATTGTTATAAGGTCCAGGACTTGAAACTTCGGTACTGTTCACCAATGGCCTATTGGAGAAGAGATGTTGAAGCATGTTAAAATCAAATAGAAGGTTTTTCTCAATGGCACATGAATATTACCTGGAAGGGGATGGAGGAGGGTCAGTCGCCATAATTGTTTCTTTCTTTAAAGAAAAAAAAAAAAGACAGAAAAAAATAGTTTTGTGTTATGTTCAGGTTCTATATTTTGCGCGTTTCTTTTCAACTGTTTCCCCTTTATGTAAGTTTAACTAATCTATTCCCTTTAATAAAAACTGGGGGGAAAAAGGAAAGAGGGAAAAAAAAGAGAGGACAAAAAGACGAAAAAGCCCGTCACGAAATCTACCGTGAGTGCAACCTTTGGCCAATCAAAAATGGTGTACTGGGTTTCCACCATTTTTTCAAAAGGAAGCTTATTTTACAAATAGTATTTTACTTTGGATAATGACCTCCTCGTGAAAGACATGTCCCTTGAAGAGGAATTAGACATAAAGAATGCTATGCTATATGTTAGTCTTTATTAAATGAATCATTGAACTGAAGAGAACGAACTAGTTTACGTGCCTCCCGTTTTAAACAGCGATTTTTCGTTTCTTGTTTAGAAATCGCAATGGTGGCATCTACACTACTCTCCGTCATTTCCTACACATGTATCTTTTTTTTTCTCTTGAGATCCCTAAGCTAGACCCTACATCTCAAATGTTTATTCTTGACGGTTTTGACTCTTTTTAATTATGTTGATAAAGACAAGACTCTCAGCATGAATTTTTATATGAAGTATTATCGGGAACTCTGAGACATAGTTGTATATAATTGTATCTATTTTAATTTGTAACTAGTCAGTCTGTAGAGCATTTATTTAAAACGCTTAAGAAATATGAGATATGTCAAGTCCTGGTACACCTAAAAAGAAGTATGTATCAAGGGCACTATTTAACGCGAGACATAGTCGCAGTATGGCCAACAGTGATAGAAATCCTAAATACTTTACCTTTTTGTTGTGAAGTAGAGACAGAACTAATAAGATACAATTGTGTATAGTTTTCTTTCCTGATTTATGCAACTGAGCATATCATGGATTTTTTTTTGGCATTTATAAAGTCTGGCATGTGGTACATATTTTCTCGCTAGAAATAAGGCAATTCTATTGGTTGAATTTTATAGATGTTCAAATAGAGATTAATGAGGTGTGCATAGTGAGATCTTGTGCGCTTAATTTTTGCAGCAGAAATATTGTTTGACTCTAATAAAGACTCTTTAAATGATATCTTTTGATATCATGCCTTTCAAAAATACGAAAAGAATTTGCTATGTAAAACCGGGGGCACGTTATATAAAAATAAAAATGATTGTTTGGGAAACCAGTATTAGTCTAGACCTCCGTATTTTTTTCAAACGTATTTTTTTAGAATCATGTGATGGTCTGTTCGTCCCATGGTTTGGCCCTCTTCACAGGGGGAGGATGGCGAAGAAGAGGCAACTTTGCCCAAAGACTAAAATTTGACTACGGATGTCCAAGAAGAAGAAAAGCATTAATAAAACTTTTTATGTATATCCTTATCCCTTTTAAATTTTATGCTGTTACACTACCCCCCCTTTTTTTTTTGACTGTCAACAGTTAGTCTTTACTTCATTTTTAATTGTCTTTAAGCTTCATCTTAATCCATGTTTTTAGTTATAGACTATAAACAAAATGGAAAGACATCCTTAGTTCAAAGGGTTATACATAATCATAGATAATTCCTCCATTCGTGAAAAAGCGATGAGCAATACTAAATGATTGATAACAGATATGTTAAACTTCCTCTTTATTTTTTTCAATAATCTCTTTGGAGTCGGTTCACTCTCTTTCTCTTCTTTTCGTTCTCGCGATCAATCTCTTTCTTCATTAAAATATTTGCTAATCGAAGAAACAAGGAATAAAGATCCAAGAATAGCTCCATAGCATGACCAGGAATATCCAACACACCTGCACTTGCTCGCTCCACAATCATTTGCGTATCATACATGACTAAACATTCCCTTTGTTACATTCCATATAAGAACAACAAAAAAAAAACCCCTTACCAAATCCTGAAAAAACTAACAATCCAGCATATAATTCCACCGAGAAAATAGATGATGATCTAAGGAAAAACGCATTGGCCAATGATAACCATAGTAGCACACTCAATATACTACTTGCAAAAGCGCCAACGTATAGCATACTCCTTCTCTCTGCCATCAAGGCACTACCAGAAAAGCCTAAAAATATCAGCACTGCCGATGATAATGCTAAAAAGATAAGATCTCCTGTAGGATCCACGTGTAAAAACATGGATAAAAATGCAGAAAGAGCAATCCCACTAGAGATAGAATAAGCCTACATATTTGATAAAGTGTTTGTGCTTAGTCGGGTGTGTACACATACAAATAAAAAAAACACGACTTTACAGCAAGTAACGCCCATCGTCTACGACTGTTAATGGAAGTATATCGAAACATGGTAACACTCCCAACTGCACCCAGGGAACCTAAGGTCGAACTGCTTGGACCGAAATAGTTGCCAACTTGAGACCCAATAGTTGCAATAGCACACATGGCGGCTAATGTGAGGTATACATTGACTAAATGTCGTCGAACAGGTCTGGTTAATGCCGTACTACTACTACTACTACTACTGCTAGAACTGTTTTGGTCACTGTAATAATAATCTCGTTTTCCTGACATGCTTATTTATTGAATGAGGGAAGAAGAAAATAATGAAAATGCAAAATAAAATGCTACACACCCACAGAGTTTTTCGGACGTTCAAAGCTCAATTTTTTTTTTGTTAATCTTCATATGGAAATTGTCCGTTTTTGCCAAAATAAAAATGGTTCAAATTGCTTTTGATTGGATAGAATTATAGATTTTATTTATAAAAAATAATGGATGTCACACAGCCTTGCTAGCCATTGGAAATCCCTTCAGGATGGTGTAAAAAATACAGAAGACTGTAAGGCAGTATGCATTGTTTTATAGAGTATGTATAGCCAGATGCGTACAACAAACCTATAAAGAAACGGAAAGAAAGAGATGAAGAAACTAAAAGAAAAAGAACCTACTGGAAATAGCTGTAGTTCAAAATTCCGGTCTAAACTTTTGCATATAAACCTCTTAGTCAAAAAAAAAAAAAAAAAAAGAAAACTATATCTCTATCCCTTTTACTTCCTGAATTATGAATACTCAACCTGAACAAACCAACGAAACCATAAAACCCCATCGTTGCGATTTCAATGAATGTGGTAAGCGCTTCAAGCATCCAAGCGCCCTTACACGTCATAAAAAATCACATAAAATTACCGAAGCCTTCATTTTCAAGGCACCCGTTACCCCAAGCAACATGGCATTCATGCAAGTGAAAGGAGGAAATGTCTAGAACTCCGTATTTTTTTCAAACGTATGTTTTTCAAATAAACGTATTTTTTAGAATCACACGATGATCTACTCGTCGATTGACATGCCATATCATCTAAACTTCATGGGATGATCGATTTCTGTTTTCCATAAAATCTGCTTCACTGTCATTACAAGCTACTACTGGAACGCATATAAATAATTACCAAGTTCCGATTTGTTTGGGGGTTTTTGCCAATGTTTCTATTTTAAGTAAAGGCCCAAACATTATGGATGATGAAACAATCAATTAAATCATCCTGACATAAGCTTGTTTATCAGCCTATAAATAAAGCTAGTTCACACACTTTACTCCTCCCCTTTTCTTTTCCCTTAAAAAACTTCTTCTATCGTCTGAAAGTAACCGATAATGTAAAAGGGTAAGTTAGTAAAGACACTTGTTTCTTTGAAAAGACGCTAAATCGAAAAAGATATATCGGGGCTGCGGCGAGTCTTTGCTATAGGAGGGTGACCTCCCTGTGAATAACAGGAGTTTTACTGTAAATGGCTGCTGTTTTTTGACCAGAATTGATGTAAGTGGTATAAAAAAAATACGTTTGAAAAAAATACTGAGGTCTAGCATTTCCAATAATGTAGTCATGAACTGTTCTGAAGAAGAAAAATTGTCTCGTTGTACCTCAAGTATACTAAAAAACCAACGTTTGATCAGTTCTGCAAAAAAAAGAAAGATGAAATAGTCAACCACTCATCAAAGATGCTGGCCTCTAATGCTGTAACCTTAATGCGATATCGGGTTAATATATACAATCGCGTAGCCGCACACCAAAGATCAACCATAAAAATTTAGGATGTACTTTTGGCATTTCCAACAACAGAAACTTTTGGGCAGGTTTCAACTGTCAGTCACGGTACATTACGAACGTTCATCTTTTGATTTTAAATCCTCAAAGAAAGATCAAAGTGATAATCTTGATCGTTTTATACGCGACTACACGTATTCGTGTCTCGGCTGCGTTGGCGAAAGAAAGGATACATGAGCAGTTAACAAGTAGTTCAAAAAGAAGAGCTTCTGCTTTAGATGACGAAGAGGTAATGGGCTTAACTACTTAAAGTCGGTATGTACTCTTGTTGACATCTTTTTTTAAATAGAGGATCGAAGACGACGGTTTATATATTGGTTCTTGTGAAGAATCTGTCGGAACCTTGATCAAGAAAGCAGCCCTTAACTCATACAATGATTATCATAACCTGGACTATGACGAGAAATCCATTGTTGCGTAAGTTGAATAAAAATTGTTGCACATGAGATATTTCAGTTCTCTAACAGTAGCATCTATTAGTTTGGGTCTCAATTCTATCATCGACTTGTCACATTTTTCTACTCCTCAAAAACGCCTTTTTTCCGATAGTGACTGGAACGTCTTGCGCAGTAAATATACCACGCGCTTCTCTCCTGGTATTAATTTAAACCACAAGCTAAAAGCAAAAATTGCTGAGATTGAAATGGTTTGTATTACTGAGACCAAGCTAAACAGTTCAATGCTTTAACAACAATTTATAAATAGGCCAGTAAAGAAGAAATTGAAAAAGGCAGATTTCTCTCCAATCACAAAGAATCAAAAGCGAAAAGTAAAGTTGATTCCGATATCTTCAGCATCTATTCTCAATAGTAAGTTGTGCTATACTTAATACTGCAGTGCCATCGATTCTTATTCGTTTAATTTCTCTAGCCTTGAATTGATGGAATTTCGTTCCTACGTATTCAGCAAAGATATCGACACTACTGAAACAGACGCTGTTGTAAAGATTTGGTCTCCGATGCTTGAAAGACTATTTAGAAGAACAGAATTGAGAACAAAGTGGTACGTAAAAATATAGCTGTTTATCCCTAAACATACCTACTATAACAAATTACTTAGGGGGGAAACGGTCGGTGATTCTGGAGATAGCTCAGATAATCTAGGCTTCAAAGTCGATCTAAGAGTGGTTAAGGATACACTTTCGAGAAGAAAGAAGGAAGCCGATAAGGCTAACTGTGAAATTTCGAGAATTGACCCTGGACTTGTAAAAATTACAAGCGATAGAACAAAGTTGCTAGTTGAGTCAAAAGCTGTATTAGATAAAATTGCTAAAGAAGACCCAAGAAGAGCGAAAGACATCTCAGTCCCTGCCTTACAGCTTACCGGTAATATATTATTTCTTAAGGAGTGGATGATTCTTTTCTCTAACTCGTAGTACATTTTTTTTTAGGCAATCATGCGGCAAATGGACTTTATGTTGGTGTAATAGAGGGATCTGCTTATATTGCACAACTCTCCTGGGTTTTTATGATGAGTCAACCTTTCTGGTTTTGGAATAGATCTATAAAAAGGATCCAAGATATACTTTTTCTCATTATTTCTTAAGTGTATTATTTTTGTCAAATACCACATAGACAACTACCAAGTTCGCAAATGTTTCCATTTTAAGTAAAGGTTCAAACACTATGGCTGATTAAATAAGCAATTAAATCATTCTGACATAAGCTCTTGTTTATCAGCTTTTTCATTGTGTCATCCTATAAGACTCGTTCACACACTTTTTTCCCTTTTGCTTTTCCTTTAACATACTTCTCTTTTTTTTTTTGAATGAAAGTATACATTGCAATTCTTGCGATATTACAGCCACACATAGTCTTTGCTAAAGTATGGTGGTCTCCTAGGTTGGGTTCTTGGGCTTTGGAACTCACGGACTGTGAATAGCTGGGATTGGACTCTAAATAGGTGCAATTATACTGGCCTGCTGGCCTTGGCCAGAATTTGTGTAAGTGGTATGTAAAAAAAAAACGTTTTAAAAAAATAGGAAGTCTAGACATTCCTTCTAATTATCCAAATCTGCCGTTCATCACATTGTATACAGCTGCTAGCTTAGTTTCCCAAAAAGAACTGGATGTAAACGAAACTGAACTGTCTTTCTCAGACAGTTGACTTACTGGATCCTGATCACGTAAATTTATACACCAGCACCATTCTACAATGAAATTCTCCAGGCTCTCTCCTTATGGCTGTAGTTTTTTCACCCAACCAAATTTTAATAAATTCTGTAAATTTCAATCTCAAGCCAATCTTCTCTCTTAAATTTCTGTAAGTTGAGATTCAGAGCCAATTAAATGTCTGTATTTTCTGTAACTTTCGTACCCGCAGTGGATATTGCCACGAGGATCAATCACTATAAATGTTGATTTGAATGCTGTACATAACACTTTTCTCTCTTCAATTACATATTAAATGAAACCGACAAAAAAAAGTCTTGGAAAGTCTACTCTTCCCAAGAGGAATAAATCAATTCTGAATTTTTTATCAAAAAAATGTGAAGTAATTGATGATCAAAGTACCCTAGATGGATCTCTTGTCCATGAAGGGTCGTTGGATGAACCTGAAGTATCCACATCTTCCGGAGATTCCATAATACCAAACAGTGTACAAGTTGAGGTAAACTCCCAACATTATTTTAGTCGAATCAAGCTAAAAACATATTTTCTAATTATAGCAAAGCGCTACGTCCGAGGTCGAAGGAATACATTACCTTGTGGATGAAGAAAGCACCGACGAGTAAGAGTTTATAGATTAGGCCTATATAAATAATTGGGACTTTAGATTAACTGTATATTTTACAGTGCAATTGTGGAAGAGGAGTATGAAATAACTGAAGAAGAGTTTTTGAATATTGATGAAGATGCAGGCAGAATCACCAAGGGTGGTCCATTGGATAAGTATCTTCAAAAAATCCAATTAGAATGTGATGTGCGTAATCCGTACAAGAACGGTACATACTGGATCAATCCTATGATGTCAAACTTCGCCTTGTCAAAAAGGCCCTCCCCGGAAGCCCTTTATTTGCCTAAAGTATTTATTTGGCTGCCTCATGCATTGTTAAATACTAGAGATGATAAATTGAAGTGCGTAACTCCAGGTTGCACAAACCCCTTGAACAAGAAAAGTTTTTTGGATGACCCCAAGGCGCGAAAAATTGTGGATGTGCATGAGTAAGTTATTTGTTCCCCGGTATTTACATATTTATATTAAATCTGGTGTATCTAACTATTTTTTTTTAGAAGTTTTTACTTGATGACATATCGTTATGAATGTCCAAACAAGGAGCATGGTACATGTATTGGATCTGACAAACGAATAATTGAGCAGCTGCCTATCAGATTTCAGCTGGATTTCCCTGCTCATTTGACTCACAGATCAGGAATATCTAAAGATTTGGGTAAGCTGCTGAGGGCTGGTGCACAAAATTCTCTTGGTCCAAGCAAGGTCAGTCGCCTTTTAAGAGAATTCCATACTCTTAGACACGACGAAATCGAGCTTCGTTATCTTGACTCGTTAAAGCACACACAAAACAACACGTTGGTGGGATTATGGAATACAAAAGCCACAGAGAGTACCGAGTTTTCTTCATTTGGTGACAAGGAACATTACGCCGGATCAATTCCCTCCGCAAGTTATCTTAGTTTTGTATATTGCTCGATCATAAATGATCTTCGGCCTTTCATGGACCAAATGACATCGTCATTGGGTGGAGAAGTTCTTAAAGCCGATCACTCTTTCAAGATTTTGGATCATATGGGAAAAATCAATGGTGTTTCTGTTTTTGGTGCTCTCTATACAGTGTGTAACGAATATGAAGAAATTCGGGCCCAAGCTTTAGTTCCGACTAAAGCTCATAGTCATCTTCAACCTGTCTACGATAAATTGATTGAAAGCTACAATATCTATGGTTGCAATCTCCCAAAGTTTGTCTTCACTGATAATGTTACTGCAGATCAAAAATTTCTCGAGTCTGTGATCCCAACATTGAAAGAAAATGTTTCACACTATTCAAAAAAAAAAATTGATCGAAAGGGCAAGGGAAAAGAAATTGTTGCCACCCTAAAATAAATCAGCGATCAAAAATTGAAAAATATCGCAAACAAATTAGAGCGGAAATAACGATCTTTTTTTAAAAAATATCGCGATTGGCGATATCGATAAAATTTTCTAAAATATCGTTATTGGCAATATCGATCAAACTTTCCAAAATATCGCGATTGACGATATCGATCCATAAATCAAAAAAACAAAAAAATATCGTTGGATGGGGTAAAAAAAAATGGGGTAATCGATAATCGATATAATATTACTTTTACACCCCTGCTGAATCAGGATACAGGCTTAAAATTGATACGTTTGTATATATTGGAAAAAAAAATTTATTTATAAAAAAAAACTAAATAACGTCGAATCTGACCTGAAATATTCCAAGAAATAAACGGTTAAATTATTTGAGACTAAAACTAGATATCTTTTTATTAAATGGAAAAGGGGATCCTTTTTATAAGGAAGGATTGAAATAGATTGTTATCCGGGAAGATCAGATGGGAGCGTGGATTGGAAGTAGACATTAATATCTTGATCAGTTAATGGTTTATGTTTCAGTGCTGGGTTGCTATTAAATGTCAAGTAGATTATAGGCTGGATATATAGTGTGTATATATCATTACCTCCCCCCAAATTGGAGCAGCATTTTTTGATTGTAAAGGATATGAGAGAAAAAATGGTGAGAACCGATTTTGTAATCCTGAAATGCAGAAGGGTTGTACTTGATAGATATGATTGTAGCCGGGATAACATGAAGTGAAGAGAAGGGAGAAAAAGGTCCGTTTAAATCAAGAAACAAATCTTGAAAAAAATAGAAAAAGAAAAAAATTGTGGTAAAGTGTAAAAAAGAAATGGGGAAGGGGCAAAGTATACGATGTATCAGAAAAACCTTAAAAACCTCCAAGAGGGAAAAAAATAAAAAAGGGAAAAAGATACATCACTTTGAGTGTCTAACTATTGTTGGCTGCACGTCGTTGATGACGGCGAGATTTGTGTAAATCGTACCTTTCTTGGCGAGAAGTTGTGTGATTGATTGGAATGGCTTGTGTTGAAGTGCTATAGTCAACATTGGTAATGTGATGTGCATTATTGCGAGCTCGCTTATGATCGTAGCGTTCTTGACGATTAGGAATATGTCGCATATTTACAGTCTGAGGCAATCGAATAGTTCCTGAAGAGGTAATGGCCTGACGACGTGCCCAGTAGCGTTCGATGTGTAATTTGTCAGGAAAATGATGTGCAGGTTCCCATGTATCTTCCTCGTCGGATTGATCTTTCCATCGTACAAGGTACATATAATTAGTAGGATTGGTTCCTTTGTGGTTGATAATACTTTGAACTTCTTGGAAGTCGGTATCATCCTCTTCGAAATCCGTTGTGGTACTATTGACTTTAAGAAGTTTAATATGTGATGTAGGGACGTCACGAGAGAGGAGATTATTGGCTTGATCGACTAGGACGTAGGAACCATTGGTGGTGTAGTTTCGGATAGTGAAAGGACCGATGAAATTAGGATCGGTTTTGCCAGTTTTCATGACATTTCGTATCATGACCTGTCGACCAATAGGAAATTTCTTGTGAATGATATGATGATGTTTGAGGAATCGTGCATTGTCTTTTTCCTGTGTCAATTGTATACGTTTTGATAAAGCAGGGATAAGGAATTCATTAACTTTGTGATATTGAGCAGAAACAAGTTCAGGAGTAATGACTGAATTATCCCAGTTAGGGTCAACGTTAGTGTAATTTTCGAAATCATTAGCTCGTCGATTGAACATAACCGCAAAGGGTGTAGAGTGATGTAAACGAGAAACCTTGAGGTTCATCTCTAACTGTGTAGCGTCAAGGAGAGTGTCCCATTGCTGTTTTGCGCCTTGTAGCTTTTTGATTAAAGTACGTTTAGTGATATGTACGAAACTTTCATTGGTACCGTTGGAGTTAGGTGTGTATGCTAAACTAAGACGATGGTCAATGCCCAATTGTTGAGTCATTTGAGCTACTAATTGGTTGGTAAACTCGAGGCCGCGATCTGTCTGGAGAACTTTGACCACACCAAATAAGGCAAAGATGCTTTTGAGTTCGTTAGCGATGGTAGATGCTTCCTTGTCAGGCAAGGCACGGAGGATCGTGAAACGTGTGAAGAGATCGACATAGACCATGATGAAGTTATTGCCGGCGTCGGATGTGATATTAAGTGTACCTAAATCACAGACCGCATGATGGCCTGGTGCAGTGGGTAAGATCTGTTTAGGAGGATGGTATCCGGTTTTCGACCAATTGAAGGCAAGGCAAGTTAGACATTCACCTACAACTTCGATGATGTCTTTTCGTAAGTTCACCCAGTTAATATGTTCGTCGCGTATGGCGGATTCGATAGCATTGATGCCAAAATGTCCCTTGAGATGGTGACGTTCGATGATAGCACGACGTTGATCAGGTGGAGGCACCATAGGGTCGGCTAGTTCCGATGCGCGTTGTACAAGAATGCGATTGGATTCGTTGTCGTCGTGTGACGTAGAAGAAAATTGGGTGGATTTCTCTACCGCCCCCCTCTGTTTTGTGTGTTGTTGTTTGTTAAATAACTTAGCTTGTTTAGCTTCAGCGTGATTGTCCATCTGACGTTCAACTTCTGGGGAAGCGAATAGACGACTGAGCATGTCAGCAAGATAATTTTCGGAACCTCGAATGTAGACGATTTCAAAATTCTTAGAG